TATAGGAGATCCTCTGGTAACCATTAGGAAATGAGGCATGACATGTGGTGCATTACATTATCCTCAGAACACAAATATGAAAAATTGACATCCCCTTTACTGCTTTTCAGTTTTTAGTTTGTGGACTCTCATATCCCCCATCACCACGGCCACTGATACCACTATAACTATAATAAAAATCGCTATAAGGTAGTTTGCACATATATACGGCATTAAGAACTGTTCTTTAAACACCAACTTGACCTGAATGACTTACTCTACATAGAGTAGCAGCCATTCAAAATTTGCCCACTTTCCTTGATGAGCCATTGGCTGGCCCCCTAAGATTCCTTTTTTAAACACCAATCTTTGTGCTAAAATATTCCTTCTGTCAGGATTTGTGGACATTAAGAGCTAAAGAGAAGTGCTGTCTCTTTGTCAGACTATGTAATGCAGTGAAAGTTTGGAGTCAGAGGGGAAAAATATGCACGTCCAGGAGAAGGAAGGTGTCACTCTAGTGGTTGGATGTTGGCTGCCATTAGGCTGGTAATTGACTGGGAAGGGCCATTTTGAATGGCTGTTACTGTATGTGCCTGTGGTCCTGTCACTAAGCCTCCCACTTATAATACACCCTGGTTACTTTGCCAGGGGGACGTCCTTTCACCTGGAAGTCAGTGGGGTTAAATCCCACCCTCAGTTGTGCACCTTGCCACACCTACACAATAAACTGCTACTGTCAGAGTAAGAAGTTTAACTACTGTTGATGCAAATGGCATACATCTCTGCCCTCTGGGAAGAGGCTTTGCAGCATTCAATGCAGGTCCAGCAGATTCCGAAACCGCTTCTTCCCCACTGCCATCAGACAGCTGAATGTTGAAAAAATTAAATTATGTCAAAGACTCTGCATCAAACTGACCATATCAATGCTTTTTTTTTTGCACCATGTTTTTTTTTCTCCCACAATGCTTACATTTGATCATTGCTGCACTTTAAGAAAAATGGAAAGGTCATGAGAGCTGTAGAAAACGAATCTTTGTATACAAAAATACAACAAAGGTTGTCTAAGTCTCTAATATATGGAAGTCAGGTGCTTTTTTAATGCACCCACTTTCAGACTCATACCTCAGACTTTTAGGACTGCTCCCGTGGAAAGTGTAAAATGTTGACCTCCGAGGACAAATGGAACAAAAAGCAAGTGTAGGAGAAGCATCAACTGGGATCAACTCAACACCTGACTAGCATTTTGTCAATACAGTTTCTACCGGCTTTTGTCTGTTAAAACCAGCTTCGGGGCTCCCATACATGTTTCTTCTATGTATCATCACAGCTAAAAAGTACAGATCTTTTAAAGTATATGGAGTCCCGCATAAAGTTACATCCATTTTGCTCAGTTTAAATTCCTCTCAACCGGATTTAAAATGGTAAGGAGAAGCCAGGTGATAGTCTAACTAACTTGATTATGGTTTAACATTTGACCCCCTGTATAAACGCTGGAGTTTGAGGAATGTGCAAAAAGTTGTGAGTTAACACAATGCCAGGGATGGAAGACTTACCAAGGACCATACCAAAGTAAATGTTGTTGCCCATCAATCAGGGAAGGGTTCTAAGGTGCTTTCCATACAATTCCAAGGCCAATAGTTGTCAATCTAACCTGAAGAAAGTACCTCAGCAAAGAAAGTCAATGGTCATAAAAATTCATAGTAAGCTGTTCAAGTGATAGTGTTCATGACTTTACATTAGAATAACACTAAAAAAAAAAAAGTATAGTTTGTTTGGGTTATCATTAGAATCAAGCCTTTTTCTTAAATGATAAAATTACACTGAGTTAAGTTGCATCATCATCACAAGATATCTAGAATATTGTCCTTTGGAATGATCAAACCAAATTACGCATCTGGCCGAACCAAAGAACAGCATATCAGCACTAATCCCTCATATGTTGATCCGAACAATGAAAGCGTTCAATTGAGCATTTTTCAGGTGTTCAGCTACATACGTAGGTCAGACGACTGCTCATTCAATTTTGTCAGTGAAAATATTAAGATAATCTGTTTTATGTTGATGGTTTATGTTTTTTAAAGTAACAAAGTAACAATGCTCTTTGAGAAGGACACAGAGGTTGTGAATCAGTGAGTTATTTCTAAAAGGGGGTAACCCTTTTAGAAATAACTCACTGATTCACAACCTCTGTGTGAATCAGTGAGTATTTTTAAGAGCTCCTGGAGCCTATGGAATTTTACTGCTTTAGTTACGTCATCTCTTCGATGTTTCAATATGTGCTAAAGGACATTTTTGGTTTAAAAAATGAGTTGATGGTACGTTCAAATTAGAGCAATACGGCTTTTGATCTGGCTATGCGACAGTGACCCAGACCTTTATCCTGACAGCTGAGACACAATTCCTGACAAAAAGTGCTTGTTCCACAGCAGTTTGGACTCTCTCGGCGTTGCCTCTTCATACTATTCCTGTTTTTGTTTATTGATAAGAACTCAAGAAAAAGTCATTGAGAAGAGGCTGTTTATTTGGAAGCTTCAGGTTCTGAACTTTTATTGATATAGTTTATGTGCTTCTGTTGATGTGTTTGGGTAATGGTCACTGCGAGCACTGGAGTGGTTCACATCAATGTGTGGAGAAGGCAGGAAGGGTCAACTCCTCTAAAGTGGTTCAAGTTATAGCCTGTACAGTATAGCTACAGAAATGTTTCTTTTTCAGATCTTTTGCTTTTTCTGGATACCTTCCAGACACCAGCTTAGACACAGGAAATCCCTGTCCAAGGCCACAAATGAAGTATTACAAATATATATTATAAATTGTGTTTGTAAGGCTGAGCTCACACTTCTCAGGCAGACAGGTTGTTTTTCAGCCTGGGGTACATCATGTCTTTTTCGTCAGTATTAATTATATAGTCCAATTAAACTTTTATAGAGGCTGAACATAAGTCATTTGAGCAAGTGTTTCCAGATTGATGGGTCTCTACCTAGAGTGGGTTAAACAATAAGATAATTGGCCCTCCCTCCTTCCCTCCAGCAGCTTTTCTTCCCCTCACCACAACCCTGCTCCCCTCCTCATCCACTTTCATCATTCATACTCATTGGCACGCAGAGAACAATATCATTAATCTTGACAATTACATCACTGAGAAGGGTCAAAAAGACAACATCACTTGAAGAATGCTGTAGACTCAAAATAAATAATAGCAAAATGTTTTCTATTCTCAACCAAAGAAATCAAGACACAATGCAAACCTTTTAACTTCATAGACATACTTACCAATCAACATGTTTGCATATTTTTCTGACACTAGTGTAGGCACCAAAAAGGTTTTCTCTTGTGTCTCTTTATTAGCATTTACTCTGCAGCTGACCTAGAGAATATAGGGTCAGGCAATTATGAATTGAAATGCCACTTTGTTGTAGTGATTTTGCCTCCTGACAGAGATGGAGTGAAAACTCACTTCTTTGTGGCATTTTATTAATAATGTTTGATGACAGAAAGAGAGCTGCCGCGGGGTAACATTACAGGCATGTCGTTAAATAGGATTCTATTCAGAATGATCACAATATAGGAGTAAACCAAGCCACGCATTTTAGAGACTGCCGATTCTAAAAATAAAGAACCCAAAAACTTTAAAACCCTGTTTCTAGTCATGCAAATGTAGGATAAAATGCTTAAAAATTAATGTTATATTCATAATTATCGGTTATTCTTGTTTTTTTTTTTTTATTTGCATGACACCTTTAATCAAATTTTGATGTGAGATTTTCTAATTATTATTGCTGGCTTATCTCACATTTCTGCTCCAGGTAAACAAGCCTTATAAAGGAGCAGCCCTCAACTGCTGAATCTGCCCAAATTAGCCTAGTATGCACGAGGCCACAGCTCATTCGGTCAACGCAGGGCAGAGTATAAAGAGTCTGAGACACAGATAATGTGTAATCCACTTACCTCAGCCAAGCCTACATACCATTTATGAAGGTTTATGTCATGAGGTTATTGAGAAACCCCAATTCATCAAATTAAGGCCTGAAGGATAAAAGCCTGTTTTAGAAATGAAAGATCTCTATGTAAGTCAGTTAGGGAATATTTGGCCTAAACTTCTAACAAGAATTAAAATGTTACCACCTGAAATATTCCATCTCTTAAACATCTCAGGGTATGCCAAGGTTCAAACCAGATTTTACATATCTGTTCTCTCATTAAAAAGTCCATACAAAGGATTTAATATATCAAATGCAGAAATTGGTGATTAACTGGTGTAATAAATTCTTGTAAGATTAGTTTCATTTAACCATTTTAATTTCTTTATTGGAATACCTTTTTTTTCTTAGCATTAAACCTATTTTGCAGGGGGTGCAAATGAATCCTAACTCCAAGGGATAAGTCACCTGGTAGACAACGGGATACATCAAACCCATACCCCCTACTTAGCACAAATATTCAGATTACTTAAAAATAATTCTACTTACAGCTTTTTACATGTTTGATTGTGATTTTATGTAATAAAATAAAGCATATTTTATAAAAAACTGAAAATCTGTAGCGAGGCACATTTGTTTTCAGCCCTTGGACTGACACCTCGAAATACAATTCTACAGGTATCTTTTAAAAGTCATCTGATTAGTAAGAATCCTGATGGTGATATAAAGAATAAATAGAGCAGTTCTATTAAAGCTTTTGGTGGTCTTTAGAGAATATCAATGAACAAAAAAAAAAACTCACACGTAAACCTGTTTTTTTTTTGCATACTGTACCAACTACTAGAAACAACAAATATGAAGAAATGGCACAATGGTGATATATTATGTTGGTCATTAAGATATAGTCCACAAAAATGCAATTTCTTTCCGAGCTGTGATATTACTGTATTAAAAGTTGAAAAGGGTTCAATACTTCAGCATTGCAGTGCATTAACCGTATAAAATTTTGAGGAGCAATGCTATATTTTCAGTCCACAAATTATTTATAACATGTTGATCCATTGGTTTAGTTTCCAAACTATATAAATGCCATCAAAGAAATACTCCTTTTTCAGAATGTTTTAATTAAGAAATTATAATAAAAATATTGCAACCTAAAAACACAACACTCAACATATTAGCATCCCAGATTTCAAGTCTGAGTCCATCATCCAGTCAAAAAAAATGATTTAAAAAAAATACAGTAAATTATAAAATATCATACCCACATAAAACAAAACTTGGGAGTAAAAGCTTTGAGAAAAATTATGGGGTTCGTGCATTTCCTTATCTGTTCACAATCTAGAAGTAAATACAGCAATAACATTGTGCTTAGCACTGGTTATATTTGATAACAATAAAGTTATTCAGTAAGAAAAGGTCAACGGCGACCATGACCGTATATTTCCTGTGTATCCCTACTGAGATGATTTTAGCAGTAGTGATTATTGTTGTGAAGCTTTAAATGTACCTTAAAGACAATTTAGTATGTGTAGCCGGGCCATCTGAGCATTTGAAAGCTGAGTATTTAAAAGAGCAGCAAAGAAACATCTGTAGAATATGTGATAAGTAAATGTTTATCATGCATATACTACAGTAAGACATGTCATTCTCTCTGCATACAAAGAAACGGAGGAAACAAAAAGAAAAAAACTATTAAATACAAGAAAGGCTGGAGAAATTAATATGGGGTTTGATTATTAAAGGTTAAGCTCAACAACAATCATGCATATGAATATTTGGCCATATTTGTAATTGGTGTTAAAGAAAAAAAAGGTTGCACTTAAGGAAAAGGGCCTCAAAGAGCAACAAATATTCACTATTGCTATAAGTTTCATAAAACCTTTACCAAACCTGGTTTTGCAATACAAGGCTATGATAAAACCACAGTCAAAAAGGCAAAATCCTGGTAGTTTGTGTGACAGGATTCCCTAACCTAAAGAAAGTCTGTGTGTGCAATAAGTGACTTTGAACACAAGACTTTCAGGTTTTTGACACTTGTGAAGCTGTATTTTGTCTTGCACACAGAAAGTGAAACAAAGTTTAGGTAATAGTTCTTGATCTATCAGTGAGTTTCTGATTTTGCATGTGACATCCCAGAATCCCATTCAGAGTTAGACTCTGCAGGAGTGGAGACTTTCTCTCGGATGAAACTGTAGAGACTGGTGTCGGGGCGCACTGTGCGGCAGTTCTTGCACTCTTGGTTGAAATAGTGGATTAAGAGGCTGTACAGCTGCCCTGAGATGAAGAAAGAGAGGATGGTGGAAAAAAGGATACAAAGTCAAAGAAGATATATGAGTATTTTAGAGACAAAAATCTCCAACAGGTTGAGAGGCAAACAAACAGGAGTCTGCAACAAGCAGGAAAGAAAATATATGTCGGTATCAGCTTTTTTTTTCACAGTAGCTCCACTTTAGGAAATGGATGGCTGGAGGGGAATTTCTCTGAAAGGCTTCAATAAATGTCAGCGAAAAAAATTAGAAGGGGGAGTAGAGAGCCGTTGCTGTGGTTAGTTCAGGGAGTCATCCACTCTGTAGCTCAACCTGAATGGATTGGCTGAGACGAGAGCAATGGTCTACAAGACAAAATAATCTATCTATATTGCATGCTTAAAAACAACCAGTTTATATTGATACCTACAAGGAGAAAACTCTGTTAGTCAATTGCTAACAGCGACTATTGTTTAGTGACATACAGCAATTTTTTGGGATATGGGGAAACATAACCTTGATTTTTAATTTTTTTGTTGTTTTTTTCCATTAAGCAATTAGTAGAACTCAAAGAAATAAGAGGAAAAACTTAAAGGTATAGTGAAGGTCCTAATTGTCAATCATTCTGATGATATGTTTACGTAAGGCCGTCCTACGTGCCTGTTCCCATTTTCACTTACCGGTGGTGAGTCTGACATAGTGGGAAAAATAGCAAATCTTCTTTTGTACAGTAAGCTTGTTTGAGCAACGGAAAAAGAAACTTTTAAACAGAGCATGCATGAGGAGGCATGCTCTTGCACGCTTTTAATAGACTTTCCCTCTTGGGAGCGGGTACAGGGTTGTGTATTTTTTTTACTTTTATTTTTCAAAGTGGAGAGAGTGAGTCTTTTTGAAAATTCGCGAAAATCCTCCATTACACGTTTAAATATTACAGTAGTTAAATTATTTTTAAAAGATTATTTGTGAGCCAGAAGAAAGACACTAAAAGCAGTGATTCTGAACATAATCCATATCATAATTGCATACATTTAGATTAGGTTACATTCATAAAAATATTTCTAAATAAACAAGAATGTTTTCTACTAGTCTTGTGTGTTACACTGTTTTCTAAATTGCAAAACAACGTACTGCTGAGTTCCAATCTAGTTGTTTAGTAAAAGAGGTATTGTTATAAAGCTACTTTGGTAATTGATATAAGCTCTATTTTTAAGCACTAAGGCTTAGCTTATTTGCACTATTTTATCTTACACTTTAAAACATGTTAATACTTTTATTTTGAAAAAAGCAAAACATCTGTGTGTTTTGTTAAAGCCTAGAACAGACACAGTTATAAAACATGGTACAGTAGCTAATTTAAGATAAAAAGGTCAAAACAGTAATGAAAAAAGAAACCTGAAAAAATTGTTGCTTCCTCTGTTCAGATCTCTCAGTAATTCCAAATCTAAAATCAATTTGTAAGGGCTTTAGATAAATCAGATTAAGTTACGTTTTTTATTTTTAATAAATGTTTTCGTGTTGTTTTTTTTTTGGAAGCGTTCATATTTTTTCGTGCTTGTGTCATACTTATTTCATACTATGACAGTTTAGAAATCGATTCTTTGCTTTTTGTCATTGTAAAAAAAAATATTAACACCAACAAATTATGAAGTTTATGAGGATGCATCTGTCTTACCTACTGTAACTTGTTTCTCAGTGAGGAAAGTGTGGATTTCATGAACATCTCTCATAAGCTGAACATCTCCAAACGTAAAGTATGCAACGTCTCTCCCAGCCTCTGCAGCCGCCATCAGCTGAATCAGAGCTGAAAAAAAAAAAGGCTAAAGCTAAAACTTGTACAAAAAGCATTAAATTACTATGAAATCCTAAACTTCAAACTGAAACATTTGGCTGCTAGGATTAGCATTATTCTCAGTAGTTGGCTGAACACTAGGAAAGGTATGGCTTAAAGCAGTGGAGAAAATGAGTGACAGCAGTAATTTGTATGGAAACACTAAATAATGTGTTGCTAGTAGAATAGCCTCATTAACAGCAATCTATCTTCAGGCCTTTGTAAATGAGGTATTAAGGCTTTTGAATATTTAAAACACCTGTTATATTCTTCTGATTTATTAAGTTATAAGACCAACAAATCATCTGCAAAAAGGTTATAACAGTGGATTAGTGTTATGTAGCCAACATAGATAAAGTCAGCTAATTTAAATTTTTAATTTAGAATAAAGCTAATATGCTCTAAATCTAGTCTATCAAGTTATTTCAGAGCTTAGATGGAATCACATATGCTAATAGCAGCCATTTCTAAATTCAACTTCGGATTCTGCATGCCAACGTTACCATTCTCTTTTTGGCTCTTTTTTTTCTGCATAAGCAAAATAAGATTTCAAAGTCGCCGTTTGATGCAGTATTTAAACAAGTCTTAAATTTCTTATTATAGCCTTATATTGTTTTAATATTTAAATGCTTTAAAATATGGTTTATGTTATGTTTATGCATTTAGCAGACGCTTTTATCTAAAGCGACATACAAAGTAGGCATTAGTGTGAAAGGTCTTGCCTAAGGACCCACACTGGCAGCTCATTCCCCCCCAGCGGGAATTTGAACCCAGGCCCTCCGTTGTGAAAGTCGGGTGACTTATTGCTTGAACTAGCCAGCTGCCTGGCCACATATTGTTGATCAAGTGATGTCAAATATGCAAGAGTGAAAACTTTCCAACATGCTCTACATCTGGAGGTCAAGCCTGCTACAAAAACACTGACCAGTGCATATTGTATCAAAGTGCAATTTTAATGCTTCAATGTATTTATGACAAAGATTTTACTCAGTGAAGGTGATGAAATATACAAAACAACTGGCTACGTAGACAGTATATTGTCCCTGCTTACCAATGCAAAGGTATAAATAAGCCCTTATAGAAATAACTGGTATAATTTGCATAATCTATTTTCACTTATCAAAAGCTGTTTTAATGTAAACTATACATTTTTGGTTATATTAAACAAAAACATGTAAGCAATGGGAGAGTGACACCTCAGAAGAGCTACTAATTGACAATCAGGCAAGAATCTGTTACAGTTGCTCACTGTTCCTGCTGCAAGCAGTGGGATTCCTTCAGCAGGGGGCTTTGATGACCGTGACAAGCATTACAGACACTTGTCTTTTGCACTCATCAGTCATCATAATTAATATAATAATTTGTTATTTTTTTTCTAGCTGCAGATTCTAAAATCTTAAATCTGAGCTTATACAAATAAGGCAAACGGTCATTTAACACAGATGTCAGTAGTTCAGCTATTGGTACCTTTCAGCCGTGTGTCTCCACCAAACGCTCCACAGCCCCAGTTGCCAGTGGCCACAGCAGAGAGATGCTTGATATTTAAGTTACTACAATGAAATCCACAATACGCCTGGAAAAATTCACACAACAGGAGGAGGTTATTATTTTTATGGTATAAAGACTAAATATTAGGATGAATCCATAAAAAATAGGATTGAAGGTTAACAAGAAACAATGTAAAAAAACATTTGCTCTTACTTTGTTCAGTTCTCTGGTTATCTTCTCAGGAACAAACTGTTCCAGGAAGTGTCTATATTTAACAGCATCAATGGCCACAATCTCTGTACACCTTCTCTGCCACTCATCCCTGGAAACACACAGATAAAGTCACCATCATCTGTGTTCCTTCCGTTATATTTTACCAGATTAAAAAACAACTAATATGAATCAATAGAAATCTAATCTAAAAGGATGATGCTCCAAACAAAAGGAAGAAGAAATTACCTGGGTGTCTCATCTTTATAGCTGCCCTGCCACTTGTAACTCTCAGCATAACCAGAATATTTACTGTATTGTTCAGTTCCTGCAAAGAAAAAAGCAAAGGCAAAGCCAAGAAACAAAAATATGTTATTTGAGGGTCAGCAGTGGGAGCTCACAGTGGGTCTAAATCTGTTTTCAGAGCCTTATTTCCTAAATCAGATTTAATGCTTTCTATGCTCCCTGTGCGAGTATACAGTATCAGCTTATATTGGATTGTCATAAATGAGCCCACATCGATTTAATAAGTAGGCTCCTTTGGAGGTTTGAAATTAAAAGCAGTTAGCCACCACAGAAAGAGATACTCAAGAAGAAGTAAACCACAGTCCCTCTATGTTCAGTAAATATGTTACATGTTAGATATATGTTTTAACTTTATTTACTATATATATATATATATATATATATATATATATATATATATTTTTTTTTTTTTTTTTTTTATAAAATGTTTATACTGTGTATATACACATGTACATATATATAAACAATACACAAGCTCATAGTTATTTTCATCTCTAGATTTCAAGATGAAACAGGATATATGGAAATTATTTGACCCCCTTGTTCTGCAAAAATCAATACCTAATCAAGTCAAAAAAGGAAAATCAGGTCCTTCTGTTAGCTTAATACTATAACTTCAGTTAGACCTATATATACCTATATATAAACTAGGTGAAAAGAAATTAAAGGAATAGTACACCCAAAACATGATTAGCCTTCATTTTCTACTCACCTCCATGCTGAACAACACTCTGGAGTACTTTTTTGATATCTCAAATGCATCTGGAGATCTGGGAGGCTTCTTGCTGTCTGCTGACATTCAAATAATGGAGGTCCATGGCGCCCGAGACAGAAAGGTCCATAAAAGTCCACAAAAACGTGTCAATATTCCTCCATACTGCTCGTCCAATGTAATCCAAGTGTCCTGAGTGGGTAGCATCCAGAATTTACTCGAAACGAAGTCATTTAGAATGTTTTTAGAGCATAAACAGTAGTGTATAGGATTTCCTAATAGCGCCCCCATGCGCGCTCACGATTCTACGGAAGCCGGCAGACCAAACCGGAAGAAAGTGCGCATTCAGCGTCTGGTCTGCCGATAATGCAAGCGTAGAAGAAGAAATGTGCTGTTTACCTGTGCAAAGAAAGAAACAACGAAAGAAAAATGTCTGAGGACTTCAGTGTTGAGGAAGAGCATGAGTTCTTTGCCGAGCTGAATGCGCTGGTTTGGTCTGCCGGCTTCCGTAGAATCGTGAGCGCGCATGGGGGCGCTATTAGGAAATCCTATACACTACTGTTTATGCTCTAAAAACATTCTAAATGACTTCGTTTCGAGTAAATTCTGGATGCTACCCACTCAGGACACTTGGATTACATTGGACGAGCAGTATGGAGGAATATTGACACGTTTTTGTGGACTTTTATGGACCTTTCTGTCTCGGGCGCCATGGACCTCCATTATTTGAATGTCAGCAGACAGCAAGAAGCCTCCCAGATCTCCAGATGCATTTGAGATATCAAAAAAGTACTCCAGAGTGTTGTTCAGCATGGAGGTGAGTAGAAAATGAAGGCTAATCATGTTTTGGGTGTACTATTCCTTTAAGCTTTTGGCTGATAAGAACAAGCCTATTGCAGGATATTAAATATGACAGCCGCACCTATTCTGAGTAAAGGCATGGGTGCCTAAAAATTATAAAGCTGCATCATGTTTTCTTTTACTCTTTCCATAATATTACCAGCCTGTGCCAAGGGAACATTAGAATAATAACCTCTTTACTCCATTAGGAGACATTTACTGGTTATGCCATTCTGAATTAACAGGACGGGCTACCCATATCGCTTTATCTATCAAAGGAACTGACCTCTTCCTTCTTCACCTTAATCAAATTTATTTTGTCCAAATGCCCATGGCCGCATCCTGACTTACGAGCTTCCATCACAAGATTACATCAGGGAATCTCTACCTTCCCATCTTCCAACTCACATCAACATTAGTACTTTATCTTTCAAGTTATGTCAAGCTAAATGTCTAAATGCTCTTGAGGACCTCTGTTAAGGAGATCCAGAGAGAGACATAAAGACTCTAAAATTAGACGCAATAGTTTGGAAAGAAATGCTGCATCCGTGTATAGAATAATCTAGTGTTTTTTAATGAATCTATGGTGTAATGGGTCCATTCCATTAGTGGCTGCAATGACCTGAGTTGGCCAATAAATTCCTTTCTGTCTTAATGCAATAATGCTAAGTGCAGTAGAGGAGGAGAATTGAAAGAAGGGCAGTAAAGGGAGGGAAGGAGGGGGACGGTGACTCACCAATGAAGGTCACCAAGGAGATTTGCGGGTTTTAGAGAAGACAAAATGGCACCCAAAAATACTTCTTTAAGGCGAAAAACCAACATGGTGCAGGGGCTTTAAAATTTGCTTTGTTAGGCTTTAACACCGACACCCAGTCAATACCCGTAATGAAAACCTTGATGAAGACCTTTTTCTTCACTGTATGCGCAGCGTTTAAGTCAATGATGATCCTAACAACAGAATTAATTATAATAGGACTTCATGCGAGTTAGCTAAAATGATCAAACAGGACAATGAAGCCTATTATTTCAATAAAAAGAATTGTATACTAAACAAGAGTCACTTATTGCATTTATTAAAAAGCAAAGAAGATATTCTCAAGAGAGAACTTTTATTAATTAAGGAGAAGCTAAATGGTTTAACAATTCGTTAAGGGAATACATCTTGATCTCACATTCTCTCTATGGTGCAGGTCGGGTCACTTTCTGCTCCCAAAGCTACCAGATCTTGTAAACAATTCTCACACACCCCATCAGATTGATGAGTCTATATCATTCAACTCCACTAATCATGTGGTACATGTTGCAATTTCAATTAAGCAATACTGACAAAACCTTTTAACACAAGATACTAATTATTAATCAAAGACCTAGAGGTACAATAGTAAACTTTTCTAATGAAGGGAGGATTTGCAGATATGCTGTATTAAACAGAAAAGTAGATTTGGAAAAGGGTCTGTTTATGGACTTTTGACATCATTTAAAGTCTGGTTTAAATTTATAATTTTTTTATCCCAGCCACAAAGGAACAGTAAAGCCATCTAAATATTAATATTTTACCAAAATTGAAGACAGAAGAATAATCTAAAAAAAGGAAAATGGCGGTCATTAACAAAATCTTTTACAGTAGGTTCACAGCTGGTTATTAGACTGTTCTTGAGTGAAGGTAAAGATTCAATGTCCTTGATAAGAAAAATATTTGAATTGAAAACATAGAAAGCTTTGTTTCCTCATAAGCTTAGATTTCAGTACCTCTAATAGAAAATCATAACCTTTTACATATTTTAAATTTTTTCTAATTTGAAAGCATCAAGTATAACAAGGAGAACATCTCAGCAAATATGACCTTAGACACCTTAGTATTCAGGCTTTCAGTTTCTCTAGACAGAAAGTGACTAAAGTTAGACCTACTAAAGGCTGATTTCTTGTAATCACAAATGTTACTTGAAAGGCATAGCTGCACACCTGTGATAATGAGACATTCGTTGTTTTCCAAAGCTTCAGTAAAGAGGCGAGAAACGATGAGTTCAGGGTTGATGAGAAACCGGATTTCCTCCTGGACCAGTCCGTGTCCTGTGACTCCGCCTCCAACAAACCTATTTGCAAAATCAACCTGGAGGGGGGAAAAAGTTGATTTAAAAAAAGGAAATCAACCATCTTATGATTTTATGTTAACACAATAACGGTTCTATGTAAAAACATTTTAAAAAACTTTTGATACTTTGGTAGTATTTAAAAGGATTGCAACAGCTTAGAGAAGCAAATCCTCAGCAGCTTTGATAATTTCTGAAAAACAGGAGTTGTAAGCGTCCAGCAGTGTGTTAAATATTATCATTCAGAGATCAGTGAACCAGGCTCCAGTTTATATACAAAAATAAACGGCTGTTCATCATCTTTCTTCAGAGGCTCAAATATTTATATGTTCCACAGATTAGTGAGACAGAGGAGAGCCAAGCCTTGCAGTGGGCAGCACTAAGGCTGCAGAACTGTCTTCCTGTTTGGTCGACTCTGTGAACTCTGTCAGTCAATTACTTGGTTTAAACAGGCTATGTTTTAACTCTGCATTTTATTGTGTTTTATCTTATTGTATCAGCACTAAATTTAAATGTTATTTTATTACTTTTCTGGACACATGTGTTTTGTCTGTGGAAGGTGTTTCACAAATAAAAGCAGTATTCTTAAAGTGGAACTTTTTTAGCTTTAGTTGGAAAATTAATTTCAAACCATTTATCTAAATACAAATTCTTTTACTTTATAGGAAAAAAATATTAAATGCTGTAATAGGCTGTAAGACAGTTTTCCATTATTCCATCATGTTTTTGAAACATGCAAGTTCACTAGTGTTATACTGTATTGGGACTCTCAGAGAATAATTTACTTTCTATAAACTGTATTTATTTTAAAAAAGCTTGGATTAAATCTAATTTAAATTAATTAAAATTAATATTCTGTTTTATTTCTCATCAGAGGTGAAATCCGTTTTAAAAAGATGTAAAGGCTATGTGTTGGGGCAAGCCGTTTTACCATTGATATCTCTCTTCTTCCATTTAAAAACCTGAATATGAGCTTGTTTTCCTCTTGTTTTTTTTTCAAAACTGTAACATGTTTTTGTGAAGTTGCATGTAAATCCCTCTCAGCTGCATGTTTGAGTGTTAAGCCAAAACAGACAGAACATTGGCAATGAATGCATCTGTTCTCCTTTGCAACAATTAACTAATTCTGCTTAAATGAAGATCTCTGATATCGTTCTACTTGAATAAAACTTCTTTTTCACAATAAACAGGTTATCTTATTAAGAATCATAAATCCCCGTTCAAATGCGAGTGCATATAGAAGCTCCAAAGTGAGCTCTGCAAAGCATAGTCATTATAAGTTAATTATTTTGCCCACAGTGAAAGAAAGAAAAATAAAATTGTAAACAAGTTTCAAAATGGTTTGCTTTGAACTTCTGCAGCAAATCCATTAAAAACATTTCCTTGTTTTGAACTTAACCCAAACTTACTTGCAAAAACATCCTAACTGAGAGCAAGTTACTCAGCTTGATACATCAGTATAAAACTAGAAAATTTCTAAAGAAATTTTGAGGGGGGCCACCTACTGCCCGTCTGGGTAACTGGGCCAATACGGCCCTGGCAAGTGACATTGGGGCTCCCCAGACCAACTGCTTACGCCTTTGAGGGCTGCTGAGGGAAGGAAAGAGGGCTAGGTCATGGGCAAAGAGAGCTGTGTGCCACTTGTGCTGAAATCTGGGAAATAGACGTGCACAGCATATGATGCACAAGGGTAATATGGGTTGTCCATATTGAACCGCAGTGGGTAAAGCGCAGTTGGCGGGCTCCGCCCGCCTGCTAGGAGCCCTTGCAGCGATGAAAAAAATCACCAATGGCGGGCTCTGCCCGCCTGCTAAGAGCCATTGCAGTGATGAAATCACCAATGGCGGGCTTCGCCCGCCTTCTAAGAGCCATTGCAGTGATGAAATCACCAATGGCTATGAGCAATATGCCAGAATGTATGAGTGTGTATAAGGAAGAGGCTTTTATTCTGTAGAGTCCCTGTAGTGTTATTTTGAAAGTCTATCATGGATGTGCATCAAAAGATGGGTCATGCCCAGCAGTGATATAGAATCCATTTCCAAATGTTAAATCACTGGTTTTCCATGTTATTAGGTGAATAGCTGCTGTATTACAGAGTAAATGGGAGACTTTTATTGTGAAATTTGCTCTGGGGTGTGTTTTGAAAAGGTCACTAGAGTCTAATAAAAACAACCTGGAAGAGTTTGGGTCATAATGTTGAGCCATTTGCATCAATTATTGCATTAGTATAATCTAGAGGCTTTTATTTTGTAGGGTCCCTGTAGTCTTATTTTGAAAGTCCAACAGAGTTGTGTTTAGAGAAAATGTTCAGACCCAGCAATGATAGTTGATGACTTTCCAATCGTTAAATCACTCTTTTTCCATGTTATTAGGGCAGTAGATGAAGATGAAATGGGAGGCTTTTATTTTGAAATTTGCCTTAGGTTGTGTTTTAAACAGTCTCCTAGAGTCTATTCTCTAAAATGGGGTTGAGTTTGGGTCATAATGTTGAGCCATATAGGGCAATAAATATATGTAAAAAATATAGAGGCTTTTATTTTGTAGGGTCCCTGGAGTCTTATTTTGAAAGTCTATCAGTGTTGAGTGGCAAGGGAAGTGTCATGGACAGCAGTCATATAGTATCCATTTCCCAATGTTAAATCAGTGCTTTCACCCTCCATTAGATTAATATGTGCTGTTTAAAACAGCAGAGGTAAAATCTCTTTGAAGCACGGTTACCTTGACAACGCTTAACGAGCCTGTCAGTGACAGAGAGAAAAGCGCAGCACTATCGTTCCTTAGCTCTCAGGCTTTTTTGAATGGGAGCAACAGCTCCGAACAAACGACTGCTTAGCAAAAACCGTATGAGTTATTCAAAAAATTTCTTCACCGTGAGCGTCAGCAATCCTTCGACTCCAACTATGCCAACTTTGGTGTATGTGTGTCTTTCTGAACAATATTTATGACGAGTTGAAAACACATAATGTCATTCGTTTTTCTCCCCACTGCTGCTCCAAAACCAATGAAAAACGGCTCTGATTTTCATCGACTTTAGGTAGGTCTGGAGGGTTTTTAAGGAAAAGTATTAATCCTACCGTAATTCCGAAGACATTGTGTGAGTCCAGAGGTTTCAGCCTACAAACTGACCAAAAATGGTGACTGTAGCTCCAAATATGTGGCCGTGAGGCAAGAACAAAATCTTTTATCTTAAAAAAACGGCCGCCTCACACTAAGATGTCAGCAGCTGCACACTAGCAGGCTGCTGCAGAAGCTAACTGTCAGCTAGCTTCCAGGTGCTTACCCTCCAAACAAACGACTGCTGAGCAAAAACCGTAAAAGGTATTTGAAAAATTCTTTCAGTGAAAGAAACATCTATCCTTTGTCTCAGACTGGGGTAACCTTCATGTCTGTAGGTCTTTCACAACCCAAAACGAAGCACAAACAAAATGGTGGGTCCCACCTGCTCCTACCATTGGTTTAACTGCAGCAGCTCCTCTCTCATCTTTTTGCTGCTAAAGCACCCCTCCGAACAAACGACTGCTGAGTAAAAACCATAAATGATATCTGAAAAATTCTTTTTATCTAAGCGACAGCTATATCTTGTCTTCAATTGGAGTAACTTTCATGGCTGTAGGTCATCTACAACCTGAATGGGAAGAGAAAGAATAAGAAAAAACGGGTCCTCAGTCCTTAGCTTCTAACTGAGCTAGCTACAGCAGCTCACTGTCACCCAGCTTTCTGGTGCTTAAAATGTCCTCCGAACAAACGACTGCTGAGCAAAAACCGTATGAGTTATTCAAAAGATTCTTTCACCGTGACCGTCAGCCATCCTTCGACTCCAACTATGCCAACTTTGGTGTATGTGTGTCTTTCAGAAAAATATTTATGACGAGTTGAAAACACATAATGTCATTCGTTTTTCTCCCCACTGCTGCTCCAAAACCAATGAAAAACGGCTCTGATTTTGATCGATTTTAGGTCGGTCTGGAGGGTTTTTAAGGAAAAGTATTAATCCTACCGTAATTCCGAAGACATTGTGTGGGTCCAGAGATTTCAGTCTACAAACTGACCAAAAATGGTGACTCTAGCTATAAATATGTGGCCGTGAGGGCGAGTTTAAAATGTTTTTTGGTCTTAAAAAAACGGCTGCCTCACACTCTAGCTTTTCAGTCTCTCCACTCTAGAAGGGTGGATTTTGCTAAAACTTTGTGGCGCTTGAGGTCTGATTATACAAAAACCGTAGCAGTTATCAACATGCCGTCTTCAGTTTTAAATAGACGAAGGATTTATCTACAAACTGAGCTTTAAACTGTTTTTCTACATGAATGTATGCCGACACAGTGAAGTGCTGTTTTTTATGCTTTTTTTTCCCTCTCCCCATTCATTTCCTATGGGATTTTTTTTGCGACGTTTTCGCTAATAATTCGCGAACCTTCGGACTAATGAGAAAGTTTTATACAAGCACGCATCGCACCATTGGTCCCGACGCGTGTGCCAACTTTGGGCCCGATCCGCCAAACCGTGCGGGACTAGTTAGGTGCCGAAGTTTTGGTGGCGAGGAGAACTATAAGCTAGTATAATACGCGGAATAAATATGTGAGATAGTAGTAGGTGGGCCATGCCTTCGGCATGTGGCCCCCCTAATTATAAAACAAAACATACGCTGCCCTTTGACCTGTTTATGTAATGCTGATGACAGGAACTGCTGTTGTCACTCATTACTTGAAGAAACAACTATTATCTTCTCATTAGCCGTCAACAACGGTGGAGGTTTAATACAAACAAATGTCTAAGGATTACAGTTTCCTGCTTGGCGATAATCAAATTAGAGAATCATAACAAAAACAATGAACATGAAATCTTAACAGATACAATGAAATACTTATTGTCTAGCAGTACAATGGTAGAAAATACAGGTAACAGGGAAACAATGTGGACACTAAATGGTCAAATTAAGCTCAAATATGATTAAATGAACCCCACTAGCATTTTAAACACTTTAAAAATATATCTTTTAAACCATTTGTCATTTCTTAATGTATTCAAATTAGCTGTTAAACAGCTTATGATCACTGAAAGTTAAATAATTTCCATATTTAGTTCAACAAGTTTAATTTAAATTGATTTTTCACACATAGATATATTTTAAATGAGTTTTTGCTTATTTTCTCATTATGTCCTGAAACTCTCAACAGAAAAAAAAAAAAAAGGTTTCCAAAAAGTCTTTTATTTTATCGTTTGACTTATTTGGTCCGCAGAATGACGGTTTTACATTTCCCAGAGAATGCAGGTGCTGCGGTTAGAGGAAAATGAGAGAGACCAGACCCAACAGCAGTCCCAAAGGCTGATCACCTCCATGCCATGGTGCATAGTTGCAGTAAATCGGGTATTCCATGCATATGGTAAAGTAAACTAATATACTTATTTGAAAGTAACATTTTGAGAGGGAGCTAAACTGAAGTAAATTTCTAAATATAGAAAACTGAAACTTTAACATGAGTAGGTTGGCAAACTATGCTCATATGTGCTTTGATCATATAGCTGTAAACTATCAATATTAATCAAGCAAAAACACTGCAGTCTTAAGACCAACTGTTTATATAGTAAAAAATTGAGGATGCTGATATCTCTCTCCCAGAAATGTCACTTCTCTGTAATCATCCCAGAAACTATATAAGTGCAAAAAACATTTTGGTGTGATACAACACTTTCACATTCTTAAATCTTCGCCCTGGTTCAGATAAAAGAACAGTCCATTCAATCAGAAAGCGGATACTCATACATCCTGTCAGGGGTGAGGGTTCTGCTCAGTGGCCCGCAGCTACGTCAATCTATGTGACAGTAAGTGTGTTTGTATGTGCATGTTTTTCAACCAGTCACCCAACTCCTCACCCCTCTCTCTGGTTCAGCCCCTGACCTCACCCCCCTACCCCCTTCAATCTCACCCTCTGACAGGATGACAGCCCGCTCTGCCCCTTCCAAACCCAACAGTCAGCCAGTGTCCGGCCTGCTGAGGTAGGCATCAATTCTCCAGCAACTCTTTTGGCCCACTGGGTGCCTGCAGTGAAATGCCTCATCCTCGTCATTTGAATTTTCTCCATGCGCCATCTTTCCCTCATCCTCCCACCCAGGGGTCCTCTCCTCCACCCTTGCCACTCTGAGCTGCTCATGTGTACAAAAATGCTGTCAATTCCAGTAAAATTGTAAAAGAAAAAAAATTTTGCCACAGCAGCAAAGGAACACAGAGGAGTAGAACAAGATGGACTAAATCCGGAGGAAAAAAAAATTACCTCATTATGTATATAATTAAAATATTTACTTTTTTGTTTTAAAGCAGGATGGCTGTTGGCCATTGGCAGGTTTTCCAACCTTTAACTGAGGCAACAAGAGCATGGAAAGAAGCTTAAAACTGCATTATTAAAACTGTTTGGTTTTTTTAGAAGAAAGAAAATGAGTTAAATAAATATACAAATATGGCCATAGGTTTATAAAATAAAAACAAATTAAATTTGGTAAGGCAGGGTTTAAATTAAGTTCACTCAAAAAGTTAGTTTTTGAAACGATATGTGAAAGACATCTCTGTAGTTTTGTAAAACAGCGATCCATTGTATTCTTTTTACATTTAAAAAAGCACATCAACTAAAAAGCTAAGCCAAGGGTCTGCAGGTGGAATCTGTGGATGCTGAGGTTTCAGATGCCTCCAACCTTCATGTAGCCTTCAGATTAGCTTTAAGACAACATTATGGAATGGATTTCCTATCTAACCAGCTGTGTTGAAAGCTTCAAATCACCAGACAGAGAAAAACACCAGAAAGGTGCAGTAAGGCTTGATAAAATTAGGTTTTAGGTGTGTGTAGGGCTGGGCGATAAGAAGAGAATGTGATATCAAGATAAATTTGAGCTATAATCATGATAAACGATATGTATCACAATATGTTTAAATTATCTTCAGAAACAATAGAGTGCATAAGCTTGTACTGATATACTCATTCAAACCGAATATTTTGGTTTCAAATTCAAAACATTTTATTTCAACCAGCTAAAAGGTTTTCAAAAATAATGCTGCCACATTACGTCTTTTGGGGTCCTTTAGACCTTTAAGAAGAACCCAGCAACCAAACAGGAAACAAAACAAAAACACACAATACTAAATAAAATATAAATAAAAAAAGGGCTCTTTTGTGCATAATAAAAAAAAAAAAAAGATAGAATGAAAACCTCAAATTAAAAAACAAAAGTCGAAATACTGTCCAAAAATTAGAGCATTATCATAGCATCTCCAAAGTATTTGCATAGATCGTTATGTGCTGGGAATTTTAAAGAAGCACAAAAAGTTGTATAATTGAGAACATTGCCAAGCTTAGAAAACGCCTACAAAACCTCTGAACAAGACCAAATCACAACATTCTTTATTTTGCAGTGGTTGACTTTTTTAGGTCAGGCAATATATTTGTTGTACTGCGACCTTTTGCAGCAATGGTTTTGTGGCACGTCTTACATATCATCACCTTTTGTTTGACGTCCTCAGCGTGAAATCCCAAGTACCCACTGCTATATTACTGATCCAGTGCAGTTTCTCTTCAGAACTAACTCGTCTGAGCCTTCTTTAACATTCACTTGATCAGCTGAAACACCTCCTATCGCCATATTTGTTTGTAGTTTGCTATGGTGTTCGTGCCGTGCAGAAAATAATCAATGATCTAAAATAACTATTAGTTATTTTAGATCATGGATAATTAGTTTAAGAGATAAAGTCAAGGTTTGGTAACTGCTATGGGGGCAGCATATCCTGGTTGCATTTTGTAAAGTATAGCGTTTGCTAGTTTTGTCCCCTAAATTCCAGTGAAAGGAACTATTCTAATACTTCAGCATATTAAGATATTTATGAAAATGTTATGCTCCCAACTTAAGGCATCTAGGAAACGGCAACATCCTTTAGGACAAATAAGAGGGCAATCATGCCTTCATGTCCAATATTAATGTCTGGTCTCACAGATGAGCTTCTAATGGTCAAAAATTTAAATAAAGCCACTCCTAAAACTTGTGGAAAGAATTCCCAAGAGAGATAAAGCTGTTACAGCTGCAAAGGGTGGAATCATAATAAAGATGTTATTCAAGTTCATATTTGAGGCATTAAGAGAAAAAAACACCTGGGAACATAGTGTTAAACTTTAATCATAGCTGCACAACTGCAGCTTTTCTATAGATCTCTTTTATTCATTTAAGTTGTAACTCAAAAATCTTTTTTTTTCCTCAATCCTGCTTAGCAGGCTGTGTCACCTAAGGGATTTCTGCTGCTCCCTTTGGCATTTTTAAACATCTGGTAAGATAATTGGATGAGATCGACCCATTGGAGGTTAACTGTAGATGCTGAAATGTCTGCGGTATAAATATTACATGTAAAAAAAAAAAAAAAAAAAAGATCAAATTACAACCAAACAAAGCAAAAGAAAAAAACATCTATAAACTACAAACCCCAATCTTTACTTGGCAAAGTTTGCAGATTGCACAACATGAATATAATTCAACTGTAAAAAGACATGTATGCACACAACTTTAAAACTTGAGTTTTTACTAATTACAAGAAACCTTACCTGAAGCATCCCATATCCATTCTCCTCAATTGTGCCTCTACAACTGATATGTAAGCATGTCAGCTTGGTCTGTGAACTTAACACAACAAGGATAAATCAAAAATTATTAATTTGCATTAATTAATCTAAGACAAATTCTTATATTTTTCCTGAATATCATATCGGTGCATTGAATGAAAACTGATGGTTACCTTTCCCAGTCTGGTGGACTGGTAAGAACTTGTCTTGTAAACGTAATAAGACCTTTAGGTTCTGGAAATATATATATATAAAATAAAGAAAGAAAAAAGTTAAAGTTTAATGTTTTACTGACTTGATAACAGAAAGAGAATTTAGGTGAGAAGATATTTTTCAGTCTTACTTGTTTCCGTAACTCTCCTGAAGTAACAAAGCAGAGTTTTCAATTTCTCAATTTTTCTTGGTGAGGAGCCTTCAAACAACCTAAAAGAACAAATTAACAAATCAACAAACAGCTGTCAGGCTTTCTACAAATGCTAATGTGGAGATGCTAACTTGGTGATTTATTGTAAATGAATGCGATTGAGCCATACTTGAGCCAGAGTTCAATAGTTTCGATCAGAACACATTCCTGCCCATTCAGAGTCCAAACCTTATTTAATTTAAAGGAAAAGTACACCCAAAACATGATTAGCCTTCATTTTCTACTCACCCCCATGCTGAACAACACTCTGGAGTACTTTTTTGATATCTCAAATGCATCTGGAGATCTGGGAGGCTTCTTGCTGTCTGCTGACATTCAAATAATGGAGGTCTATGGCGCCCGAGACAGAAAGGTCCATAAAAGTCCACAAAAAACGTGTCAATATTCCTCCATACTGCTCGTCCAATGTATTCCAAGTGTCCTGAGTGGGTAGCATCCAGAATTTACTCGAAACGAAGTCATTTAGAATGTTTTTAGAGCATAAACAGTAGCGTATAGGATTTCCTGAAAGCGCGCGCCCGCACGTTCACAACGCTACGGAAGCCGGCAGACCAACCAGATGAAAGTGCGCATTCAGCGTCTGCTCTGCCAATAATGCAAGCGTAGAAGAAGAAATGTGCTGTTTACCTGTGCAAAGAAAGAAACAACGAAAGAAAAATGTCTGAGGACTTCAGTGTTGAGGAAGAGCATGAGTTCTTTGCCGAGCTGAATGCGCACTTTCATCCGGTTTGGTCTGCCGCGGTTTCCGTAGCATCGTGAACGTGCGGGCGCGCGCTTTCAGGAAATCCTATACACTACTGTTTATGCTCTAAAAACATTCTAAATGACTTCGTTTCGAGTAAATTCTGGATGCTACCCACTCAGGACACTTGGAATACATTGCATGAGCAGTATGGAGGGATATTGACACGTTTTTTGTGGACTTTTATGGACCTTTCTGTCTCGGGCACCGTAGACCTCCATTATTTAAATGTCAGCAGACAGCAAGAAGTCTCCCAGATCTCCAGATGCATTTGAGATATCAAAAAAGTACTCCAGAGTGTTGTTCAGCATGGAGGTGAGTAGAAAATGAAGGCTAATCATGTTTTGGGTGTACTATTCCTTTAAGTATAGTTAGTAAGACTAAGGCTGTGTCTGAACATCTGCCCTAACCCCTAAATCCCTCAATCATTATATAGAACGGTGACCATATAGTGGACTTTATTGTTAACTTAACGTTCGGATAGATCGTCACTACTTTTCGCTCTCAGTTGGTCACATAACTTCTCTGCACCATCTTTGTTATTTGTTGCCGTTGTCGGGTAGCAACAGCGGGTAGCTGTCACAAATCCCATAATCCTTTCCACGATACATCTTCTCGTCTAGTTAAAATGGATGATCACTACTTTTCAAGATGAATTGTGGAAAATCTTGAGTGCACTACTTTTTCATCCACTAGACATTCGGACACTCATTTAAAATGGCGTAGGTTCTATATACTATATAGTGCCCTATATAGTGGCGGACATTCGGACACAGACTAAGATTTTGCTGAGAAAGACTCATTTCAGGCAGACTCATGATGTGCTGTGTGGGTAGAGACATAACCAAAACACTAGCAGGAGAAGTACTGACTAAGAAATGACTCAGGAGCTGAATAGATGCCCAAGCCATAGTTTTAACAGTTTATTTTCTTTAAAGACAGAAATACTAAATGAAATACCAGGAACTTCAGGTTTGTGGTTGTAATGTGACAAACTTTTTTGCAAATCCCCATGCACATCATCTATTAAGAAACTTATAACAGACCATGAAATTCCTATGTTTGGTCAAGCTTTCTAGTGGGCACACTTTCTTGTCCACCCTTCTTTCTTTCATTGTTTCTGCCTGGGGCCATTTCAACTTTTGGAAGGTTAAGAAAAAATAATGTGTAAGAACAAGTAAGTGGTGAAGAAAAGCTTAAATGACCACATACTGGGCCTCTCTACACCCTGAGCCCATGGCTAATTAAAATAAGCATTCATCTTTTTCTCCCACTGTTTTTTGTTCAGTTAAGAGTTAGAACAGAGGGATCCAATGAATTCACAAAATTATTGCACTAAAAGCCCTTCAGTGATAAAAGAAAATCTATTAAATACAATCCATGCATGCTTTTCTAAAAGATCAGTTTTTACTAAGTGAATAAAGCAAAGGTTTGTGACCACTTAAGTTGATTACAGAAAGTCGTCCAAAAAGGAAAACAAGCTTTTCAGCCTAAGTGGATAAGAAGTTGCTTAATAAATTATATTTGAATTTCAGCAAAAGGCAAAACACCAAATAAAGGTGTGCTACTGTATCTATGTGCATTCTTTTAAAAGGGACCATTTTTCAAATATTTATAAATGGTAAATTTAAATACAGTTAACTGCTTCTTAATGAACCACATTCTGCATTACAAAGACAACATAAAAAAGTTGTCTGTAGGTTTTTTTTTTGCTTTCTTTTCTAAAACGGTAAAGAATAGGGAATGTATGAGCATTTTTCCCCCTCTGTAAAACGTGTTTCCTGTCACAGTAGTCTCAAACTGCAGAAAACACAAGTTAAAGAAGTCTCCTGCCTGCTGCGCTGCCCCTCCATTGCATCCATCACTTAGCAGAGGACAAACCTTGACAGTTCTGCCAAAACAGCAATCAGCAGATTGCTTGCTGCCCTGCTTGTCCAAGACAGAGAGCTACTGTAGCCAATAAGCAAAGTGACGGACACTCCCTCAATTACCAGGAGAAAGGGAGGGTCGGTAACGATCCAGGGCCCGTTTTAGACTGCAGCGGTTGTCTTATTTCATCTTCTCAGAAAGACCACAGCCAACCCCCTCCTGCTCTTATTCTTTCCTGTTTTTTCCTGCTGGTAGAAATGCTGATAAGGGCCCAAGTGGTTCTAAAAAAAAAAAAAGCCAGCAATGCAACTGAATCAATGTTTATATTATTACAGCATTCTTGTAGATAGCACTTGGAGAGGCAAAGTTGGGCCATAGAACAGATAAATGAAAAAAATTTAAATTTTAGACCAAAGGACAACAAAGTGAACATTATTTAATTTTATAAATCCAAACCTTTTCAGTAGAACAACAGTAGTTTGTTAGGGACCACATGTTGGTTATAACATTACTACTTCCTACCACTAATGAGAAGGAGGAACATCAAGACAAGAGGAAAAGCAGGTTTTGGGAAAAGGGGGTAACAGAGGAGTCATCGCTGTCTCAGTGATGACCCTTACCATAGGGTGGAAAACTTTCATCAGCTGCAGCTGAAAAAGCAGAACTGGCAAGGTATCGATATGAATAATGATACCAGTTTTGTCCAAAAAAGAATCACGAAGCTTGATTTGATCTCTCCTTACAAACTTTCTCAAGTTAAGTCATTACATGAAATTAACATCAAATTATCTAAATAGTAGGGGTGTAAATAATAATCGTTTTGTATCGATGCATCGATCCAACAGCCGACGATCCGATGCATCGATGCGTCCGCAAGAGTATCGATTCATGTTTTTTTTTTCCTCCGGTCTATTTTTATCCATTTGCTCCTGGACGTAATTCTCCCTTCCGTGCTGCGGTGGCGCTAAACCTATTTTGCCCTCCTACTGCGCTTCCTGGTTATACTCTTACAGCAGTGTGTTGCAGTGAGCTTGACACAGACATTTTTGATTTATGCCCAATATTGAAGCATGGTCTGTGCTACACGCTGTGGGTCTAGATACGGCCGAGGCGGTGAGGAAGTGGGGGCGAGTTTAGTCTGACGACGGAGGGACATGAGGGCCAAAAAGAGCGGAGATCCAGGTGGAAAAAGGGTCCCAGCGTTCTCACGCACTTTGCTCTTCTAGCGGGTCAAACATTACGAGTTGTTTTCCGCAATTTCGGTTATAAAAACAAAACAAGCTGCCCTCCTGTCCGCGGCACTGTTTGCAGTGAGCTACAATTTGGGAGAGGTGCAGCAGAGCGTCTGTGAAACGGGGCGGGGACGTCTGGAGCCGAGGTATTGCATTGCACTCATTGCACTGATTTTGTGCAGTATTTTTTGATGCAAGGCCTTTCAGAAGCTATAACACAGGGGCATAATTATTTTTCAGTGAATGAGATTTTAATAGGAATAGGTGGAGGGCAACTTTTCTACTTCTGTTATACAGGTGCTGGTCATAAAATTAGAATATCATGAAAAAGTAGATTGATTTCAGTAATTCCATTTAAAAAGTGAAACTTGTATATTATATTCATACATTACATACAAACTCATATATTTCAGATGTTTATTTTGTTTAATTTTGATGATTACAAATGACAACAAATGAAAATCTCAAATTCATCATATCAGAAAATTAGAATATTACTGAAGACCAATAAAAACAAAGGATTTATAGAAATGTTGGCCAACTGAAAAGTATGAACATGAAAAGTATGAGCATGTACAGCACTCAGTATTTAGTTGGGCCTCCTTTGGCCTGTATTACTGCAGCAATGCGGCGTGGCATGGAGTCGATCAGTCTGTGGCACTGCTCAGGTGTTATGATAGCCCAGGTTGCTCTAATAGTGGCTTTTAGCTCTTCTGAATTGTTGGGTCTGGTGTATTGCATCTTCTTCTTCACAATACCCCATAGATTTTCTATGGGGTTAAGGTCAGGAGAGTTTGCTGGCCAATTAAGAACAGGGATACCATGGTCCTTCAACCAGGTACTGGTAGCTTTGGCACTGTGTGCAGGTGCCAAGTCCTGTTGGAAAATGAAATCTGCATCTCCAAAAAGTTGGTCAGCTGCAGGAAGCATGAAGTGCTCTAAAACTTCCTGGTATGTGGCTGCGTTGACCCTGGACCTCAGAAAACACAATGGACCAACACCAGCAGATGACATGGCACCCCAAACCATCACTGACTGTGGAAACTTTACACTGGACTTCAAGCAACGTGGATGAAGTGCCTCTCTTCTTTTCCTCCAGACTCTGGGACCTTGATTTCCAAAGGAAATGCAAAATTTACTTTCATCAGAGAACATGACTTTGGACCACTCACCAGCAGTCCAGTCCTGTTTCTCTTTAGCCCAGGCAAGACGCTTCTGACGCTGTCTGTGGTTCAAGAGTGGCTTGACACAAGGAATGCGACAGCAGAAACCCATGTCTTTCATACGTCTGTGTGTGGTGGTTCTTGAAGCACTCACTCCAGCTGCAGTCTACTCTTTGTGAATCTCCCCCACATTTTTGAATGGGTTTTGTTTCACAATCCTCTCCAGGGTGCGGTTATCTCTCTTGCTTGTACACTTTTTTCGACCACATCTTTTCCTTCCCTTCGCCTCTCTATTAATGTGCTTGGACACTGAGCTCTGTGAACAGCCAGCCTCTTTAGCGATGACCTTTTGTGTCTTGCCCTCCTTGTGCAAGGTGTCGATGGTCGTCTTTTGGACAACTGTCAAGTCAGCAGTCTTCCCCATGATTGTGTAGCCTATAGAACTAGACTGAAAGACCATTTAAAGGCTTTTGCAGGTGGTTTGAGTTAATTAGCTGATTAGAGTGTGGCACCAGGGGCCATCAATTTTGAACCTTTTCACAATATTCTAATTTTCTGATATGATGAATTTGAGATTTTCATTTGTTGTCATTTGTAATCATCAAAATTAAACAAAATAAACATCTGAAATATATGAGTTTGTATGTAATGTATGAATATAATATACAAGTTTCACTTTTTAAATGGAATTACTGAAATCAATCTACTTTTTCATGATATTCTAATTTTATGACCAGCACCTGTATGCTGTTGTTTCTGAAATATTGTTGTCTAGCCTGTAAGGTGTTAAAAAAAAAAAATTATCGAATCGTATCGTGGCGTATTCTTGAGTATCGAAAATAATTGAATCATTGGGTCAGGAAATCAATACTGAATCGAATTGCCATGATGGCTGTGATTTACACCCCTACTAAATAGGTCCGCAATATAAGAGCCATCTAGGAAGCAAATAGGATATATATATATAGGATTTTCAAATAGGCTAAGATGCAAATGTTAGCTTTTGTTTCAATGAGAGCTGATATTTAGCTTTCAAAGTCACAATAATAAGACAATGATCATCTACTGAAACTTGAGAGTGCACAGACCCCTAAACGTCTTTAAATATTATCATAGCCTTTTATGGGACAACAATAAGGTATAACACTTAGATGCCATGTAAAGTAGTAAGCTTACAGCTTGTATATATCAGTACAAACTGGATGTCCTCTAAATAAATATACAGCCATTAAAGTCTTAACAACTGGGGATAAAGTGAGCTGTCGTTGTTACAGTGGGATTGGACGAATTTAAATAATATTAGATGTAAACCTGCCAGGAGTAAGACAACATTAGGCTTTAAATTTGTGCATTCACTCATCTCAAATAAATAGGCATCTAAAGATTATGATTAATCGAGGAAAACAAGACAACTGTGTAATTCAAACCAGTATAGAGGAAGTTTTTTAGTTAGCCTTCTGTTATTTGGGTCTCCAGGCTATTAACTGTAGAGATAATAGTAACAGAAAATACTAATTCAAACCACACCTACAACAATCTTCATTCTAAAAACGGACCTGGAAGGGAGGAATGAATCTCAGCCCAAACCCTTTTCTAGTAATAGAAGTTACAGCGAGCATCGCAAAACTAATTATCAGGTAAAAACAAAAGTAATGGTCCGCCATCTGGCCTCCATCAGCGAACTATTCTATATGTTAAAAATGTAAAGAACCTAAACATCAACAGGATTATTTAAACTGGTTACAAATAAAAAAAACAGATTTTTGTTACAATTGTTTTTCCAATGCAGTAGCTCCCCCTGATGGAAATAATATTTCAATGTAAGGAAGAAAAAAAAAAAAAAAAAACATAATTTTGTACCATTTTTCCCCAGGCTAAGAGTTTACCTGTAGAAGTTGATTTCAGGATAGTTGCCGTACTCCGACCTGCGGGAATTGCGTCGTGGGAAAGTGCAGAAGAAGGCGTTGGCCAAAAGACAGGCTATTTGCTCTTGAGACAGAGTCAGGGAATGGTTCATACCCGACTTTAGAAGAGGAATTGGCTAAAGGGAGACAAAGCATACAGAAAGACAACATAGGCATAAAAAGACAAGAAAGATCAATATATATATAAAATCATGACATAAGACAATGGAAGGCAAAACTGAAAATACATGCAGGATTTTGTAGGAGTAGCATAATAGCTTGGAAGGCTAATGAGAGCAGAAAATCAGTTTAGCGATTTAGCAAGCAGGAGATAAGGAGGGTTCCATTAGTTAAATGGGTGGTAGTAATTAAGGTTCCGGTTTTTTTTTTTGCTCTCCCTCAGGTTCGTTCAGACACATGGGGGCCATCAATCTTTACTGATTAGGGCTAAGGAGTCTCCCAAGGCCGCCAAGTAGGCAGATCAATACAAGCTCTAATCACACACGCATAAACATGAACTTTTCATGTCTAATACTACAGACAATCTCTATACTTTATAGCTAAGAGTACAGTTCTGATTACAGTGCTGAAGTGCTGCTCTCTTTGAAAAAGTCACTGGAGGGTTTTTTTCCCTCTCCTTTCCAAGTGGGAGTTGAATTCAGCAAATTAAATTAACAAAAGACTCTGTAATAGATAACGCAATTACAAAAATACCAATCTTGTAATTATTCCTGTACTGCCATAATGGATGACTTAGTCTGAAAACAAAGACAAATGGAGATGACATTTCGACAGATCTCTAAGACAGACCAGCTGTATGTGCTGGGAATTAAAGAGAGGTCTGTTGGCTTTAATGGTCACTAGCATGTCTTCCCTACATCTATTTCTCAATGATAGGAATTCCTGGTGCAGAATGTTTACTTTAGTAATGAAGGAATAGTCATTAAACACAGCATACAAGAACAAGACCTGTAAACAAAGAAAATGCCATGTTTATTGACCTTTTTACATAAAAAACAGGCTTGATGAGGATTCTTTAGTACAATCTAGTAAAGACGTTTAGCATTACAAACACGTATTATGTGTTCTTAAAAATGTAGTACCAATAAAATGGGGGTACTATATTAAAATAAATAAATAAAAAATAAAACCCCACTTTCCAAAAAAAGCATCTCAGACATTTTGCTGCCGACACAAACCGAACCAGCAAAATCAACCCTCGGAACATTTCAAACTAGGGAAATAAATGTGAAATGTATTTTCAACTTTGTAATTCAGCGAAAGCATTTTGGAAGAATCTTTTGTTTATGGTGTATAAAAAGTTAATCAGAAAAGAAGTCCTTTTTATAAGTTTTCTTGTTGGAAAATTCAATGCAATGTTTATAATGGCTTTGTGTTGCTGTTTAACAGATTTTACACTGTTTAACAGATTTTACACCCAATACTCTCAGTTGGTCAGCAAAAATAATAAGACCAGGCTTTACACCTGAGGTAGCTCAACAAGCATCTACTTCCTAAAGCACAGGAGCAGCAACCCAAAAAAAAAGAAATAGTTTAAACCTTGACATTAATAGTCACATAAGGGAATTGAAATCATATTATCAAATGTAGTTGTTGTAGAGTTGATATCTGTGGGCAGGATTTCTGTAGAGGTCAGTGCTACAGCAGATCTGAAAAAGCTTCTGACTGAAGACAATCTGATGTTATAAAACAAGCTGATGAAGGGAAGATCAGAGTTGTACTTGATCCTCATTTTATTGTTTCTAAAATCATCTACAGGTGGTCCAGAGGAGTCCCAAGAACAGAACCCATATTCTGTTTCAGCTTGATTAAGTTGGATGGTCCGATCCAGCTACACTACACATCAAGTACTAAGCTGCATGCTTTTATTAATTATGATCATTAGACAGCAATCTGAAAGAAGCTTTTTCTCCCCATTTATATTCACAAATTGTTGGATTCCTCTCAGACACCGAAACAATTGTCTGTGCAAATCTCTTTTATAAAAACTGTTGTTCATTTGATATACGAACAGCATATTTGTTTACACCAAAAATTTGTAAATCTGTAAACATGTTAGATTTATTTAATTTATTTTACTTCTATAAAAAGTATTTAAAAACCTTAAAGGTCATAGCTACAACATTTTAATCAATACTATTTTTTCTAGGGATGCACGATATTGGGATTTTGGTCGATATCCGATATGCCGATATTTTAAAACTCATGTAGCCGATAACGGATACCGATACCGATGTTAAAGCTGGACAAAAATAAGTCGTCAATGAAAATAGCAGTTTTGTTATCCATTTCTGACACTTTGAAAAATAATATACTCCAATTTTCTTATGCTGATATCAAATTGATTTTTAAAAACGCGGTATCGATCTATTTTACTTTCAAAATCTCGTGAAATTTCATCGTTCTGTTACAAACTCTTGTGATATTTTGCAAATTCTTGTGAGATTTTGTAAGTAAAATAGATCAATACCACGTCAATATATCAACATATAAAAATATGGCAAAATTTCGTGAATTTTCGGGGGATTTCGTAGCATAAAGATGACATATAGCAATATTTCATTAGTAAAAGAGATTGATATGGTGTTTTTAAATGGCAATATATCAGCATATGAAGATATTGTGATATTTTAATGTATCAATATTTTTTCCCTCGTCTTTAGAAGTTTTTAAGTCTGTAAAAAAGACGTTTTTGAGGAAGAAGAAGAAGTAGTATTTTTATTTGTTTTTTTAGACTTTAGACTATGTGTGTTGTAACTGCGACTTTTGAGACCACCTCATTGAGGAGATGATGAAAGAGTGGCTGAATGTAAGGAGACCAGGTGTTTTTTTTTCCACTCATCACCATCGCTGTTATTCTGTGACTCCATGCGTGCCCATCTCACAGCTGATGTGAAAAACATGGTGAAACAAATTAAGCTGTGCTCGCTGTTCAACCGCTTGACATCGGTGTGAACCGGACCCAGCAGGTGCAGCAGAAGCAGCGTGTTTACATGCAAAGTCAATGGTTGACGCGCGTATAGGTGCAGCAAAAGGTCCTGCAGCGCGTTTTGAGCTGCAGGTGCAGCACGTCGGGAGCGTTTAAGCATCTGCCAACGCGCTGCTGCTGCTCGAGATGGAAAAATTGAAGTTTTGCTGCTGGAAGCGCCGCATCAACCAATCAGAGAAGCTGATCTGGGAGCTGACAGCGAGACAGACACAGCGCTCTGATGACTTATGATATTAAGGCAAATGAAAAAGGCTGGATGGATGAGGAGATGATGAAAGCGTGGCTGAGGCAGGTGTATGTGAGGAGACCAGGTGGTTTTTTCCACCCATCACCATCGCTGTTAATCTGTGACTGCGTGCCCATCTCACAGCCGATGTGAAAAAAAAGGTGAATCAAATGAACGCTGTTATCCCGGGGGTCTGACAAAGGAACTTCAACCGCTCGACATCGGTGTGAACCGGCCGTTCAAAGTAAGGTTGCGAGCGGCGTGGGAGCGATGGATGACAGACGGAGACCACAGTTTCAGGAAAAGTGGAATGCAGCGCCGGGCGAGTTACGCCACCGTTTGCGGATGGATTACAGATGGACTAACGTGTCTGCTGGCACTGTTGTTCAAGCTTTCGCAAAAGCCGGCATTATTTCTGAGGAGCCGCGCTGCACGGAAAGTGACTCTGACAGCGAAGAAGGGGAAACTGGCATGTCTGATTTAGCGCGGCTGTTTAATTCAGAAACAGAGGATGATGACTTTGATGGGTTTGATTAATACTTTGTAAAAAATACATGAATAAAGCACAATCATACTCAGTTTTGCTCCCGCTCTATTTTTCTACCTGAAAACTTAATTCAACAGCAGCCTCTGGGCCGGGTCTCCTCCGGGTTCACCGCGGCGGCTGGCAGGTGTTTTTTCATCTAAATACTGTAAATTCTCTAATATAGGCCCGGGCCTTTATTTCACTCAAGTGCATCGCGGTCCAGGCCTTTATTGGAAGGAGGCCAGAATTAGAGACAGGCCTCTATTGCTATTTGAGCAAAACAGACTACCAGTGGAATGAATAAAAAATTAGATTTTGTGTCTATTTGAACCTATAAAACACTAGGTTCATTTATTGAACAAGAACAGTTACCATAACGGTATACAGAAATTTAACAACAAATAGCCTACCTGTAATTCAGGCTAAATTCCAGTGGAAAAAAACGTAGCAAACATACCAGTAGTGCAACTAGTGCAATGTAAACACTTAACCATACATGGTGATAATTAGGCTGTTTTATAACAAAAAGCAACTTACAGGTTTAGACACCTCCTCGCTCACTCAAATTGTCTCGCTTGGTGTGAAGTAAAAAAAAAAAATCCTCCAACTCTGTTTAATCCTCCTCCTCAGTTTCCTCCTCCTCAGTTTCCTCCTCATCTTCATCTCTCCCTGTATTCTCCTCATCACTCGCGCCAGTCTCTATCACAAGTTCATTATTGTACAGTTCCTCTTCGTCCTCCTCATGTTTTGCCGCGTGTCTGTTTTCTTCCTCGCGCAAACGGGCAGCAGTCAGGGCCTGTCGTCCAGCAGCGCAGGGCTGTGGTACTTGTATGTTACTACCACAAGTATAACGTTGAGGTATGCCCAGAAAAAACGTTTATAGCCCCGGCCTGTATAAGAGACCGGCCATTATTTACCTCCGCCATCAGCGAGACAGGCCATTATTAGAGACCCGGCCACTAATGGAATACAGGCCAATATTAGAGAATTTACGGTAATCTAAATCTTACAGCTATATTTGCTGTGATCAGTGGGAATAAAGTAGTTTTAATATGTTTTAAAGTGAGAAAGTCCACCTGAAAACTTAATCATTGCAGTCAGTTCATCCAGATTATCTATTTTTGTCGGAGGCGCTCAGACCCCCACATACCAGCGGTACACCGACAGTAGAAATCCCTTCAACAGCAGCCTCTAGGCCGGGTAGCCTCCGGGTTCACCGCGGTGGCTGGCAGGTGTTTTTCATCTAAATAATTTAAACTGCAGGCACCAGGATACCGGCAATAAAAGCAAACATATTCCGTCGGCAGGTTTTAGGATTTTAAGTTAATTTAGAAGTGATCACAGTGCTCTGTCATCTGCGATGTGTCTGTCTCACGGCCAGCTCCCAGGTTTGATTAATACTTTGTAATAAATACATGAATAAAGCACAGTCATACTACTCAGTTTTGCCCCAGTTATGCGCAGTAGAGGTATTTAAAGGTAGTAGAGGGCATGTACCTGTATATAAAAAACGCGCCCTATAGTCCGGTGCGCCTTATGTGTGTGTTAAATACAGAAATGGCACACATAACTGAGACTGCGCCTTTTAGTACGGTGCGCCTTATGGTCGTGAAAATACGGTACCTTTTGCCAGGTTCTAGTGGCTCTATGGTAGCTCTGAAGAATGGCTTTCTTCAAAATAAAAATAAAACAAGGGCGAGCATCAGACAAGCTTTTGAGCACTGTTGCCAACTTAAGGAAGCAATGGGATTCAGTGGGCTGTTTTTCTTCTAAACTGGTATGTTGAATATTTTGCTTAATTAGCATTAGCCAACATGTCAACACTTACTGGCTGGGAGGAGTTAAGCTTATAGAGATCACCTTTAAATATGAGAACACATAACCAGAAACATAAATTAAATTTTGGAGAGTTTTTAGGATACATGATTGATTGAAAGAACTACAAAAGGAAACATAACATACGTATGTTAGGAATATAAAAAGCATGCAAATCTCCCAGTCCTATAAACTTACCGTTGTGCAAAGGTGGGGAGCGCGAAGTGCCAGATGTACCATAGCAGGCAGTACGGCCTCGAACAGCTGCTGCACCTCACAAAGTTCAAGATACTGGAGAAAAGCCAAAACACGAAAGCAGAGTCATTTTTTTCATCCAATGGGTTGGAAGCGCTCAATGTTACAAATCGCAGTCCGTTTACTGGTTTCCTTCCAAATTTTAGATATAACAAAGAAAGAAATTAGCTTTTCCTGTTGCAGCTCTCAAATCATGAAATTGTCCACTGCCGTAAATTAAAAAAGCCAGTTCACAAACCATTTCTAAATCTGCTCTGAACTTTTCTGTGGCATTTCTGTTAAAATTTAGAATGTTGATTTGAATTTTTTTAATTTTTGTTTTTTCCCCATCTCTGTTATGGCTCAATGTTTAAAAAGTGTTATAATGCTGAAAAGTCATGGTTTAGAACTCAGTACCAGCAGCCAGATTTGAACCTTTTCTAAAACAGAGCATAGAATTCATATGTTGGAAGAAAATACTGACATGATTTAGGCTACTAAAGATAATAGAAAACCTACTTCAGAAATGCAGAAAAACTATAAATGTTACATAAATAAAATGTTGGGCTAGTGTTACAATTGCCATATACCGCATTTTCTGGACTATGAGCGGCTACTTTTTTCCCACGCTTTAAACCATATGGATTATAAGAAGGTGCGGCTTTTCTGTGGACTTTCCTAACGGCCACAGGTGGGAGTGGGGGTGAAAGAAGGGCCTCTATTTCATTTAGCACAAAAACATGCTAGCAGCAGGCACAATGGGAACAAATGTCCTAAATCCACATATCTTGACATTTATTGGCAGCATTAAAGTTGCCGAACCAATGAAGAAACTGGGCTCAACTCCTGAAGAGCTGAATTAAAGAGCCGACAAAGCCCCCATTTTCAGTAGAAGCCCTTACTGCTGCGAGCTAACAAGCTAAGAGGAGCTAGCATTCTTCTTCATCCCTAACTTAGTGGCGATATGTAGTGCTCCCCCTACAGGTTTGGTGGGAGACAGTTCAGTAGATATCAGCGGCTTATAGCCTGGTGAGGCTTATATATGTACTTTTCCAGCGTTTTCAAAAAAAATTAGTGGGTGCAGCTTAAAGTGAGGTGCGCTCTATACTCCAGACAATACGTATATTTCATTACTATAAGTCTAATTTTTATTATTTGATGTTTACCAATTGTATTGATGAACAAGGTATTTGTATTATATCATAGCTACACACTTTTATGCATTTCTTGTACAGTTTTAATTTATGAATTTAGCTCACTGCAATTTTACCCATTAAAGTTTAACATCTGCATATCTATTTGCATGTTTTTATTTTGTTTTTCATTTCCTGCATTTTACTGTCCCCAGTCCCAGCTGGTTGTAACAAACCAGACTGTTCTGCTCCATGTGGTCTTCGATAAAGTCAATGTAATACATCCTAGATATCAAACTGCACCAATGTTTTCAAACAAGGACCGAAACTGCTGCTGAGCCACTCGGAGCACAGAACGCATTTAGAGGAAAGTATCATCAATCTGAAAATGAGCCCGCCATGAATGAGGCATCTATACTTCAGCTGCCGCTTACCTCAGCATCCATTGGCAATTCCCACTAAAATACACATCCAGGTTTTCGATCATACACCCAGATTTACAACACAATCATTTATGAGTGTATTGGCTTCGAATGTCACAGTCATCAATCACTTGCCTTATTCTATCAAGGTAAGCAGAGGAGCTTGGTCTGATTAAATGGACCTTCTGGAGCAAATGCAAATGACCAATTGTGGGGAGAGTGGCAGGCTGGTTGATTTTCAAGAGGAAGTCTTCTGCGCTTGACTTGGCTAGGAGCATTTATATGGCTGCAGAGCAGGTCTGACTAAATGCTGTCAGAAGTAATGAGCTGGCAGACATCCTAAAGTGCTCTGTTGGGACTAATAGATAGTAGTTGGTGATGCAGCAGGATGATGACAGAAACGGAGTAGCTGCATTTACAGCAGATAAAGCAGCAATGTGGCCACATGGTGAGGCAGTGCAAACCAAATGGTTTTCACATTTAAATATTTTAAATCGTCTTAAAACATATCTTAAGATTTAGAAGTTACTGGTTAATTAGGCTTAGATATCTTGATTAAAAAGCAAATATCATTTCTTGAAGGGTAAAAACTGTAGCAGTACTGGTTTTTGTACGTACAATATATTAGCCAGAAAATCCTAATCCTGTTCGGTCCACACAAACATTCATCAGATGGTGACACAGTGACAGTTTCATTCAGCTGAGAGGGAAACACTATGGCGATTTACAGACAAGCTCTAATTTGGAAAAAACCTTTTTCTTTTCTGCCCCTGTTGCACATTGAGAGGCACGTCAATCATTGGCTCAGGGGTAATACACCTCCACATAATTACCCCAAGGCAAAAAAAAAAAATGTTGCTTAGAATTTGATTAAGCAATCCAGGGTAAGGGGAGGAGCAATAGTTTCATTCTCAATGGTTTTAAAGATTTGTTTTTGTTAAAAAGCAGTTCCTCTGTGTAACAGGACTGTTTTTGAATTTGTTGATCTCACCATAAAGCCAGGAGGTGGACCACAGTGCAGCAATCAGCTATTTAAACGCCGCTGCACTGCAAAAACAATCTAAATATGAGTAAATGATCTTAAAATAAGTAGGTAAATAAAGGATCTGCCAATGGAATTAGTACGTTTCCCTTAAATAAGATCATTATATATGGATATTGAAATAAGTGTTTGAGACCGCAGTTGTCTTTTATCTTTTAAAAACTGTCAGATTCCATTGGAAAAATGTCTCACTTAACTATTCAATTCAAGAAAAAAATGCACTTATTTGAAGAGAAATTGACTTTCTTAGATTTAACTTTTTTTGCTGCATGTTTTGGAGACACCTATTAGGGTCCTGTTAAAAGGGTCTGAGAAAAAAATGTAGCAGCAGTGGTAGAGGAACGTAATAGTGAAGCAGGCGGCAAACTCCTCTGTTTCCCCAGAAGCACCAAATCAGGCGGGATCAGGGGCGCGGTCTCTAGAGGTACACAACCAGCCCAGCGCTAGATAACAAGCACTTGTGAGTAGCAATTCACCATACGTTCTAGGAAGCCTTTGAAGGTTGCAGCGCTGCACACACGTATGTGCACTAGAAAAATAGTGTTATGATGTGGGGATACTGGAGCCTTTCTCTGCAGTTTTTCCAGGCTGATGGGGGTGTGATGTGCAGGGTATCAAAAGAGAAGAGTCAGTCTGGGAGTGAAGTAGCTGCAGGCCAGTGAATGGTGGAGAACATGCGGCAGACAAACCAGTGCTGAGTCCAGTTTCAGAAAGTGGGCTTAACCTATTTTGAGTATAGAGCAGATATCAACTTATTCTGCTTTGTAAGATTCAAGATTTTCAGGTTCAGAACAGGGGATTTTAATCAGCTAACTTCTATCTGAGTTAAAGGTGCTGTAGGAGATCTTGGAAAAACGGTTCCAGCAAGATATATTTTTGAACATAAACAACCATGCCTCTCCCTTCAGACCAAACCTCGAAACCACGCCTTCAAAACATATGAACGGGCATGAAGTCTGTCGAGGTATTCAGATGAGGTCAAGAATAAAACAAGCCGAGACCAAGTGCTTGTGACACAAGCTAACAACAACATAATGTTATGTTTACACCTAAAGCAGAAGAGGCAGCAAAAGCAGCTAGTTTACATGCAGTCAATGGTTCAAGCTTCACGGCTCGTCATGTCAAAATAGATTCAAACTACTTTTTACTCACAGCAAACATAGCTGCCATTGTTACAGGCAAAGGAAGGATAGGGTAGATCCACCCAACGTGTATCAGACCCACTTTTTCCACCCCGCAGCCAGAGCAGCAGAGATGCTTCAGCTGCTCGTCAGAACTTAAGTTGTACAAGCGTCAAAAATAAAGCAGCACATGCATTTTTGCTGCTCGTGCTCCTTTAGGTGTGAACAAAGCATAACAGTGGCTAGCTTCCAGTCATGGCGTCCCGCACGAGCGTTGGGGGGTTGATTCGTTCATGTGTCAGAGTAAGCGCACGGGGGGAGGGACAAGCAGACGACCATGACTGACATGTCAGGAACCAATAGTGTACAACAGACCGTCTTTTCTGACTGGTGGGGGTTATTAATTGATTTCTAACTGTAGCGTTGACCGTTTATTTTAGTTTCACTTCCAGACCTTCTATTTCACTGCTTGCTATACGATTGTGGGGAGATCTTTAAGCCACATGGTAAAAAATGCATCAGAAAAGATCTCTTACTGCACCTTTAAGGAAGCCCAGAATCTAGGGTAAGCAGGAGCACATAAGAAGCCTCAAAGAGGCATTTCTCAGCGGAAGAACTAAAAATATTAATGATGCCATGTAGAGATTACAAAACATATTAAAAAAAGAAGAGACAATACAGTTTCTGTTGCAAAATAAAGAGGTTTAACGTGGTTTTATGCAAACCTCTGGTTATATGGTGACAAGTTTTTTTCTCAACACCACAATTATTTTACTTTAAATAAGCAATGTGTATCTGGGTGCACTGATTTCTTCCTGAAGTATTTGGAGCTTTTCTGTCTGCAAAGGTTAATAGTAAAATATAATTAGCAAAACTTGTGTTTTTTAATCTTGAGGAGATGGATCTAATGGACAATTAAAGTGTATGCTAACAGTTTAACACTAAATCGCTGACAGTTTAGCACTAAAAAGGAAGTACAGCAAAAAGAACATGTCATCGATGTAGCATAAAAGTGATCTGAGGCTGGAATTTTATCAAGATAAATTGACAGAAATGGTGATGCTCAAAAACGTACTGTATGAATCTGTATTACAAATGCATTTTGTAAAGGATGCACCATTTCTGATGATTTTTTTCAATCCGACCTAAGCTCGACTGTAGACAGAATCAGGAAAACTTTAGGAAATTCAGCTCCTGACCGCACCCCCCTCCAGTTAAATTGAAGATGTAGTATATTATATATATATATATATAAAATTTTCTTTTTACATTTTTGTGTTGTCCAGTCTTTTGGGTTCCCTAGTTTCTTGCTCTGTGTTAAATTGATCAGCTCGTCATGAGAGGGAATGAATCTAAGAAATAAATTTCTATTATCTTCATATTCATGTAACCTTTAATAAGCACAACTCGATCAAACTTTACAGTGAAAATATGCTAAACTTGATTAGTTATCTATGCAAAGACTTGTTTTCCTCTTAACCTTAGAAAATATTACAGTTAAGATGTCTATAAATATCTTAAGTGCTGCAGAAAGATAACTAACATTTGTCTGCATAGTTGCAGTCAGTCTGAAGAGGGGATAGAAAGTGTAAATGAAAGAGAAGAAAGTTTAGATGAGACGTTGCTCTTGTTTATCTGCAACAGCTGCTGATGCTTTGATCTGCACTCGTCTATGCTAACTGTATGGCGCTCCCATGAGCCTCAGAAACCTTTCGAGGATGATGAACAGCAGCTTGTGTGCAGTCAAGTGAATTAAAGCAGACTTTCTTCACCAGCAATATACCATTCGCTTAGTTCTTTTTATCACAAGAAACTAAAGATAAAATCACTGCTACACAAAAATTGATTAACAAAATAACTGAAAGAATTTTACCACTTTTGTTTATGCTCATTCTATTAACTCTCAGGAAGATTCAATTTTTGTTTTTTAAGCAAGACAAAATTTATAAAAAGAAATTAGTAGCCACTATCGCTTTCATTTTATTGGGCATAGGAATTATGTTTTGACCTGCTCACCTCTGTGCAAAAAAGGTTCAAGGCAGTGAAGTCCCATTTCTTTGTGTGAGCCATGTTGTACCTCAGTATTGCATCCTAGGGAGGAGAATGGAAGCTATTTAATAATAGAAAATAAGAAGGCTGACCGTCTATCTTAAATAGAACGATAAATGTATACTGAGGAACCTGAGGAAAAGTGGTTATAAACTCTGCCACCATGTGGTTGCTTATGGTACATGTTCTGAAATTCACACAAAATGCTTAAAAAAGTAAAAACAAAAACTTTAGAAGAAAATCTACTGTATTTTTATTTATTTATCTTTTGCTTTTTGGTTACGAACATCAATTGAGATGTTTGTTGACCCTGGCTTAAACAGTATCCACAAAATAAAGTCATTACACATAAGCAAACAATTAGTTATAAAACATACAAAGAAAATAATGGAAAGAGGATTTAGTCAACATCTGAACTGCTTAGTTTGACAATATCAATCCATATTATAAAAAATAAAAAAAAATACACAAACATGGAAAGTTCTTACCCTGACATCCAGACAACTTTTGAATCCTCGCTGTAAGGAAGTACAGATCAGCTCCCACCGACTCTGCAAACTGCTTCCATCCTTTATGAGAATTATTGAAGAAAAACATGTTTTTTCAAGTAATTTAATCTCAAGATTTAAAGAGGTGCTATGGTACAAGGTTTAACATGAAAGCTCATTTAAAATACCTCAGTCTCGAGAGGAAACATGTTTTTTTCAGAGCAGGGCATCTTAACAGACACATCATCCCACGCATCTCTGAACTTGGAGGGGTATGGGATGGGGACGTCTCCCTCTTTGAGAAGATCCGTCTGTAACAGAGTAAAGTTACTGTTGTTTTTTTTACAGCAATAAAGTCTGGAATCCAAACTTATGATCATGTCTAAATAACTTTGATTCAGGAAATCAGGAAATTGGAATAAATAGAATACAATACAATAAAATAAAACCCAAAGGTAAAATACCAAACTTGAACCTTTCAATGCACAAACAATTCCTATTTATTGTTGAGTAGATTTGTCAGGAAAACACCTACTTCTGTTTTACAAAACTTTTATTCCAAACCTAGCTTCATTTATAAAAGCACCTTTTAAATAATATCACGTCAAGTACTCTTCAAAGGCACCTTAAACTGGTAAATTCAGACATGAATATAAATAATTTTATATGGACATGACTTGTAAAAAATCTATTTAGGACCAAAAAATAATACACATCACACTGTAAGTATTACTGACTCACCAATTCATGTTACTGAAGTCAGAGCACTTGTTCAACTTTTAAAACCAGCAGCTTTGAAGCATACAAACTAAAAGCAGCGCAAAGCCTTGCATCCACTGGTTTAAGCCAATCCACAATTAAACTCTAAAGCAGCAGAAAATATTGTCAGGATTAACTTTTTATTGTACATCAATTTATTGGTCTACAATTTCTAAAATCTTGGTTTAGCAGTTTCCAGGAAACAGCACTGATTACCTGACTGTACATCAGGCACAGTCAAACACAGATTATGGTGTGGATCCTTTTTTCTTTTCGGAGCTAAGCCATATGAAAGCTTAGTAAAAGGCACTTTATAATCCACAGCTGTATAATTTTCATTTTGTATCTTTTAACTCTTCAACTTCTGTGTTTTCTATGCTTGATATTTTTTTGTCGTAAAGCATTTTTTTTCTCTTACTGCAATTATTTGGCATTTTAAACAACATCATGCAACCAACTTTGTGTGAACAGTGAAATATTCGAATGCAAATTTCCACAACAGGACAGAGCTCAAGAAAAACATGGCTGACCAAGTTAGGTGTGGAAGGACTTAAATTGCATCCAAAGAGTCTCACACTCATCCTAGAAGAACATCTTTGACATAAATGAGAAGGAGGACACAAACCTTCTTGTCTAACAACACAAATTAATTTCTCATTTAGTGGTCAAACATTCCAATGATAAAGATTCAGCTCTTTATTTTTTATTTAGAGGAGTAAAGCGGGGACGAAGATGTTGTGGAAGAGGACGCCAGGTCGGCAGAAGCTTAGTTTGGTGTAGAAGGCTTACAGCCTTACATGTTTGAACCCTTTGCCTCGCAATGCTGCCAGTTCTGTTAGCTCTACGCCTCCTGAAGCCACAGACGTCCATCTCCGTGAACCCTGGGATGTAACTCAATGGTACAGTCGATGATTCTTATTTCTTATTCTACTGTTGCGTATATTAGGTGTGACAGATGAATCTAGATGCTATGACCGAACAAATTGGATTGACAGATGACTGTTGACACATAACTGGCCAAATTTAGGTGTACAAGCTGACGTATAACTATCTGGCCTGCATAAGATAATGAAAAAAAAAAAACACAGATTATAAGACAGGATTTTTTTTTTTTTAATCGACATTTTTAAATTTTGGGACAATATCGTCTGATAAAGAGCACATTTAAATACATGTTTAAGCCAGAATGATTTGACATTTAAATATGATTTCCCTACGACTTTAAAGACATGATTTTTTTCTTTTGACAATGGGATATCCATTTTTTTATACACAAAAAACTGTTTTTACATATTGATCTAGCCCTGGAAAATTTTTGAGTCTTATATCAGGATCTTCCAGACTGTAGGAATCATTAACAGGTCAGTATTACCTCTAATTTTAGTATTGTCATGGTTGTAGCTGATGAGAAACAACTGTGCCTCCTTGTCTAGTATAGCTGCAGTGAATGTTGATGATGCAATTTTTTCTAGCCTTACACATGAACAGACACCATTCCTGTGGGACGGGCAATGGAGGATAGTCTGAGACAATCTTTACTGACAAGACACCCTGAGGGAATCAGAGGATAGCTCAGCCCAGTGCCCTCTACTCTGATTTCCTTCTCACACTGTATTTCTACTTCTGAAGTAGTTTTTTTTTATTATTATTATTTAACCTCTTGTCTCTATTCAAAAGTGAAAATATTAAAGGACCTGCTCTGCAATGCCTGTATTCTTGATAGGATGTCATTCTTTTTTTACCACTGAGAAGAAGTCTATATGAAAATGAGTGCCTGTTAACTCACCCTAATTGTTACGGTGTGATTTGGTTTTGCTTTCAGGTGAGGCAGAGGGGGAGCGCATTGAGGATTTCGGTTGAGTTCATCAATGGGAGTACCCATCCATTCTTTGTCAGAGCTACAGAAGGCCAGTGGAGGACTGCAAAAGGCACAGAAGGTCACCGTATAAGGATTTGAGTGAAGGGCAATGTCAGTAGCAAAGTCATCCACTACAAAAAAACACAAATTAACATGTAAATAATTTGTACCTTTTAAACATTTCATCTGGCTGGCTCACAAAATCCTGACTCATTTTAGAGGAGCCACTGCACTCCCCCATCTCTACGTCTTCTTCTCCAATGGAGAGTTTTTCCTGCGTTAAACTTCCACAGTCTGACACTTTGACAACCTGCTGAGATTTTTTACCAGGCTCCTTTGCAAATCCAGAGTCTTCTACACAGACACCCCTTCCATCACATAACTCTGTGTTGTTGGTGATGGTTACGCAAACTGGACTGTCAGGACTGAGCATCTCCACATCACTCGGTGTGCCAGAAATTTTACCAGGGCTGTTACTAAGACAAAGGGTGAGTTTTGGTTTTGGGGGGCCGTGAGGACCAGGTGAACTTGGTCGCCTTGTTTTTTGTCCATTAGAACTGTGAGCTCGATTACTTCTGCTTTCGGCAGGAACCGATTCATCCACCTCACCTGCAGACTCACAGTCTGCGGAATTTTGACAAGCCAGCCCATCAGGAAAGCCCTCTGATTCCACAAAGTCTTTAGTTTGGTTGGAAATTTGGAGTTCCCCTTGTGCATCTTTTGGTTGAACATCTTCACTTATGCCTTCTGGTCTTTGTTCCACAGTCAAACTGTAAAAAAGAAAAAAAAGAAGAAAGATTATCAATAGAATTAACTTAAGAGCATCTGAAGTGAAGGATTCATGCATTTTTACCTTTTAAACTTAATTCCATTAAAACTATAAACCCTAATTTGGTTATTATACTCTAAAGTTAAGGAACTGCATAGCTTCATCCATGTTCTGTTAAAACTAGGGATGCACAGATCCACATTATTTCAATTCTGATGCACTTCAGTTGTAATATCTGCCGATATTGACATTAATATCAGATCAGTGCATCTCTACTTAAAACCACCAGAGTCATGAATGCAACAATACTAATAGTGCATAAGAAATGTCACATCTAAAGCTGTGAAGAAGATAAAGAAAAGAAAACCTAATATCCAACACTTTCAACATTTTAGATATAACAATATCTACACAGTATAGAGATAATGAAAGACTACACGGTAGTTGGCTTGGATTATAACACTTGCACTGCAGAGATGTACTTATTTATATGGTCAGTACATCTCTACAGTGCAAGTGTAATAATCCAAGTCAACTACTGTGTAGTCTTTCCTTAGTTCTTTACTTTGCTGATATCTTTAAATCTAAAGGAAACATATTCCAGGACTTTATTTTTTTCTCACTTTTTGTACTATATACACTCTTTTTACATTGCCTGTTGTAGTTTTATATTTAATTTCATTGAGCTTTAACTCTGCCTTTTGCACTCTATATAAGCTACTGGAACCAGAATTATCCTGAAGGAGTAACCCCAAGGGATAAATCAAGTTCAGATCAAGTCTAAATCGAAGTCATATAATAAAGCACAGTTTAAGACATCTGAAAATGGTCAGAGGGGCTAAAAATATAACTATACAGATATGGTTGCTAGCAAGGATTAAGCAATAAAGCCAACACTAGATCTAGTGTATTTGCAGGAGGAAAACTCTGACAGAGCAAGTATTTGGGATAGCAAAATAAAAACCATATAACTGAATGCAATATTAAAATAAGCCATTAAATAATTATTACAACAATGTGTATGCTTGCTATTAAACTGATTTTTAAAAAAAGGTTAAATGTATTTTTGCAGGGCCCTTCATTCTTGAGTAAACGTCCCAACTATGTAACACTTTACCTTTCTTGAGAATCCATCTTTCTATGAATCGCTGACAGCTCATTCAAGCAAAGACACCTGTGAAGTAATAACACAGAAGTGAAACTAAAAGCTGTGCATCAAATATGTTAGTGAGAAATTGAGGCCAAAATTAAAATGTGTAAGCTAATTCTAGACTGCATAAGGATGATAAGCTGAGAAATAGCTGACGGAGGAACTTTTCATGGAGAAGGACTTTCTTCTCTCAACCAAACTGTAAAATTATCTTACAGAGCTGGTCCAGACTGCAAAAGCAAAAGCCGCGGCAGCCTTTAGATTCTATGTTGTGGACAACACAGAATAAACACCTTGAGCAAGCTAGCGGTGATGGCTCTTTATGAACAAAGAAATTTCCACTTACACAGGTGCACCTTTAAGAGGGAGACGTTCGGCGATAAAACATTACAAACTCATCTAAATAGTTTACTATACAAACGGTATCATTCTAAAAATGAGCATTAAACGTTAACTTTCACCTCTTTTCTCCAGCAGCGACACACTGACTGACGGACTGTTAGCCCAATCAAAGCCTTTTCTTCTTCTTCTTCTTGGTGTTTATTAACGGTTGTCGAAGAACGAGTGAAGGCACTACCGCCCCCAGCTGGTATGGAGTGTAGACCAGATTGTTTATCAGTCCCAAAATGCGTTTTTGTCAGATAATTAAATGTTGTATTATTATTTTTTTACTTATTGAGGTTCCCTTCTTAGTTGATGAATCAATATAAATTTGCATACAATTCTCTAATAATGCAGATTGTGCCGTCTAGCCCAGTGTGTACAGTACAATGTTACGACGTAACTCCTCCCTTTGCATTTTATTTATACATTTTTCATTTGGACTTTATATAAAATAATTTTTCCCCTTTGCTTTGATATCATCTTTAATTGTTTTTATTTTATTTTTATTGTTATTATAATTATTTACTAAAACTCAAAATTAAAGAAATCAAACGCTAGGATTTCACAGCCAATTGCAGATAGCTATATACTGCCCCCTACCGTAAAAGTGCTGTGCATCGCAGCTTTGACTTTTTTCGTTGTTGTTTTTTTTTTGTTTTTTATTTTGCTTTTTCCTATTCTTTTCGAATACGAAAAACAATTACATATAAAATGAATTGAGGACAGCATAACATCTGACTTTGGGCGTGCTCCTGCTATTCTAGCTTTTAAACAAAGCAGAGTCACTGCATTCTAACTCTCTATATATACTCCACTGTTTAAACATTGTTTCAGTGAAACCATAACATGTTTTACTTTAAACTGTTCTATTATAAGCAGTACATATGAAACAGATTATGTAATTCAGCGTTTCATCGACATATTATCAGTCAAAACAGTTTGTCATAAAATCCAGAAGCTTACTAGTGCTTTTAATCTCTACTGTGATTACTGCTTGGATAGAGCTTTCATTCTGTGAAAAAAGAGGAAGTAAGGAAGGTATTCTGCTCAAACGTAGAGCTGTCATCTGTTCATGAGCCAAAATCCTGGGACCTCCTAACAAAGCAACACCAATCAGTTAGGGATTTATTATAATTTGGCTGGTATGAAATAATTGTAATTAATACATCCATAATTCTAAATCTAAGCTAATATCATACAGAATGTTTAAAGGTAGTTTTAATGGTAAAACAAATTGTTTCAGGGGAATACTTATCTAAATGAAAGGTGCCTTTTTAAGCAAAACTTTGAGTTATAGAATAGTTAGTATAGTTATGAGTTGTACTCATCACTCAATGCCTGCTCTATGAGCTGTTCTAGATGGGGCCCAACAGGGGTCATTAGCCTTGTAGAACTGGTCTGGGCCCCTGTTATGATCACTGTATTGAATACATAAACTGCACAGTTTTAAATATAAGTAAATTTTCCTTAAAATAAGTGTACATCACCTTGATCTGAACAGTTAGGTAAGATAATTTCCAGATGGAATAACATGTTTTATGTTTAAAATAAAAAAAAAACTCTATTTTCTTATTTGAAGGTACATTGTATTTAATCGTCTTGTTTTAATATTTTTAGATAATTTTAAACAGTGTACCACTCTTTCAGTTTGCTGATGAAGGTTCTCAGTCATCCAGGTCATAGTCATTCCGTAAAAATTCAAAAAATATCCACTGGACTTGGTTTTCAAGATTTGAAGACGTTTCGCCACCTCTCCAGGAAGCTTTCTCAATTCAAATGTCTGGATCCGCAGTGAGTTTGAGTCTTATATAGACAACGCCTTGTATCGCTTGGAAACATGCAATGGTAACCGATGAATGGGTCGTTAGTTCCATCGTTAGCCTGTAATATCTGAACCTGTCTATGATTCTAGGGGTCGGTCGTTAAAGGGGGGATTGTCATTAAGGGGGGGATTGTCTCCTGTACCTGAAACCTGTCTATGATTGTTAAGGGTTGGTCGTTAAGGAGGTATTGTTCACCGGCTGGAGCGGGTAAGTCCCTCGTTCCTCTGTGATGGGGTGGGGGGTTTGGTGATATCTGGAAGGGATCATGTCTATGATTGAATTGTATGTTTTTGGAAGCTGGAATCTGAGTCCACCACCTCTGTTTAAAGTTGGTTTTTCTCTCTTAACATAGATGGCTTCCTTCACGCCCCTCTCAAACCACCTATTTTCTTTATCCAGAATATGGACATTCTGGTCCTCAAAAGAATGTCCTTTGTCCACAAGGTGTAGGTGTACTGCGGAGTCTTGTCCAGAGGCGGCCGCTCTTCTGTGTTGGGCCATGCGTCTGTGGAGAGGTTGTTTAGTTTCTCTAATATAAAGATCAGAGCATTCCTCACTGCACTGAACAGCATATACCACTCCGCTCATATTTGGTCTGGGGGTTTTATCTTTCGGATGCACTAGCCTCTGTTTAAGGGTTTGGTTTGGCTTGAAATGTACTGGGATCTTGTGTTTGGAGAAAATCCTCTTGAGCTTTTCAGACACTCCAGCAATATAAGGGATTGTGATGTTTTTGCGTTTAATTTTCCCATCGCTGTCTTCTGTTGCGTGTCTTTTGGATTTCCTTGCTGATTTGATAAAAGCCCAGTTTGGATATCCACAGTTTCGGAGAGCATCTTTGATGTGTTTCTGTTCTTTTTGCTTCCCATCTGTTTTAGTAGGGACATGTTCTGCCCGGTGTTGTAAGGTTCTGATGACTGAGAGTTTGTGTTCCAGTGGGTGGTGTGAGTCAAAAAGAAGATACTGGTCTGTGTGAGTAGGTTTCCTATAAACTTCAATGTTTAGGCTTCCATCTCCTTCCATGCTCACCAGGCAGTCCAGAAAGGGTAGTTTGTTGTCCTTGGCATCCTCTCTGGTGAATTTGATGTTACGGTCAACAGAGTTGATGTGTTTGGTGAAAGCTTCCACTTCCTCTAGCTGGATTTTGACGAAGGTGTCATCCACATATCTAAACCAGTGGCTTGGTGGTATTCCATTGAAAGTGTCTAAAGCTCTCTTTTCCATTTCTTCCATGTAAAGATTTGCTACAATTAGTGATACTGGAGATCCCATTGCGCAGCCATGTTTCTGTCTGTAAAAATTACCTCTGAATTTGAAATAGGTTGTGGAAAGACAAAGGCCCAGTAGTGTGCAGATCTGGTCCGGAGTGAAATTAGTCCTGTTGTTTAAATCACTATCTTGTTCAAGACGTGTCCTGACTGTTTCCACTGCCTCTGTTATAGGTATGCATGTGAAAAGTGAAGTAACATCAAACGATACCAGGGTTTCTCCTGGAGCCATCCTTAAATGTTTGGCTTTGTTGGCAAAGTCTTTGGAGTTTTCTATGTGATGTGGTGTGTTCCCCACCAAGGGAGCTAAGATATTAGTAAGCTGTTTAGCAATGTTGTATGTTACTGAGTTAATGCTGCTGACAATGGGCCTGAGTGGTGCCCCTTCTTTATGAATTTTTGGAAGTCCATATAAGCATGGAATTTCCTCCCCTGGATATAATCTGAAATAGGCTGTGCTGTTAATTACCTTGTCTTTTTCAAGTTGTTTGAGATAGTCTATTATTTTCTTTTTGTAGCCGCTGGTTGGATCTCTTTTCAAGGATTCATACGTATTAGTGTCCTTCAGTAGAGTGATAATTTTGTCTTGGTAGTCTGAGGTGTTGAGGACTACGGTGCATCTTCCTTTGTCTGCTGGTAATATGGTGATGCTTTGGTCCTGGCTCAGGAATGTTATGGCTTTCATTTCCTGGGGTGTGAGGTTGGAAGGAGGTGGTTTGGCGCTGGACAGGGTGGCTGTTACCTTCATTCTGAGTTGCTCTGCCTCCGTTTCAGCCAGGTTGTTGTTCCTGATGGCCGATTCAGTGGCCGTGATCAGTTCCACGATGGGTACTTCTTGTGGAGCAATGGCAAAATTCAGGCCTTTACTCAGTACATCCATCTCTGGTTTTGTCAGTGGTCTGCTAGATAGGTTTTTTACCCACTTGTCTTCAACCTTGATGTTATCCTCCTGAGTCATGTTTCAGTTTCTTATTATGTTATGCACTGACAGAATAGATGACTGATTCATCCCTTGGACCCATGCAATATTTAGTGATATGGGTCACTAAGATTTTACTTTGTAATACTTTGAGCATTTGTCAATATTTTGAAGTGCCATCATCAGTTTATGGAAGTGAACCACTTCAATGATATTTCTATACGGAAGCAACATGCATGCAATAAAAAAAATGGTTCGGTCACCTCCTTTAAACATGATCATCATGAATGGGACAAAACATGGTGAGAAAGTTCAAATAATCTGTTTAAAAATGTTGTAAAGGAGACTTTCTCATTTAGATTTTTTTGGCTTTTTATGCTTAATCTTTTTCCTGGCATTGCATTTAGTATTTTACTCAAAAGCTTTCAAAAAAATGTTGTGCTATGTCATGTGGAAGGCTAGAAGGTGTGACAAGGTATAAGAGGTCATAGGGATGTAGATCATAGATATGTTCATTGTGCGTAACAGATTACTTGAAAATAAAAAATCTGAAGCCACATGGTCAGGATCAATTATTTTATTCAGAGATAAAATGAACAGATGGAGCATATTATCAAATGTACCACCAGGGTGCATTCTTGCTCTACTGACATGAACCAGGGCAATTAGAGTTTCAAAAAGTTTAATATAGATTAAAGTACATATCATGCACAAAGAGGAGAAGCTCAGGTCTGGCTCACTTAAACCAGCTACCTTGTTATAAGCCTGCATCAGTCAAATTCTTTATGTTGACCAGTTCCTGTCTGTTGGACCTTTCATTTGGGGCCTATTTGAATTATAGCTGGAAGAGCAACATATTTATGGTAAAATCACATTCTTATTTTCCTATATTTACTTCAGCAGTTTTGGGAGCATTTTAAAAATCATAGAAATATATTTTTAATCAAGTTGATTTAAAAATCTAAAAATCAATGCAATCTTGGGAATATTTGATCTCAAAGTGACAAAGGTGAGGACAAAGAAGCAAACATTTTTGTAAATGTCTGTAATTTATTGAGTCATGGAAAGGACATCAAACATTAAGAGTTTTAAGAGTATACAAAACCCATAAAAAAATTAAAAATATTTGCACATTGTTGTTTCTTGAGAGTTATTTAATTTTGTGTCATTTAGCAAAAACAGTGACATAAAAAAGCTTTATATGCAAAATTCTGCATATTATAACTAGTTATCCATGACCTTGCATCAGAAATCGATCACTTTTATTTCTTAAGAAAAAGGCTTCACAATCTTCATAGAGATGTAATTCTGTAAAGAAAAGAACATTTAGTGTTACCAAACTAAAACAGCATTATGCTAACAAGTCACTAGCTCTGAAAGAAAATAAAATCTGATTTATTTTTTTTTGTATAAAATGTGATCACTGAAGAGTGAGTCATTGATAAAGATAAATTAGGAAATCTTACAGGAAGGGAGTAGAACAAGATTCCAAGGAATAGGATGACCAGCAGAAGCAGAATCCCAACTAGGAAGATCCACTTGAATCTGCGCCACACAATGAACTTCATGGTTTTGCAGGGATTGGTAAACCAGAAAAATGATGTATCAGGGCGGCTGTGGAATAAGCACAGTCAGTATTGTTTCCACCAATCAAAACCTTCAAAAAATACTAATATTTGCTTTGAGAGAGGCCTGATCTTACTAGGGTGGATCAAGTTTGGGATTCATGTTTGGCTCGTCTCTGCCTTTTCCAGCAGGTCTTTCCTCCATTTCCTTTTCTTCCACGATTTCCAAAGTCATCTCCACTTTGCCCTGCAAAAGAAATAAAAAATACAAATAAGAAAACATCGTATTCAAATGTCTACAGGTGAAAAAAGAATTCAATAGAGAAGAATAATGGCTTGAAATTGAGCAAACATACACCAAGCACATGTTTCCCATCTTTCTCAGTCGCACATGGCCACCATCCCCGTACAGACTTCCGAGAGAACAGCGAGGAGTCTGATCCTATTTGTCTGGACAACATCTTCAAAGTGCACTTTTCTGGTGTCTTGGCAGGGGGCATCAAACTGAGCAGGTCAAGTTCAGCTGAACCTTTGGCAGAAAATATGATACACATCCAGTATAAAAAATACAGAGTTATTCGTCATTCACTTTCTTGCAATAAACTAGATTCAATGTTTCCTTTCTTAGGTTTTTTTGAATTAACAAAATTATTTGGGATAAAAATTGAGGACCCTGAACTAGAGGTATTATGCAGCAGGAGGAAAAGGTGCAAACTTGGATGCAAGTGAATTATAAAGTGGCTTAAAGACAAGAGTAATAATTTTGTAGGTACCATAACAAAGTTGTAAACTCCAATCTATAGCAGAGTTGTGAGCAGCAAAAAAAAAAAAAATATGGAAACAACGTAGTCTAACATCCTGACTCAGTTAGACCAGTTCTGTCAGCATGACACTGTTGGGCCAAACTTCTAGCAAACAGTTGCTGAAGGATTTTTAAAACAGGTCAAACAGTTCAGAAGCTAGTTGACCAAATATTAATAGAAGGGATGTTAACCCTCTCTCATTTATAAATAATTTGTCAGGTTGTGTGGAGGTATTTTAGACAAGGAACAGCAGATAAGGAACAGGTGTGGATGGAAGCATCGAGAAGCGAGACGGGGGACGGACACTTACACAAGGGGGGAACAGAGTGTAAGAACACAAATACAACCAAAAACAACTAGAATAACACAAAATGGAAATGAAACCAATGAAAACTCAAAAAGAAAGCAGAATCAAAAACATTACATCATTTCTGAAAACCTAACTGACACAACATGGGAATCAATTATTGTGACCAAACAAAATGTGTATTTTATTATGTACCGTAATAATAATCTGAACTAACTTCTGGTTTCAACCCCTCCCTGATCTCTAATCCCTTACAGATGAATACACATAAATAACCACAATTCTTTACCCAGGTAGTCATCAAGTGAGAATTTGTCATTGTCCCATATCTGGATGATGAGTTTAGGAGGAAATCTGTGCTCGGTTTTGTCCAGATTCCAAAAATTTTCCTGAAAAAGGTCAAATATTTTCTCTCAATTATTACACTCACTCACAAATAAACATTAAGGGACGTCATCCTGGTCTATGAACTGACTTACTTTCCTCGAGGCAACACAAAGCTGCTCTGTAGGCAGATAGTCAAAGCCAAAGATGAACCTCCAGTTAAAATGTCCATCCCCATCCAGAGATCTGTAATGGACATCAGTCTTCTGCTTGTCCTCTTCCATTCCTGGCATCCATCTGAAAAAATTTCAGATGTCCATACATGACAACATGAACAACAAACACGTACAGACAATAAACCGAGGTTCAGAGAAGTAATTCACCCTTTAACATAGATATCACTCATGTTTTCTCCAGTGATACTTGTTTCATCCAAAGTGACCTCAGTTGTGTTCCAAACAATCACTCGGAGGAAGTACCTGTTTAAAGAGATTGCTGTTCAATGTGGTTTCTCATTATTTCAAAAAGTTTGCTTCAAAACAAATATATTTGCTAATTTTCTCTTACCTTCTGGCTTTGCGAGGGGTAATGACACATGGAGGCCCAGGCAGACCCCGACTCTTGGGGAAAATATCTACCCACATTTGAATCTGTCCCTGTATTTTTGCAAAAAGAGGGTTGCTCTTTAAAGGTGCTATTTGTATTAGTACACTTTTAAAAACGCTTTTCTAATTGTTATTATACTAGAATTACAAACTGCTGTGCTTCATTGGCAATAGTGGCTAAATAGAAAACATCACCTGAGAAATTTGGCCCTTTTTTGCTGCCTTTAATCAGTCACATTACAGGAAATCATATTAATCTAACCAGATGGATAAAATGCATTGCAGTTCAGGAAAAAGCAATTAGAATAAGAACAAGCAGACTAACTTCATGATGACATTTACAGGTAACTATAATCCAACAACAACAACAAAAATGCCACATTTTAGATTACAGTATATGTAATGTTATTTTGTTTTCTTATTATTTTATAACTATGTTGTAACATTAAAAAAATCAGAATATGTGTACATTTTATTTTAAACAAATACAACAGGATGAAGGCTAATGCATGATTCATGTTTTAGGCTTTCTAATTTTAGAGCTTATCAATTCATTATTGATAATTAGTCTCCCACTTCACAATGATTAACTATTTTGTGGTGGTTTGTAGTTGTGATATCTTCATCATGTAAATGCATGAAGAAAATACAATTTCAGCTTAACCCCCCAACCCCTGAGAAAAAAAAAGGCAGCACATATCAGGGATTGGTTTGGCTGATGGCAAAATAATCCATCAAGCTCCATCAAGGTAGAATTAAAGAAAATTACACTTATTTTAATTAAATTTTTTACCTGGGGCAGATTGGGTTGGTGTGAACTGTACAAAGTTCTGGTCTCCACATGTTCCGGTACAAATCCCTGTTTTCTAAGGACATGCAGGGCCAGTCTCTCTCTGGCTGGTCCTAAGTGTTGATGGATTTCAGTGTTTGCCTCTGCAGAAAGAATCATATATTCATAATTTTTAACTAGTTCAAAGCTTCATTAACAACCTCAGGTGCAAAATCACACATATATTAAAGATATTATTTAAGTAAAAAATAGAGGTTATATGTGAATAAATGGAGAAATGCACACAAAATGTAACAAAGTAAAAATGTCTAAACGGTCACTTCAACCAGGGCTTTCTGCAACTAGATAAACAGAAGGAACAAATCACAAGGACCTTAGAATGCACAGTTTGTAGAAACATCCAAATGTTCTACAAAGTTGGACATTAACATTCTTGAAACTGCTCTAACCTGTACAAACACCTGCAGTTACACTCAATATTTCACTCAAATTTTAAGATCAATGTAAATGTATTAAATAACAAATATCCATTTACCTTTTTAGATAAGTGTAACTCAAACCTATTAAATAACGTTACATGATGCATATCCATTAAATTACAGATTTATGAATTTTGAATTAATAAAGTATTCTTGTTTAAAATTAATACAAATACGTTTCTTTATTTAAATACATTAAATTTTATTGTTTGAATTGCATAAAGGCAACCGATTATTATGTGCAAAAATCTGAATGTCAGTCCTCGCTCTGACTTTCTCAGTGCATGATTGTTTGCAAGATGGATCCTCTGTAGATTAGAAATGAAATAAGTCCATTAAGAGGCTTCATTTTGTATACAAAGAAATTATTGGAAACACTGTGGATTCTGTATATTCTTCTTCTACTAAATGTATAGTTAAATGTAATGTATAGATCTACACATAGCCACTGTTAAAATATTCTTTATTCGACTGCAAAATGCATTCATTTTGGATCCTGTTTAAATTACTAATCCAATGACGATGGATGTACCTGCCGCTTCTGAGAATCTGCATCGACTAATCAACTAACGTTTGAATTCTGTAAAGCGGTATTTTAGCTAAATTTAATTGAGTGAATTTAACAAAATTTCTGCATCCAATAGTTTTTACAGCATTTCTCTATCTATCTATCTATACAGGCCAGCTGCTGTCTCTGGGCTGTGTTCACCGCATTGTGTTGGCAGCTGTTTGGCTGGAATCCACCTCTTTCTCTGGGCACAGACTGAACTTTAAGACCAGAGGTTCCTGCCTTAGACGCCCTAGCTGTCACTGCCAATCACTCAGTTGCAAATAAACGCATTTTGAGTAGTCTTACTGTCTGTCTTAACCTTGAATAAAGGGTCCTCTTTTCAGAGCTTTAACCATTAAAATTGTCTAAAAAGGGTTGACAAAGCATTGCTTCCAAAATAATTATGGTAAGATTTAAAAATAAATAAAATGCACAAAAGTACCAAAGTCAAGCAAATTGTACTGTTTTCCAGCAAAAGACAGATAATTTCCATCTTCTTCTATGTGTGGAGGAGGAAAGCCTTTTTCCTTAGCCACATTTTGGAGAATCTGGGAAGGTCTCAGTTGATCCCTCCACTGGTTTATTCCAGACCTAAAATTAAATCAAACCAAATTTACTTTATACATCACAGAGACTGTGAGCAAGAAAAAGCTCCAACTGTCAACCTTTCTTTCAAGGAAGAAAATACATTACATCTCTTTTTGATAGAGGTTAATACATACTTACACACAGTATGTTTGTGGCAACCCACAACAGGATCTGAAACAAGATAGGAATCTGTTCTCCAAGTCGATGATTGTCTCACCAACTTTTTCATCTCTGCTCAGTAAATCAAAATCATACACGGAGATCTTCAGATCCTTTTCCAGAGGAAGAAAGCAGGAAAGCTCAAACATCCTGTTGGGGCATTAACAAAAGTGGAAAGGTATTGCAGCTTTCATATTTCTAGTCTTAGAATAACTTTTAAGTGTGAAATCTCACTTTCCAAACTCTGGATTGAGGGTGTTGGGTTTGTAATTATCTCTGTCATCAAGCATTTTTCTCCCAAGTGTAATTTTAATGTATGGGTCACACTGAAAGAAACATGCAGAAATGTCAAATCACTCATCAAAACAACGAGGATCCCATCTTCAAAGTAAATTTGAAAAGAAATAACAATTTAATCATTTTCATTAAGTTCAGAAGAATCTCACCAGGCCATTTGTGTCTTTGGGTTGCAGGTCAATACCGCGCACCACATATATTCTGACCAAGCACTCCTGCGGTCCGAGCTCAGGGCGTTCTCTGAACTGAAGAGGTGGAGCACGTTCCCCTGGGTCATCAGGGAGGGGATAAATCCTGAAGGAACCCTGAACAGAAGCAATTCTTGCATTGGGTACCATTAAAATCTGCACTTTTTATTGTCAGGAATGAAAATCATAAGGATTTGTACTGCGAGTGAAAAGTTAATTAAAACATTTTAATAATGCAACTTTAGGTCAGTCACTATGGTAGGTTGTTAGCTATAAGAATGTAACTTTTCATTTTACAAATAAGGTACCGGAATCAAAAATCTTTCAAATCAGCTGAAGAATAGTTCTACCTTCATCAAATTCACAAATTGATTACATGCTAAAAAGCAACCATAGAACCCAAAAGCAACAGGTTCAATGAGCTTCTGATCATAGTCACAGTACCTTAAACTCTCCCACCACAGACGGATCTTCCTCCTCATCGCCAGTCTTCCCACGATACAGCTTGAAGGTGATGCAGAAATCAGTCAGCCCCTGGAACTCCTTGACCTCTTCTAACTCAGTGTTGTAAACCTATTTACCCCAAGATCACAACAGAAAAGGCTGCTTCAATGTTGTATGATGAGTCAACACAAATGATTTTCTTTTTCAAAGAGATACAAAATGAAGATTTAGGAATATTTGTTGGTATGAATTAGATATTTCACCTGTAGTGTATCGTATCTCAGTTTCAGGTAAGGTCCGCATTTTTCATGGTCCCCAATAGAGGCATAGAACTTACTCCACCAGTCTATGGCCTCTTCTTCCTAATCAGAAACAAGGATGGACTCAGTCTAGTTATGCATCTACTTATACTGTATCTCTAAATTAATGAAAAGCCATCTTTGCTTCTTGAAGCAGCCAAGTCGAAAGTGAACAGAGAATGTAGTTAATGCAAAAAAGAAAATGTTCCACAAACCTGTGAGTACGCTTACAGTTGAATCACAAATTTTATGTCCAAAATTGTTCAGTTGTTTGCAATAAGCAAAGCACACAGCAATATGTTACATAGTTGAATAACATTATAATGAGAACAATGCTATTTTCGTTTTAATTAGCAGTATTTGCAGGTCAGTAGTGATCTCAGCAACACCTCAGGGAACCAGTCAAGGGGGGAGTGTAATTCATTAGCTGACTTAGGCTCACTTGGGATGAAACCTCCCCTATACCCAGGTGCTTGGCTGTAAACTTTCACTGCATCTCAGAAATATAAATAAAAAGTCACAAATTCACTCATAGCTCAAGCAAAATAACTGTATAAATTTACTTTAATGATAAAGTTTCTCAAAGTCCACCCAGGCTTGGCTTCCGAGCATGTCCTGAAGATGCTACAGTGGGCATACCAGTTTCCTGACTTAAACTATATCAAAGAAGAACAAACCAAACTAAAAAAAACAAGAATATTAGTGAATCTGATTGGATCAGTGCTTGAGGATTGAGCTAAGATACTTTAGCATCACTACTTAAGGTGCTTCACATGCATTTTACAGTATAAGACCTTGGTAATATTTGTTATTTTGAACTATTTTACTGGTTTGATTCATCTTTATTGCAGCTTCCCGTTGCCATATTCTAAATCTGGTTTGAAATGGGTGTTGTATATTTACAGCAGTAACTGTATATTGGAAAGTTGCATTTACCTGTGTTTTTAAAAGGATTCCCTCATCAATGTCTATGATAACATCTCCTTGGGGTGCAGTTATCAGTTCCACTACAGAGTCGATAGAAGGAAAAACACACGATGAGTCTAACTGCAAGGAGCTAAGAGTAAATTGTGAAAATGTCATAGATGTGTTAGAATACCATGGGCTGACATGCAGAGATCATTGTTAGGACGGTATGGATCACAGCGGAAATGCGCCAGGCAGTCAATGGTACATTGACCCACCACTGGTTTTCTGCCAAACGGTCTATGGTCAATCACTTTCAGCACAATGGGAGGGGTGTAGATCTCTTCTTTAGGGAGGAGCTAAGAACACAGCAGGAGATTACATAACAAACAGGTACAATCAACACAAAAAGGTTATTCCATGTCAGCTGTATAAGCGTAAAAATAAACACAGTGAAGAAAATCTTAAGCTTGTTCTGCACCATTTGGCATCTTGTTGATTACCAGTCCAATTTGTTCCCTAAAGTAGCTATTTTGTCCTATATAACCATGTCATAACCATTGCATTTAATAGTATTTATCCTGGCAGTTCAGAACTGTATTTTAGCCATAAAACATCTCATATAGATTTTCATTTAACAGTGTGTAACTTGTGGTGAAGTTTATTTCTGCTGATTGTGGTTTGGATACCATAAGGAACATGGCTTTTACATACAGATAAAACCAAAATGACTAATTTTACTATTTTAAAACTACATTTTAATCTAAAATATGTGGCATGGTTTGGAAATTATCGTATTTTCAAGAATATGAAGTGAAAGAAAAGCGATCATTGTAGATCATATGAAAACAGGAGTAATGTCAAGGAATATTTGGATCAGAGCAAAGAGTAAATTTTTTGTCAGTCTTCTTGAAGGATTTTCAAAGTTTTTGTTTGATAACAGCAGTTTTTCAGTGTTTATATCTCAAAATGTTTGTCTGTTCCTTTAGTAAGAAAATTCACTCTAGCCAATTATATCATAGTTCATGCAGCTCAGTTTGGGTGGCGTTACATTTTGGGTTTTTTTTTTTTGCTTTCACCCCTGTAAAGGGAGTTGTTCTTTTCTACAGCCCCCCCAAGCTTTCTCAATAAATAAAGTAGATAAATAGTGAATACCACTTTGAGGAGCAGCACTGATCCTGGAAAGTTTGGGTGCTTTTTGAAGTTTTTAATTACAGCTGTTTGAACCATCTCCCCACCACATTCCACTATCAGACTGGGGGAGGACACTGTGGCCAGCTGGAAGGTCTTCATGTTCCTCAAGCCCCAAGTCAGAACCTGGCAGGAGAAAAAGGAAAGGTGGATTGCTAAGGTGGAGAAACCAAAGCAAGCCTCTTTGGCAGATTGACAGGTGTGGGTCTAGGAAGCTAATACAGTACCTCAATAGCAGTTAGTTGAACTACTGGTCTGATTCCCTGAGGTACCATGTAGAGTGTTTCCCCCCGCCGAGGGGGCACTAGAGGAAGAACTCTATCATCACCCTGTCAAACAGCCATGATAAGTCATTTGTACAGAAAGTAAACCTGAAGGGTATCAGCTACATTGTGTATACCTTCTCCTTTAGTATTAGCTCAGCAGCAACAAGCACCTCCCCAGCACTGTAACCTTTTTTGGTGACTGGAAACCACTGTAGTCTCACACTGGCAGACAGACTTGGGCTTTTACTTGGGAGTTTTACCACAGGGGGGCACATGCAGTGCCCCATCGGTTCATCCTTGCCCTAGTTATCAAATCACATTTGTACACAATCATTATCAAATTGTATTACACATACCATGGAGCTTTTTATGATGTTTAAATCTAATCTATAAAGAACCATTTGATCGCTGTCATATAGCTCAAGGACCACATCTGGGGGGTTGCAGGCTATTTTTTGCGGGTCTCCAAAGATTTCAATGTCTTCAAAGATCAGAGTCTGGTCCCAGGTTGGGTTCAGGGTGGTTCTTATGACTTCTGTAGTCTTGCTCATATGTAGAAAGGACACATGGGCATAGGGATCTGGAGAGGAAGAAATGCAAAATGGTCTCATTTACGCAATCTAACAATTTTAACTTGTAGTGTGTTTAGATTGTCAGCTTATAATTTTAATGTATATTGTCTTTACCAGAGAAACTGTCCTTGTCCATTGCACAGAGATTTCTCCCTTGGTAAACATACACCCTAAGGTGGTAAAGGTGAGAACCTAGAGGGAGAGGAGATTCTTTAAATGCTGCTCTGTTAACCCTGACTAAGTTCACGGATCACAGCAGAAAGTCATTTTAGGCATTATACTGATTGTAGACATTGTGACAAAGCACCCTTAATCCTTATTAGAAACTATGGTACAGATGTGCAAATATATTCAAAGGATATTAATCCTTCTAAAATGTAAATAAAAAAAAACTTAACATTTAAACAAATCTTGGAGAAGAAACTGTTTTATTAAAAAAATTTATTAATTTTTAAAACCAAATCAACAGTCCTAATCTCATTTGCACATAATTTTCCAATGAGAAGAATTAAAATAAAGCCTTGTTTTATTTTTCACTTTGATTGATAAGAAAATTAAGGAAATGTTGCTTAAAATTTTCCCATTTCCAGAGGGAAAAACATTACATGGCATCAAGCCTTTTTTCTGAAATAACAGTCTGAGAGGCAGGAAAACATGGAGTGCAAATTAGGCAGATGTGTCGTTCTTAATAGGTTAGGAAATTTCAAAAGAAAAATTATATCATTTCTCGAGTAAACATTCTTATGTCTACTATTAAAGCTAAAAATGTAAAAGACTTTAAAAAAGAGAAATTACTGGAAAAATGTGGCGCATAAATTGGTTAAGGCCATTTCTGTATTTAAATCTTACAATTGATAGCAAAGGCATGTCATTTACAGTAACATGTACCACTCTGGTCCTTTACACTGCCTTTTACCATAATCAAACTCCCATCTGTGCCATTTTAACAACCTCTAACACCCCATCTGACAACTATATAACTGCATTTTTTTTTACTTCAACTACATATAGTTTTATTTAATTATTCTATTTACTAGAGTCTTCTCATACAGGTTCTCGTACAGGTAGAAAAAAAAACGAGTGCACATGCACCTAAACATAAACCTCCTATTCCTGCTGTAACCAGGTCAACCGTATTATATCTAAGTAAAAAATAATGATGAAATATTAAAAGCGCTTTTATGTGGTCCTGTTTATATTAATGGGGACAGTGTAGTAACTATTGCTACTGCCCACTGCATATCAGTAGTAAATAAACACATACTCTAACTAAACTAGGTGATCTAGATACAAAATAAACATACAAGCTTTAAGTGAAATGATTACTCTTTAAAACCATAAAGGTTTGAGCTAAATCATAAATACAGTGACAGCAATTTCACAAAAAACATGTTGCTGTTTGCTGGGCAACAAGGAGCTTAATAAGTCCATCAACAAAGAGGAGGATGTGGAGGAGAAGCCTTCCAATAAAGGAGGAAAAAGTCTTGAATAAGTTCGATTTATACACCTCCCAGTGTTTAAATATATATATATAACAGCTGTAGTCTCTTATTTAACAGGAATAAGCTTTTTTTTTTTATGTATTAAATATTTCACTGAGTGCTGTTTTATTTTCATAGCTGGGTTGCACACCAAATGAAACAGAGAGATGCTAATGAAACCAGGATTCTTCATCTTATTATAATAATTTTTTTTCACTGAAAGGTTTACTCAAATAAAATATTGAGTTTATCTATAGTTTTTTTTATCCCCCTGTGTCCCTGCAGTGAAAGCGGTTATTTTCAAGACATTTCACATCTGTAAAAGGCATCTGTAGCAGGCTCTCTGTAAGTGTGGAGACATGTTATCTTTTATTATAAACACTCAGCCATGCATTTTCAAAGAGTCTTTAATCAACATTTATGAGCTGGAGTTAATTTCATCTGACCCAGTTACTCACGGCGGAAGTGGCAGGAAATGGTGGGTGTGTTGGCACCAAACGGTTTGGGTGCATCCGTTTTACTGCCCTTTTCCTCAACATCAACCCCCTGTTAACAAAACATACACTTAGGCACTGAAAAGAACTCTCAAGAGCTCTTTCAAGCATACTGTATCACGAACCATAGAATCAAGTGTAACATCAAGTTTCCTATGTTATGTGCGAGCTTCTTCCAGGGACTTGAGTATAATGAGAGGATGTGACCCAGATAGCATCATATAAGACCCATTGTCATGAAAGCCAGGTTATTTTGAAAGCTCACTGGGAGCATTTTAGCATGACTCACCAGTGCTCCTTCAAGTTTGAAGATGGCTGAGGCTCCTATGCAGTCTGAAGGGACCATCTTTCTCCTCCAGTGCCGGCGCCGAAAAGTGTCAGAGGAACGCTCCTTTCTGTGAAACTTCCAGCCAATCAGAGAAGAGTATTCCCAGCCTTCCCCTGGTTCTCTTGTCTACAATAAAGAACATAAATGGTTGCAATTTTACAATACCATTTTGGTTACTGTCCCATGTTTATTTTATGTATTCATATTTCACTCTAAAAGCAGAATATAGTTGAAGTACTCCACAGCAGGTAAAACAGATAGAGAAACAGCAAAATTCCTAAAGACACTGACTTTCTATGTTTCCAAACATTGAGGCACTATTGGGGGATGCTCAGTGGAGCAGTGGGTAGCACTGCTGCCTTGCAGCAAGAAGGTTCTGGGTTCGGTCTTTCTGCATGGAGTTTGCATGTTCTCCCTGAGAATGTGGGTTCTCTCCGGGTACTCCGGCTTCCTCCCACAGTCTAAAAACATGACCGTTAGATTAATTGACTTCTCTACAGTCTCCTTAGGTGTTTATGTGCGAATGGTTGTTTGTCCTGTTTGTCTCTGTGTTGCCCTGCAATGGACTGGCAACCTGTCTAGGGTGAACCTCGCCTCTCGCCCATTGACTGCTGGAGATAGGTAACAGCACCCCTCGCGACCGCACTCGGGACAAGCGTGTCAGATAATGGATGGATGGATGAGTCACTATTGGGAATTACTGATTCCATTTGTTCCATGGACAGGATAGGTTTAACCTTAAAGAGACACCTAAGATGAAAAGAATACATTTTACTACAGCACATCTATTGATTCTTATTTTTGTGACTATAGACAGGTCAGGTTAGAAGAAACATATAGAGCTGAATAACCTCATTTTGATTTCTGCATTCACTAAATAGAAAACATAAACCCAGAGTTTAAGATCACTAAGACAGCCAACGAGGAGCTGAGTATCAGACTGTCAATATATAGAAAATGTCAGTGAGGATAGGCCAGAACCCTTGTAGTACATGGATACATTCTCTTTTCCATGCCTTTCTCACTTTAGCTGCAACAACTTTTTCAGAAATCTTCCTTCTTTTTCGTTTTAGTCTCCTCCTGCGGTGATTGTGGTACATCTTCTCAGCTGGAACCCAGGATTCAGGTTTATCATCAGGGGGCATCGTAACTCCATATTCCCAACCTAGGAATACAAGATGTAGTTTATAGAGCGTTAAGTAATAACGGCACAAAATAGATGCTAAGTTGTTGTGAAGGATGCCAAGGCTTCTTGGGTAACTATTCTGGTTTGCTTCTTTTGCTGTCATTTATATTTGCAGGCTGCTGCTCTTTTGCCAAAATAAAATACCAAATACTGTGCTCTGTTTTGGGAGCCCAGGGAATTTTCATATGCTTAGCTGAGGAACCAGGAAGTAAACAAAGGCTATACACTTCAGTGAAGTACCTTTAGGTTTGAAAGGAAGAAAACTTGAGTAAGACATTGGTGATAGAGAGGACCAATTGCTAATAGGGAATGCTTCTTTCATCACAGGAGACAAATGAGAATGATTTTGGTTAATTTCACAGTCATTTTCTTACTCATTGCTACATTAAGGAGTATACATCGTTAATGACGAATTGCTCCTTTAGAGTGTTTCAAGTGAAGGAACAGAAAGGAGAGGTTAGCTTCAGAATTTTTTACAATCATATTACCTTTCTCATCAACAGCTCGGTCTATATCCCAGCTCCAGCCATCGTCACAGCTCCAACCAGGTGGACATTCAAACTCTTCAGGACTCTGAGCTTTTTCTCCAGTCTTTAAAACAAACACTGTTAGGTTTTTAAAGTTTTCAAAGATTTTTTTGAATATCAGAAGTTCTTGCAGTTCAAATGAAAATATGTATTAAATTTTTTGTTGTTTTTTTATTTACTACTTGCTCTCGAAAAAGGACTGTTTTTTTTACAAAGTTGTTATTTTAGTGGTGGTTTTTTTTTTTTTTTATTTAAACAAGACGATTTTTCTTCTAAATAAAATAGTATTGAGCGATATTTGTGACATCTTTGGTAAACTGCTGGCGTTTGCAGTGTAAGGATCCTTACCACGTCTGTGTAAGGCTCTGCAGCAGGTTTCCACTCTCCGCCCGGAAGACGGGCTTCATTTTGAAACACTTCATCTGTGAACTCTGTGTGCCCTGCATCAGCTTCTGTCAACAGGCTGCAGGAAACACCAGCACACCACATCACACAAGTCAATGAGAGGCTCACACACAGACTGTGTGGAACAATGAAAAAAGATTTCACCAGCTCAGGAAGTCATTTTTCAGATACTGGGGATAATGTAAACAAATTAGAGGACCAAAATCTGGGAATGTACGGGAGCTCCTTAAACCATAACACTGGTTGGTGCTTACATTTTATTTGTATCCTGTAAAATTGGCTTTTTGTTAATAAAAGAATAATTCCTGAAAATAAAACTAAACTAACAACAGTAAAAATAAATAAATTAAAAACAAAAAACAAAACTTAAAGGGACCTGATCCCAGTTCCATCTCTTTCTGAGCAGCTTTTGCTCTAACCTCCACCAATTAGGGCATAGCCAAATTCTGAACTTCTGAACTATCAACTTGTCATTTTACCCAAACTTAGAAAGATTCAGAAATTCATAACAAATGTTTAGTTTACAGTAAAATTCCCAAAGGATTCTCAAAAAGCCATGTATACGGAAATGATCAAATTTAATAATACAACTGAAAATTTCATATAGAACTCAGAATTCGGATTTTACTTCCCAAAGTAATCTTAGATGACCATGAAACAACATTTTTTGTTAATTCATGTTTCTGCATGTAACATTTTTCCAGCTGCAAAATTTAAACCATAATTTTTCATAGCACTTACTGTAGTCAAAAATGTTACAGATTTTCACAGCCAAATCTATTTAAGAAATAATGTAGACTTAATAATGACGCTAGATGTTATTTTTTACCTTCAGTATAAAATCCATTTGATAATACTGACCACTGACTTTAAAGCTACAGTGTGTAATAATTACAGGGATATGATGTTCATGTTGCTGCGGTCTGCAGTCTGGACGTTAGATGTCGCTAAAAATTACACACTGTAGCTTTAAGATATGTAACAAGTTTTATGCAAATCTGGCGATACTTTTGTAACTTGGACAATTTTCGAAAATGTAAAAATAATTGCATGTTTTGTATCTATATAAAATAACGAGTGGTTCAGGATGATTGGGCTTTTATTTTAGCTATATGGTGGATGGTCTAATTGGTTATCTCTAAAGACTTGGAACTCCAATAATGATAAATCTTATTATGGACGCTCCTGCATTTTCAATCATCTAATAGTGTGAAGTTTTAAGATAAAAGAGGACAGCCAAAAGGAGGAGCTGAAAAAACAAAATAGCAAAAGGCAGGATGTTAAAATAAAAGGCCCCTACAGGTATGTACACTTCTCTCAACTATGCTAAAAGATTAAACCTTTATACAAATAATGTCTGGTGTGTGTTTTGGGTCGAGACTTTCAGCACTCAGTGATATTTCTCCTAATCCACGCTGAAATATTTTCATAAAAAGAGTGGGAAAATGTAATTAAAAATTGTATGTTATACTTTCAGTCTGAATAGCCGCTGTGTTTTAGAATGTTTTAGGTAGGCTATCCAATAACAGCCTCAGACAATCAAAAGCTTATTGCATTCTTCCAATGGACTAAGAAACATAAATTAAATTCTTCAAAGTACCCAAGTTAAAAGCAATAACGGGATGTTTGCACTCTGACTGTGCAATCTAACAATCTCCTACTCCTGGATGGGAGTATTTGCTTCTACGTGATAAAGCCAGCCTCAATACATACCATCGCTCTGGGTCAACAAACCAGTCTCCCTCCCATTCCCATCCTTGTGGAGGCAGAAAGTGCTCTTTTTTAAGTTTCATTTTTCCAGTCACATCTGAGAACTTGTGGCGACCCACCAAGCCGGTTGTTCCCCACTTCCCAAACATCTGAACCTGGTTCTCATACTGCAGAAAGAAGGGAGGTTTGTTTGACAGTAAAAAAAAAAAAAAATCTATATTTCAAGGTGTCAAGAGGAGTCAGAGATGTACCGTTTCAGCGTACACACTGAAGTCTCCTTCTGAGAAGCTGTTGAATTTCTGCTCATGAGCAGCGAGGCCAAGCCACATATTGATGCACAACTGAACGGGGATCTTCACTCCTTTGTTTTTGTCCATGGGGTACTGACAAAGAAGGTATGCAACAATGAGATATGCAGCAATCTGGTTCTTACACAACCGGAGATTTGAAAAGATTCTGTGGCAGGCCAACTCAAAATAGCAAAATAGCTAGAAAGAGGAAGAAAAAGCTTTCTTTCGTTTCATTTGTAATTACCCCTCTGAGGCAGTACTTTGAGAAATACCTTCACACTTCACTTAAAATTGAATGTTTTTGTCATGCACATTTGCATGCCGTCCAATAAGTTTGGTGTTGGTCCTATCTTGCCAGGGCACCTTCTTCTACATTTGCTTTAGCCCCTACATATCCTGCTGCAAACTGGAGTCACGTTTTCTAATTTTTTATTTATTTTTTGTTCAAAAAGGGCTTTTTCCACTGCATAAAGACCAGGATGGTGGAGCAGTTGCATTCATCGAGAAATGTTCCTACCTGACCTCCGCCAGAGTTATCTCAGGCCTCTTGGCTGCTTCTACAGTATGATTAATGCCTAAATCTCCTGGTGGGTCAGCTGAGGATGGATGGCCATGTTTAAGTAGGTTTGCAGATCCACCATACTCCTTTGCTATACTCAGGTTTAAAGCTGGGGATGTTGCTTTATATCTTAAACTTATATTGGACTCTTTTTGAAACCTTATTTCTGATTTTTTTTTTGGTTTTTTTTTTTAATATCATCTTATTTGGTGATTATCACATTTGATTTAAAAAAAAAAAAGAAAAAAAAATACAAACCATAAAACACAACTTTCTGTTGGTCAAAAAAATAACACTAATAAATATGACGTTATGTTAGCAACATGATAAAAAGTGAGACAGTTTAAGGGGAGTAAATATTTATGCTAATCAGTTTATACAGTAATGACAGTTTCTACAAATGTTAGCTGTTCCTGTACCTTCATAAAGATGGTTTGAGTCTTTCCACAGTGTTTGCCACATGCTTGCTCACTGTAGTTAGAGTACAGGATCTGGTGCACTGGGACTCGAGCATATGCCACTCGCTTTTCTCCTCTCAGCATCCATATGACCACATCTGGCATGCTGTTCTGAGCCTGATGGATATGCAGAACTCTTTTTTTTAGTTTAACATCCTTTTTTATCCATTTAAGCAACATGTGATGAGTTATAGTCATTCAAGTTAATATAGAGAAAGAAATGACCTCATCTGCAAGCAGCTTGATTCTGTCCAGCACCTCTTCAATGTTTCCAACAGCTGACTTGACATCCAGGGCCTCTTCTCTCATCTGACAGGCCGCCTCTCTGATACTGACTAAAGCAGCATCACGTAAACTTTTAATTTGGAGATCGAGGGCTGTGATGTTGTGCTGACCTTCCAGTGCTGGAAGTGGGTAGCTTTTTAAAGGAACAGAGTTCAATTATTCAAAATACAGTATCCAAATTCTCAACAGTATAAGAAATAATGTCCTTCTGGAAATATGATTCATTTCTTACTTGTTGATGTTGTCAATCAAATGGTTGATGAGTCTGAGCAGAAACTCTGTCAGGCGTGTCTCAGACATTTTGGCCTGGATTTCTTTTTTCAGCAATGTGAGATGGGACTCCTGAAATAAATAACAAGGACAGAAAAAAACAGAGATTAATGAGGAACAGGATCTGTACAACTTAGATCTTGAACTCATCTCACCAGTTGGTCAGCAATAAAGAGGAGAATATTAACAGAATACAGGCGGTGGCTGATGTCCTCCCAGTATGACGTGAGAATCACCACTGGCTTTGTGTCGGCCCAGGGTAGGTAATAGTAGTGATTACCTGTGGTGATCCCAGTAAATACATCCAGTCATTTTTAAACACTGTTGTGGAAATTGTGTGACCAATACTAAAACACATATTCAGCAGTTTTAGATTGTGGTTTGTTAGTGACATACCATCAAATACAGCAAAACTGTACTGGGTGGTGGAGGCCAGTGGCTTGCATGAGGAATCCAACTTATTGCCATAGTTACCCATGCTAACCTCGAACTGGATTGGCTCACCTGGCTCTTGGAGCATGCATGCACTGTGGAAAACAGTGCACAGGGAGTATTTCCTCCTGCCCTGATATTTCTGATTAAAGAAGAAAAGGGAACATTAGGGGTTCTTTTCATTTCTAACTTAATTAATTTTAATTTAAAAAAACACTGCAGGAAAGGGTGACCACTCATGATGATGATATGTTGTTTACCTGTGCCACTAGGATGTCATCACTGCAGATATCATCTACGTTCTTATCAACCTTACCATCCAACTCTGTGGACAGTTCAACAAGGACCCTCCCCCTATAGGCAACTCCTTCTCCCTGGGGCACATAAACATATAATAAAAGCTCATTTATGTTTTACCACAATTAAATCATTATGGGGTCATCTCTAAATATGATAAGTGACTGTTACATTCCCGAAGTTGAGCTCGTCATAAGGGTCAGGCAGGCCAGTGAACTCTCTGGGGCTTCCGTACAGGTTGATATAGCAAGGCCCAAAAGCTGGGAGAAATCCCTCCTCTGACGCTGAGGGGCTTACTGTAAAGCACAACATGTTCAAAACCACTTCAACACATTTTTATCTTTCAAACTATGAAAACAAGGATAATATTCAAAAACATAAACATATAATTAAACCAATGCTGATGATAATGTGTAGAATGAGAGACAGTGGTGGTACTTAGGTTCCCTTTAGTGTTATTCAGGAGAAATTTACTTTATCAGCTAAATATCAACAAACTATGACATGAGGCTAATTATAGCTTTTTAAGTTCACCGGCTTTTGACTAATCTGAAACGTCTGAAAAGGTATGGTCAGAAGAGGACAAATGTACAATTTTAAGAGTGGATGACAGTGAGATCAGAAAAAGCGCTGGTTTTAGACTTATACTGTACTCAGGTTGTCTTTTAATTCGGATCTGCAAAGGACAATTTAACTGTTATGATTAAAAATAATACTAACCACTATTAGCAACATAAACCATGTATATAATATTTATAGAAGCAATAGCTTAATTTAAGCAAAGAGTGAAATATTATAAGATGAACATTGTAGAAAGTGCAAATATCCTTTTTTATAGCTCCAGATGCCTTTACATTTTATGCAGAATAAGCAAAGTTGAATTTTCAGGACCAGACTGAAGAGAACTGGCTGCTTTTCAAAATTGTAAACTTAAACAGTTTTAAGTGCAATGTGTTGAAGATGGTGCTTGTTCATGTGTTTAATAACTCAGCTTGTTTTACCACATAAAAAAACAACTAATATCTCATCAGAAAAGGGGTTTTGAATTGACTTGATATGGCAAAGTGTATTTAAAAGTGTACCTGGCATATTATGATTAATTTCTTATCAATAAATAAAAAAAAAAATAGGACCATGGTTCACTTTATCAGTCACATTGGGCTCACTTGTGAAAATTTTGTGTCTGTCTTGGTCTAAGATATTTTCTTAATTATAAACAAAAAATCTCAATCTTTACAGATAAAAAGATCACATGTTTCGTTACAAAATTTTTCTAGAGTAGAAACTTTGATTTTTAAGACAAGAAAGTCCTATTAAACTTATTGGTACTTTAGTTACATGTAATGTGCCTTATCAAAACATTGTATTTTGCTGTACCCTATGAGACTAAGATTGATTATTCATACATTTATGAATACGTTTGATCGCTATAAAATGTAAAGAAAGTCATACAGACATTCAGAGACTGTGTTGGAAATTTCAGTCCTGGCATCTGTTTAAAATAAAACAAAAAAAAATTTTATTTATATATATATATATATATATATATATATATATATGCACAAGTTTTTTTGTGCATCAAGGTTTAAAACTAAAGAAAAAGATAGTAAATCATAATCACCTTCAATCTCCCCACCGAAGTATGAAATTTTGCTCAAATTCAAAAACGTTGTTCCAATGACATCATCCCTGCTTAGACGATCCCTTGTAGATGTAAACAAGAATAAATAATAATGATAATGATAATAAATAATGATAATTATATCAAAAATGAAAGAAATTGTCAGTAGATTAATATTTAGGTTTACCAGTCATACAAGGCCAGCTTGATGCGTTCACACATGGATGGGAACTTAAAAAAAAGAGATAATTTTTTCATTAAAATTACTTTGCATTATGGGGTCCAAGTGACAAGCTGTAGTGTGGATCCCTCTTACTTTGACTTGTAGACTGAGGACTTGGTTCCACTCTGGGTTTGCATTTTTCTCAATTATTTTGGTGCAAAGCTAAACAACATTGTAATATTTTAAGTTAATAATATTATTCATGCAAAAAAATTTTTTTTTAATTCAAACAATAAATACCTTCTTTCCAGCAAAGCTAACTTCTAAATATGGATCAACCAAGTTCTTCTTATTTCCATCCCCTCCAAATACTTGCTTCACTGTCTGAACAAAGGCATCATCCACTGCAATGTAAAGGTGTAGAATTAGTTTTCTTAAAGTGGTCTGACTGAATAAAGCTAAAAGCAGAAAGAGTTTATGTATTTATATTTCCCTTACTCTGTGGCATATCCTCTGCACGATACACTTTAAGTCTCAGAATGGCCGATCGCATTGTGACACCGGCTGGAACCAAAAGATTACTCTCTATGTCATCCTGCTCCTCGTTAACCTCCCCTCTTTCACTCTGCAATCAAAAGGAAAAGAGATATGTGGTTTTTTTTTTTTATAAACATTTTTAAAAGCTGCTGTAAGTTGTGTAATAATGTTCCCTGTACCACTGTTTCAGCTCCAGTGCCCAGAATGCTAATGCTGACTTTCAGGTATCCTCTAGCCCCTGCGCTCGGTTCATCCAGATCACTCAGGAGGAGCCATTTTCTCATTATAGAATGACCTGGAAATTGAGGCGGTATTTGTTTGCAAAAGTACATAATTACAAAAGAACTTGCCTGTCTCAAAATGCATTACTTTAGAAAAAACTGACCAGGTTCATTATAGATGTAGCCAACGTCCAACTAAGTTAAAAAAAAAAAAGAAAGAAAACAGAAAAGAAACATTTTTAAGTAAAATCACCACTATCAAAAATACTGAAATATGTAACATTTGGTGTATCTCTATATTGGTATATCATTGGTGTACCTTGAACTCTCCCATTAGACTGTCAGCTCTGAGGGAAAAGGAGTCATAAACCTGTAAAGAAAAGCAATGATCCCAAAAAAAAAGTATTATTTATTTCTACTGAAGAGACAATAACTATAAAATACGTTTTCAACTTTTTTCCTCAGTAAGTTTGATATAATCTACAAAGACTCCATGTAAAAATATAGCAGGTTTAAAATGGATATTTTGAGCACCCCTAATAATCTTGATTTTTGCTATTCAAAATCTTTGGGTATCTGAATCAGCTAGATTCTAATTAATAAAACAGATGGACAGTAATTTTCCAGTAGTAAAATGTGGTTTATTTGATTAATAGAATTTGTGCAATATACATTCAAACTAAATTTAAAAGATTAATACATCTGGGCACCCTGACAGCCTGTAGCCTCCAGACGCTTACTATAGTTTCTAACAATAGTCTGGGTCTTGAGTGAATGTATTTTGGACACATCTTCCTTACCAAACATCTAGCGTTCAGTTAGAATAGTTTGATAGCTGTCAAGCATAGACAATCATAAAAATCATTCAACATCTGTTGGATGATTTCTATGATTTTCTATGATTGTCTATGCTTGACAACTAGTGATACTCACTAGGATGGCAATTGCAGAGTATTGTAGTTGTTGCTATGCAGCAAAACCTGTTTAGATTTTGAGCAGTGTTTTAGGTAAATGATCTGCTGAAATATCAGCAATGATCAGGTTTTGGATTCAAACCTGTACCTTTGGATTCTGTAGCAAACTTTAACTTTCTGGCTAATTCTTGAACTGTATCCTCAACAATCTATAAATATTAAGGAGATTCCATGCAGCTATAAACTTTATTAAAATTTCAATTAATGGTGTTGACCACCCAGGCCAATAGCTCTTTTTAATCATGAGAGTAGCAGCTGTTTTTCTTGGAAAACTGTGTTCTATGATAAAATCCAATTTTTGTTTCATCAGTTCATAAAATAGACAGAAGAGGTGAGCATAGAACCACTCATAAAGGGCTTTTAAAAGGCTTGGAAATACATAGTTATCTTTGTAAAAGTTTAAAGAGCAGGACTAAAGTAGGAGCAGGAAACCTGGCAATAAAATTGCTATATAGTATATGGACAATTAAATGGAATACTTGGAAGAGACCAAAATTATATCCTTAAAAGGTAAGAGTATATATACTAATGGTTTGAGGAATAATGTTTCTGCATGTCTATCTAAAACAGCAGTTTCAACTAAAGTTTGGATGATAGAAGGACAAAGTCTGAGCTGTTTTTCAGGATATAGTGCTTGCAGATCGCATACAACTGAAGCAAGGATGACGTTCATTAGAATTTTAGAATAAACAAAGCTGGATTTCTCACTACACAGCCTCAGAATTTCAGGAGCAATATTATACAGCCTTTGGAGTGATTGTATGTTTGACTCACAAATAATGCAAAATCCATGTCTATATGGCAGCTAGAATACATTTACTATGAAGAATGATGAAATATATTTCCCACTGCCTTTTCATAATAGAACCTTTTATACTCACTCGGAGACTGATGCTCTCTTCAAAGAGCTCAGAAGGCACCATGTTAAGATTGTAGAAAAACATCTGAAAGAAAATAAAAGCAAAATATTTATTATGTGGGATTATTTTGAAGGGTGTTTTATAATTTCAAAAGCCAATCAAAATACTTAGAAATGAGAACATTTTTTAACATTATTTTTTTAAGGCATGTCTTAATAAAAAGGAATGATATAACCTTTGGAGAAGGTTATGTAAAGCTGATTAGAAAAAAAATGCCTCACATTTTTCTGAAGCTTGAGAATATTTGAGAAGCAAAGAAAGAGTCATAAAGAGTAGAAAATACCCAGTAGTTTACCTGGTCAAAGAAAGGGTTGTTTCCTCTTCTGATTCTAGTTCTGTGAGTCTGTCCACAAACATTTACTTTTACCACTGGCTTTACGTTGTTGCCCGGCAGTTGACGAGCCTCTATTACACGAATGCGAATCTAGATTTTAAAAATGAAACAGAAGACTAAATACATGTCATTTACTACCCTATTACTGTTTTTACTGGGTACTTCAATAAAGCTGACAAACACGACCACTCAAAACTTAAAAGAAAAAAATACGTGAAAATCTGAAACACAATAAAACAAGTTTTTAGATTTATAAAGAATATTGACCTGTTTTTGGTTTATGAATTAACTATTATTAATATTAATAGTTCATGTTAAAGCTGGTGGAGTATGTTGTCATGATGCATGGAAACAATCTTAAATCCTAAACTAGTTGATGTCTGTGGCCAAACAGGAAGAGCAATTAAAACTCAGACAAAACCTGGAAGTCTTGAGGCTTGTTGGCCAGAATTTTTTGCTTCTTTTTGCTGTAATGGCGTGGCTTAATGGGTCGCTTCCCAGGCTGTTTTGTAGAAGAAGCCATTCCGGAATTATCAACCTGATCAGTTCTGGTCATGACATCCTCTCCATCATCATCATCATCCTCATTATTTCCTGAAAAAAAATACAAAAAACAAGAACATTGAAGCAAATATTGCAACTATGCTTTGCCCTGTTCTCAGTTTCGTAGTTTAAACAGAATTGGCTCAATATTGTATAAAAATCAGTAAAACAGAATATTGAAAACTGTGGCGCTGGCAGTTACAGTTTGTAAAACCCAAATTGCCAAAGCTGTTTCTAGGCATCACATCCTGAGCAAAAAAAAATTGTACAAACATTAAGCCCCATAAAACTGTTATCAAGTGTTTTAAACAGAGACATTTAAAATTTAAAAGGAAAAAGTCATTTTTTGCAAATTATTTGGTGTTTTATTTGTCAAAACTTTCTATATTTTCCCAAATCTGCATTTAAAACCCTTAAACATTTTACGAGGTTGGAACTTATGTTTCATTTAAAGTTAAAATGACTTGAATTTACTTAATTCAGTTGTGAGCAATGATTGTACACAGACCTTTTGCTTTGGCAGCAATCTCCAGAGTTTTGTTATTTTAGGACAAATTCATCGCTTTAACACAACTCAATCAAGTTTCAAAACAAGAAAGTACATTTTTTGACATTTTAGATCAGAAAAAGTAATTGCATAGTTACTTTGACTAGTACCTAGCTACTTTAAATTCACTGAGTTACTTTTTTGAGAATTACTTTGTAACTATAGCTAGTTACTTTTTTAAAGTAACATTCCCAACACTGTTCATATGTACAGAAATAAACTTATTTGCATACTTATTGGACTTTTGAAAGGGTATGGACTCATAAGTCAAGTATGAATCAGAAAGAGTGGTGGTGTTAAGGATTAAAATAAAGAGGAAGGGATATTATTAAATATGTTTCAGTTCCTCTCATCCCTTTCAGAAATATGCACTGAATCATACATAGAATGCAATACGGTAATATATCCATATATAGATAATGTTTGTATGCAGTATATTTACAATCTAATGAATTTTCAAAAATTATTAATTCAATAAAGAATCAACTAAAAGACAGGTATTAGAAGAACATAATGCATTAGGAAAAAACCAAGTGACTAGATCATAACGAAAAGAACATAAATGAAAAACCTAAGTGACAAAACTAACGCAAAATGATGGAATCTGAAAAAATATAATACATCAAAAATGAACTACTGCAAAAACATGAGGAGATCATGAAATATCTACAGTGAGAGGAACATAGTTGATGCTAGTCAAATTGGGACTACTCCCTTCCTGAAGATAACAAAAAATCAAAATCATATGAAGGTGCATACATGTTCATGTGTCACATACAGTACACACGAAGCAACAATGTATTTATTTAAAACAATTTTGATCTTTCCTTTTGATAAAGCTTATAGTTGGAGTGACTGAGGTTTTCCTGAGCTATCTCTATAGTTATGCTGCTATAGGCTTAGACGGCTGGAGGACATAGGGACCCCTTTTAATCATTCTGCTTCATTCATTCATCTGGTCTGTTCCTGTTTGACTGTGACACCATCCTGGAGAAAAATGTCTGCTGTGCTACTGCCATCAACACCTTTGCTTACAGTTGTTGAAGCTTGGCCTGTTTTTCAGTGAAGTCCTGTTTCTCTGACTGTGACTAACTGTATATGATCTGTTTCATGCACTGACATGGGAGCTCCTCTGTCTGGCTGTGTGTTTCCTGGGCGTGGCTGCCTTTGGAGCGGGTTTACAGTTGCCTTTTGTATCTCTGCTTCTTTTTCTATGTCTGCTTCTATGTACACTGAGCCTTTTTCTGCTGGAGGTTTCTTCCTGTTATAAGGGAGTTTTCCTCTCCACTGTCACTACAAGCATGCTTGATGTGAGGGATTGCCTTTGTTTCAATGAGTTAATGTAATCAGCTGGTTTTCCTTAGATAGCGGTTTTCAAAAATTGCAGTCAACTTAAAAACGTGAAGTAAAATTATTAGTAGTGGTAATTATTGAGTGAGTTTATTGAGTTTAAACTATGTTAAACTGAACTACAGTTCAGTTTAACATAATTTCCTAGAATGAAATATTTTGTCATTGTCATTAAAGCTTGACTTTTATATATTATTCAATACAGTATACGCTATTATGCCATAACAATTAAAATCATTTTTAATCCATATTAATAAATGTCATCTTACCAGCTTCCATGTGGGATATGTTTTCATCGTTTTGATCGTTTAGGTCAGGACCAGCTGGTGACTCATACCCAATGACCAAATTAATGGTTGCCTGTAAAGTTTATAAAAACGCTACCATAAATATCTAAACATAAGATCACGTCAATACAGCATAAATAAACTGGTTCTAACATAATTTAAGCTGTTGTAAAAGACAAACATGTAACGGCTTGAAGTGTTTAGGAATGTTGCAAGCAAATCTATTTACCCCAAAACATTGTTGTTTCTCATTAACCAAGGGCACATTTTTAGATGGCAGGGACTTCATTTGACCGCTGGCCAAATCTCTCAGTGAGATCTTTGCAGAGCCAATAAACCTGAAAAGTGATCATATTAATATAGCAAAAACTACTGAAACCTCACTGCTGAAAGCAACAACAATCAAAATAAGAAAGGCTCATCTTACAGTATAGTTACCAACACATACAACAAAAACTGGAACCACATTTAATATTTATGGCTGTATTTTCTTGTTACTAGGAATGACTGGTATTTTTCACTTCCCAGTTTCACTGCTTGGTTAAAGTTGGGTGGAAAATTACTTCCTTTGTGTAACAAAACAGATGCCACAAATCGCTGATTAATGATCACACCACATTGGAACATACTGGAAATTCTCTATTTTGAACCAAATTCCGTGACCGGGGTTGTGAAATAATGCTATTGCAATAAAACAAAGGGTCAAACCTTTAAAAGTAAAAGAACATTTAAGGATATATTTTAAGGACGTCCAAGAGAAATAAATATGTTTTATTATACCACAGGCATGTTCTAGCACTCACTGTGGTCACTTCAGTGACACAAAAAATACATGTATTTTTTAAAGTCATTCATTTAAGCATTTTGTATATGGTTATTTCTTTAAAATAAAATTTTTTATAATTGTCCTTTTTTAATTAACATCCTTTCTAAATGCACTTAAAATCCCTTCTACTACATACTTTTAAGCTGATATTTATATTTTAACATTACAGTCTTCAAAGCTTTATAGAGCTACTGGAGTATACTCCGCAAGAAAATTATTTATACCTATTAATCAATTTCGCATTTTGTCATGTTACAAAAATGATACGTATTATTCTATTTTATATTATTCTATCCCATTATTGCACTGCTTGAGGTGGTTGCATATTGGGAAAAACTCTGCTAGTTTGTTTTGGTTTTTCTTGCTTAGAAGAATTTAATTTCCTCTATTTGTGAATAGAAATCTCTTTTTTCAGATGTTTTTCTCCTCTGGTGTTGGAATCTATATAGCTGAATGGATTTTTGCTGATGTTGTTATATTTTGGGACATTTCTTATGATTTATAACCATAGCAACTAAAGCAACCATAGCAAGTTGTTTTATTTGACAACGTGAAGTGGAATTTTACCGAGCAATGAACGGTGCTTTATTCATTATGGAAAGCCAAACAGCAACAGGGACATCAGCGTCCCTGGGTCCACCCAATCCTCCAGAGATGCTCCCAGAGTCCAGGATATAAGACTGGATCATGATCATTTCCTGGGATACTTATGTATATTTGGCTTGCAGCTGTGTGGCTGTTCTTTTTCACAGCAGTCAAGTATGGCCACTCTCCTTTTCATTACAATGTATTTGGGGTTTATCTGTTCTTTGAGATGCTGTTTCTAAGTATTTATTTCCAATCATTTGCTGGCCTGACCTGAATAAAGTAGTGCTACAAAAATACTTTGAGTTTGAGCTTTGTTATGTTCATCAAACTTAGCAAGGACAATAAGGTATGCATTTTTATGATGCTGGTTTTGAAAAGTATAAAAAAGTTACTTTAAACAGTACCTCATTATTTTTTTTGTGTAAGTAGTCAACAATGTCCTTGAGTTGCTTTTTGGATGAAGTAAATGGTAACTATATTTTTTCCCCCAATAAATAGGAAAAAAATGATTGTAAAATAGAAAATCCGTTTATTAAGGAGAGTGTGATCTTTTGCCATCATCTGTTGGGAGGGCAGCATAGTCACTTAAAGGCATAGTGGAGGATGTTCTTTTTCCAGATGGATCATCAAAATAAGTGGTCCCCCTTATTGTCAATTATTCTGGTAATATGTTTACTTAAGGCTGTTCTATGTGCCGGTCCCCATTTTCACTTACAGGTGGTGAGTCTCAGGAAAAGAGATCACGTCCCTACCTCTTTTTGGATGAAAAACTTTTTATGTTGTTACATTCACCCACAGAATGACTCAGAAGAGATGTTGTTATTGCCCTGTCTTTTTGCATGCATCTTATTATGACAAAAGAACCCAAACTTTTGCAAGAATGTCCCTCACAGAGCATCGGATAGCTAACCTAAGACACAAGTAATCTGTCCCAGCATTGGGTCTTGAACATTTGAGGTTTAGAAAGAGAAAAAAAAGGCAATATTTATGGTCAAGGTAATATTTCAATTTTGAATAAAAAAGAAGAATTAATTATTACTCAACATATGACAAAGTCAACATATGAGTCTTATGCACAGCAGAGTGAAGTTTCAAGATGATGTTCAGCAACTACTGTAGGGAAAAGTTCATTTATACATTGTTTTCAGCTAAGCTTTACAGGTATAATATCATGGTAATCTTATGTCTAAAACAATCAAAATTTCAAGCAGTGTATTCTTTTTTTTTTATTCGCCTGCCAAGAATTATTTTAATTTTTTCCCTCCTTCTGACAAATATTTTCCCTCAAAGAAATGATGCTCGAATAAAAAACATCACAGTCTCCTCAAAGCGCATAAATGATCATTATAACTGCAACGTGTCACAACCCACAGCTTATATTAAGGTTTCATACTTATGTTTCCCAAATGTTTCATAGTCCTTTACAACCACATCAATATATGAAGATGGATCCAAGGGGGAACCTTTCAGATCAAACCCAAGGACCTGCAATTTCACATAAAAAGTTGTCAAAGCTGTCAATGAGTTATACTTTAATAATTATTTCCAAACACAACATTGCAATTATACACTTACTTCATTCCAAACTGGATTCAACTCATTATTAATTGCTTTGGTTTTCTTTTTTTCACCTGAAAATATAAAGAAGGCATTCTTTATTATTATTATTTTCATTATTACCATTAATTTAGAGTCTTTGACATGATTCAAGTAAGTAAATCTGACACTAATCTTAGTGGAAATAACATTTAAATCCAATACAAACGTTTTTTGACAATAGAAAAAGGTAAAAGCACTTGGGGGAAACAGGCATCAGGTCAGTACGGCCTTATAAGGATGGCTGTCTTGTTTATTGAATCGTTGCCAAAATATTAAAAAAAAAAGGCCTTAACTACTTTATTATGATAACATAGCAACCAAAATAAAGTACAAAGAAAGATATTGATTTACATAGAATTTAAACGGAGTGCATAAGCATAACAAAAAATAAAAAAAAATAAAAATCAAACTAACAGATTTCTCACCCCTGAACAGAACAGTAGTAATTGGATCCGGGTTTCCAATTTTCTTTTTAGGAATTCCACTCGCAGACTCAACTGTCACTTGCAGCATAGTGACAAAAATCCTTATTTACTGAGCGACTCCACGCATTTTCTGTTAAGAGAGCTTCAGTCCTTAGAGAAAATGAAGATGCCAGGAGGAGGACTGGATGGGACCACCTCATTTGGGAGTCCCAGCCCCTCTGATGTGTCACTAACTCTGATGTTACTTTAGATGGGGAACAGAAAGGGCGCTCCCTAAGATAAGCAGTTGAATGTATTGTGGTTTGTCTCAACTTAACCCAATAATGATGGGTTATAAGATATTTTTTTTATTTACTGCGCGACGTCGCCCCCTAGAGTAAACATTGATATTCCCCTTTCGCTTACAATCATTGGACACCAGATGGCGCTATTGCTTCCTTCTCCAACCTGTTCTCAAATAAAGAGCGTTTCCTTCTAAATACATTGATCATTTATTAACATATATATAAATTTTAACCAAAACACAGATGATCACATAGGCTTATATTCATAACTATTCTAATAAATGTGACAATAGCTTACTTTTAAATAGTTAATGTTCAGTTCAATTTAATGAATTCTAGAGCACATATGGTGTCCACAATCATAACCATCTAAAGACAGTCCATAAAACAGTTTAAATTAATATCTACTCAATTAGATATGGAATAATAAATTCAACTTATGCAGACATATTAAAATGCAATCAGACACAAGATTATAGTTTTGAAATAATGTAGTCAAAGTTGATTTATTTAGTTCATTTAGTAAAGTCACCTAATGTTAAACTGGAATTAGAAGAAAGCAGTTCAGATGAAGAAAGGAAGGTTGTCAGAGAAGAGAGAAAAACAATATTGTCATTCAGTGCTGAGGATAAACAGTCATTTGACAGTCATTTTGATTTGGCCAAGGGTTTGTTGGCCAACCGCCATTAACCTCCACAACAGAAGAAGAGGACGTTTTCGCGCCGACCTGCTGTATGTTGTAACGGCTAGCTCAGATGAGTAATGCCATATTTTGCTGTCAGTTTCCTCGGATAAGCAATTTAATTAATTATTCATTGTATAATCTTTTTGAATACGATAAATGTATATAGCTTTCGTTTGATATAGAAGGAAATATCCGATAGTTTTAAATATGTGAAGACAGCACTGCTAGCGATAGCATCGTTTGGTCGATAGCAACTTGTCAACTGTTAGCTTGTTAACTTGTTTGCAGTAAAGGATGCTATTGTTATTTTTCATTCTAATACTTTATATTACCGTATCATACACATATCTTTTATGTGTATGTATGTACATATTATATATATAACCGGGCTAAAACATTTGCAATTGTATAATCTCACAAGAAAACTAAGAACAAAGACTAAAACACATGCATATTGACTCTATACAATCTGTGACCGGGATGTGTGTGATCTGCATAGAGGCTAGCTAACCTTCTTCTGACACCAACCATTACAAATCCTGGAAGGAGGAAAGGTTACAGTAGCTAGTTGATCCTCTCAGCTCTATTCTCTATACTATAGAGAACTGCGTTATAGAGCTTCTTTCCTCAGACATTTTTCTGATGAACACAATGAACATCTCAAAGCAAGACTAGTCATCAAATCAAATATGATTACAGCACTATCACAACTGAAATTAAAATGAAAATGCATGTAGACTAGGCCTGCAACTAATGATTATTAATCTGTTTTTTTGTGTGACTAATAGATTATTGGTCGGATCATTTATTAATAGTTGGAAATTAAACCAGTTGAAATTAAAACTTTTTACATTTTTTTTTCTATCTTAAATGCTAAATGTTTACATATTTCTTTTTTTTTTTTTTTTTTTTTTTTTTTTACAATTTTGCTGTAATTGCTGCTCAAGCGTCGGTTGATGTGTCACCTAAAGGTCTATATTACAGTCTTTAAAGTCAAGTTAATGATTAATCGATTACTAAATTAGTTGAAGATTAGTTCGATAATCGATTATTCCGATTAAATGTTTTATCCCTAACGTATATAACGCTGTTTGTTTTGATTTTATTTCCTCTAGTTTTCTACTCGTTTAACTAATGTTGATACATTGAGGGGGGTCTGCATTAAAGACAATAATAATACATATATTATTATTTTATTAAAATTATTTGCTGATTAATACTCAATATTTTTATTACAGGGCCTTAATTTCACAGAGCTCTTTTTTAATATCTATTATATGTTTTATATCAGTCGATTTTGATGTAAAGCCAACTTTATTTATTTATTCAGAATAGTCTTTTTATTACCGCAGTGTCTCATCTTTATTGTTTATTTCTAATTCCAACAGCTGGTAAAGATGGCAGCCTATAAATGTAATCGCTCGCACAGGAAAAAGCTCAACTCTGAGCTTGTGAAAGCCGTCAGCAGCTTAAGGAAGGAGAATATCCTTCTAAAGAAGACACTAGCTGATGTGTCGGATCATCACAGAGAACATAATAAGCTTGTGGAGGTAAACGCACAGCTAAATAAAAGATGTTTAAATGTCATTGTAAAGAATGCCTGCCTGCTTCAAGTACTTGGCTATATCTTTTATTTTTATGGGGTTTTCTGTTTGTTTCTTAAACCACTTTTTCTTGTTGGTGTACTTACAGAGACTCCTTGCTCTTGAAACTCTGCGGCTGGAGAGTTGTCAGCATCTTCTGAAAAAAGATGAAAAAACCTCTCCCTCCTCAGAGGATCGCTGCCCCAAAGAAAAGCACTCTATGGATGGAGTGAGTATGAGGCTGAATAAAATTTTTTGTTATTTTGCCAGAGGCATCAATAAGAGATATTCCCACAATTACAGAACTGGAGGGAGAACTAAGAGTTAGAATGTAAGATGGTTTATAACAAAGCTGCTTACATTTTGGTATAAATGCCAGATTCAGCCAGATTCTTCAATGTAATATGCATGTAATACATTTCCATCTGAAAAACAAATAGATATTTTAGGGAAAAACATATAAAAATTGTTTGGTTTAAGCAGCATTTGCTAAAAATGTAACTTTCAGTCTTTAATGCAGATCTGTCAACGACGCACATTTCATTTGTTCATTCTGCTTGCTAAAACTTTTCAGATTCTCTCAAATTGTATGGACTACCATTGTTCCCTTCAGCATTAGATTGGCTCTATAGCTGGCCCAAGAAAACTGAGGGTTCTTTGTTATATTTTTTTGTTGGGGGTTTTTATTTTGTTCTTTAGGGTCTCTAGAGATCTTGTATCCATTGGACAAAACGTGATATATATGTCACATTTAGATACTTATTTAACACTTTTTTGCTGATTTTTTTTTTTTTTTGTATTCCGTATATTAGAGAATTTTCTGTATTTTTAAAACCACAAGACTGTTGATACAATACTATTAACAAAAAAACGGCTAAACTGAAGCATTTGCCTGAAAACTATCTTTCAATTTTCACTCTGAAGATTTCTTGTCTTACTAGATTTTAACCACTAGATGGCATCAGGTTTGTTTCCTCTTTCATTTTTGCTTTCATTTTTTTTTCTGGACCTTCCTTTGATTTTTTTTTAAAGTTGCAGTATAGATAATGTGAACATTAGTGGTTGATTTTCAAATGTTGGATTCTAGACTGCTCATTTTTTCTTGTTTTATAGGATCCCCCATCAGAACAGGTCTCCTCCAACGATGAAGCTGTCTTACATCTTCAAAATGATCTCAGTGATGCAAGTTTTCTGAAATTTACTTTTACTCACTTTAGTTATTCGTGTAAAGAAACAAGACTGTGTGCAATTAATATATCTCACTAAGTGTCGGTTCCTCATATCTATCCTCTCTTGTTCCAACTGTCATTTTGTGTTCTTATTCTTTCATCCAATTCTTTAAGGCTTTGGAAAAGAACAAGCAGTTGCTGGAATATGACCAGCAGAGAGAGGCCTATATGAGGGCAATTCTGGACAAAGTGTTATGGCTGGAGAAGCAGCTGAGTGAAACCAATCAGGCCCGCTCAAAGCAACACAATGAGGAGCATTCAGATGGTGAGGCAAAGGGACAGTGGGCAGCAAGCACCCACCACTAATGGAACAGACTGTCACAACAATATTTTCAAGATCAAGTTTATTCTGTTGTAGGCCAGAGTGACCGTTAAGATAACCACCTGATTTATTGTTGAAATTATATCGTTCATTAATGCATTATCACAATGTTTAAGACTAAATCACTTTTTAAAAATCTTACTCGGTCATCTTTTGATTTTTTTAATGCAGAAGAGACACAGAAACAGATTGAGGAATGCATTGAAAGCTATGAGAAAGAGGTTGACGTCAAGCTGGATATGCTCAGAAAGCAAGTTAAGGTCTTTGATCAGGTGCTGGTAACTGCTAAAGAGGAGGAAGAGCAACAACTGAAGAATGAGACTAAAGAGCTCCAAGCAAAGCTGAAGGAGGAGAGGAGAAGGTCTACAAACCTGGAGCTGCAGGTAAATCTTCAGCCCATGTCAAGGTTATAGCACCATCTGATCCAATCTCTACTTTGCCTAAAATGAGAGACTAGTTTTACTGAACTTACTCAGTACTGTACTTTAAATTAATGTGTAGAGGTCCCAAAATATTCCCACAACTTTCTGATTGCTTACCTGGAACTCATCAGGTGCCTTCACTAACCAGGCTGGATAATGTGATTATAATGTGTAACATTGAATAATAGTGCCGCTTCTTATGTAACCAAACAGCTCTGGGAAATTAGCTACCTGCTGCGTTCCGAGAAAGTTTTAGAACATCTAATTTCTGAGGAAAAGTACCTAGTAATTTCTAGAAGTACACATTTTTATTTTTTTGCAGTACCTGGTAGGCTCTGGTCTTGGTATGTACTGCTGAAGTTTTCGATAGAGTAATGTCTTGGTCAGTAAGCCTTAAAACAAAGAAAATAACGGCTTTAATTAAAGTAAATTAAGGCTGGAATATGTAGTGCTCCTATTATGGATAATGCTTCCATTCATGTGAGGAAAAAATAACTAAACTAGAAAAAATACTTGTTTTTTTAGGCAAGCTTCTATCAGAGGTACGTGTTAAACCATCACCATGCCAACCAAGAAGAAATTGCAGACCTGAAAAGACAGGTATGGCTGACACACTACCTCCTATCTCAGTTCTGATTTGTTGCTGGTCTCTGGATGGTCCCAATCCATTTGACCACAGATTATTTTATTTTTTCCCCTCTATAAGGTTTTGTCATTAACCAATATTTGACACTGTTTTGAAGGCAGTCTACTGGTATTCTTGGGTGCTAGAAAAAATGTGCTTCCAATACCTGTACAGTTTTACAGCTTTCACTGCTGTCTGCAACTTTTTTTTAAAATTCTAGATAAAGATTTCTGCACAAGACCTTGAGGATGCAAAGCGGGACTCCTCATATTTAAAGAAGCAAATGCTCAGAATTCTGAAGAAGCTGCCAAAGACTAAAGGCCTTGACCCAAAACAGTCAAAGGTTGGCATGAATACAGCAAGTAGCACAGACTTCATTGATGACACTTAAAGCTGTATTAAGGCCTTTTGCACATACCCCAAACACATTTTTTAAATAATTTTCTGCCCTTTGCTCAGCTGTCTGCTGCTACGCTGTTTTGTGTCTTACCAACTAAAGCCAAAGTTCTTAGTTTTAAGTGAAGTTTATCAATAATTTCTAACTAAAATCTTTGCAGCTTTGAGTCTCATAGAATAAGACAGATCGTTTCATCCTGATGCTTCATCCCGACTGACGTTTTATTTATTGTAGACGCACCAGCAGGACGTCAGCTCATGTGAAGAGGGGATGCCCCACAGAGACAGTCCAGAGTCCTCTTTTCACACCAGCAGGCTGGACCAAAGTTTCCTGGAGTGTCCCTCCTGCCAGGCCGAGTACCCAGCTAGTCAATACCGCCAACTCCTAGAGCACCTGGAGATGTGTGTCGAGTGAACCAGTGTGAGAATGTTCAGTTCTGTTTGTCAAAAGACCACCAGAAATATTAAATGTTAGCTCTGTTAATTAGCTGTGATTGCATTGCATGTTGTTATCCACAGTTATATGGTTCAGAATTTATCTGAATGCTGTTTTCATTAAAAAGAATGCATGTAAAATTACTTAAAATCCCTGAATACCTGTTTATTTTCTTTTTAATATATAAATGTATTATACATGCTCTCTATTTCCCCCTAGTGGAGAAGCTACAAAAACTTTTTTTACTTGAAAGTACCAAAGATGAAATGCTTAAATATCTGCAAGTGTTGTTAAGCATACACAGAGATATGTTCCAGCTGAAGAAATAATGAAAAGCCACATGAGTCACAGGACGCCCTTAAATTCCACTAAAAGAACAAGACACTACACACACTGTGGTCATATTTCTGTGGAAACTCTGCTTCCCATTCTGATGATGAATGATGACATTTACAAAACACCATAACTGAGGAGAGCAACAATGAAATCCAGTGTTCTATTTGTTGTGCAGCAAAGCTGTGAGAACAACACTGGAAATGGGTCCCCCTTCTCGGACCCATTTCCACATTTTTCCTGTTAGAAGAAGCTTCGTTCTTTCTCACAGAGAACAAAAGCATACCACTAAATACGGCTCCCAGAGCTAGACCCTGCTCCTCCCAAATGTCCTGCTTTCATTTATAGAGACAAAATTGTGTTATGGTTAACCGGCACTGGCTATCTAATGGTGTAATCACATCAGGGACAGAGACAGGAGGTGGAGAACAGAGTGTATTTATTTAGAGACCTTTTAAAAAGCTTCTTCCCAGATGGATCTGGTGCATATACAGTGGGTAAACATATTAATCCTACAACTATAATGGGATCTGAAGAATTATATGGTGAATAGGACCTTAAAGGGCTCCCAGAAGTCGCATGTATTTCTGAAAGAGATGAAAGTTTTTTTTTTTATGGGATATTCTGTGGTTAAAAAAAAAGGAGCCCTGATACATTTTAGCTATTTATATATCTGAGTTAAGCTTACAGTTAATAACAGTTCAAGATTCAGTTTCTAAGAAAATTTGAATACAGTACTACATTAGCGACTTAAAAAGCTAAAAAATATATATTTTCAATATATAATTCAAGCCTTCTGAAAAGTATGTTTTGTGCTGTACCATGACTACTGAATGGCGAAATTTACTTTCATCTAAAAGATAAATTTTGACAACTGGTGAAAAGTCCAGCCCACTTTGTTATTGTTGGTAAGACCACTGAAATTAGTTTTGCATCACACTTTTACCTCCCACTTAACTTTCCTTTAATATGCTATAGGTTGCAACATCCTTTGACATCCAGCTTCTATTTTATTGATCTCTTTCACTACTTTAAGCTCTCATGGTCATAAAAAAAAAAAAAATTCTATAAAAGGGTTTTTATTGGTATCGTTTTCAATTACTATTATCTTTAAAAAAATATAGTTTATTAGTTTTTGTTACCTCTATTTTTTTCTTACCTATGATGAAACAATAATCAAAATAGTTTTGATTGCTTGGAATAGCTATATCATTCTGTAATGAATCAATATGAATTTAACTTTTATAACAGATTTAGAGAGACGTCTAAACTTTTAATTTTATATTTATAGATTTTACATGGATGCAACCTTTACAGAAGAGGATTAGGGCCACTGAAAAAAATAAAAAGAAGTTAACTGATTTTTAAATTTCCTTTCAGTATATGAGGAAAAAAAGTCAGAAATCTGACTTTAATCTCAGAATTCTGACTTTTTTTCTCAAAATTCTGACTTTAATTTCAGACTCTAATATCAGAATTCTGGATCTTAATGTAGATAGGCAGCATGAAGGAAGAGATGTGGGTGCGGTCAGCTTCCTTGACAAAGATGTGAGTTGTTTGGGTGGGCCAGTAACACACTAATGAAAAATTACAGAATTAAGTGACTTTTTACGTGCTCGAGGTCCCGGTCATGTTATTTCATTATTTGGAAGACTAGAAGGTGATTAAAACAAGAGAGCTAATTTAGTCTTTAAAACAGACATGGCTACGGCTTGATGCTAACATGTTTGATAGCTGTCAGAATTCTGAGATTAATGTCAGAATTCTGAGAAAAAAAAGTCAGAATTGTGAGATTAAAGTCAGTATTGTGAGGTAAAAAGTTAGAATTGCGAGATTAAGGTCAGAATTCTGATAAAAAATACAGAATTCTGAGATTAAAGTCAGAATTCTGAGAAAAAAATTATAAACTCTGAGATTAAAGTCAGAATTCTGAGAAAAATATCAGTATTGTGAGATTAAAGTCAGAATTGTGTTATTAAAGTCAGAATTCTGATTTAAAGAAAAATCAGAATTGTGAGATTTAAGTCATAATTCTGAGGAAAAATGACAGAATTGTAAGATTAAAGTCAGAATTGTGAGGAAAAAAATTCAGAATTCTGAGATTAAAGTCAGAATTGTGAGAAAAATTTCAGCATTGTGAGATTAAAGTCAGAATTGTGAGATTAGTCAGAATTGTGAGATTAAAGCCAGAATTCTGATTTTTCTAATACTAGAATAAAATTTAAAAAATCAGGTAACTCCCCCACCCACCTCCAAGTGGCCCTAATCCTCTTCCGTAAGCCTTAGCTCCAAAGGATATTTGGCTTTTTCCATGATCATCGATGTCTTGAGGACAGGAGGGCTTCCCCGCATCCTTTCATTCCTGCTTGCAAACAATTCTGCATCTTCGGTCACCATGGCAACCATGCCGAAGCCAGAATGGGAGCCACGTATTACCTATTTATTTGTCACAGTTATGCTCAAAACCAACTGTGTAAATGCGATTGATGCTAATGGGTTTGTAATCAGACGGTATGTTGCAGGTGCTTTTGTTCCATCAACCGACAACAATCAATCTTAACGCGGTTTTCCAACCCGCTTCCCGCATAGACTGCTTAGGCAGCGTCTGCGCCATATATACAAGCAGCACTGGTTCGTGATAGTTTATTTAGTATTGATTATCTGGGCTTATTCTGATTGACGGGAGAGAGAAAAATAACAGAGTCCACAGATCCGCCTGCCCCATTGGGCGTTAGACAGTGAGCGGGGAGCGTTGGATGAAACCATAGGCGTGGTTTTGGACAGAGATGCTCCGTCTGCTCCCGCTGGGATCCCCACCTGCCCTCACACCGCGCCTGTCACCGGGCCAGCTGGCGTCCTCCTCCCTGCTCCACACTTCTCCTTACTTTTCATCTCTAGCTACCACAGAGGATACGCGCTCGTATTTTTTCGTCCAGGTCTGTGCATCAGAGAAGGGGGAATCCGGGTGCGATCACCCTCCCCTCCCCAGAAGAAGGAGCGAAGGAGGAGATAACCGGAGCGCACTGCGCGTCGCCTGGCCTCCTGGCAGCAGAAGCAACGGGAGAAGGAGGCGCAAGTACCAAGAGCGATTCCCAAGGATGGAAAATACACGAAAAATACCCAGGAGATTGCTGCGGCTCGGCTTAGTTGCGGCGGTGTGTGTAGTACTTTCAGCGGAGAGCAAAAGAGCCAGGCAGCCGCGCTGTCCCATGTCATGCACATGCACCAAAGATAACGCGTTGTGCGAAAGCGCAGTGTCGATTCCTCGCAGCTTTCCCCCCGATGTCACATCTCTGTGAGTCCTTTTTACTAAGCTATGCTTTGTTATAAACATGCATGATCAGTGGCTTTTATGCAGCAGCAATGCACTCATTTAAATCCCATTAGCAGACTGCAATAACTATCATGACACAAGTCTGCTGTTCAACTGAACGGCGTGTTATTTTGTCGCATTTTTACTCCCACAGATCATTTGTCAAGTCGGAATTCACGGAAATCGCCAAGGAGAGCTTTATCCACACCCCTGCCCTGCATCTGCTGTGAGAAATCTATTCTAAGGTTTTTTATTGTTGGTGTTTGTTGCATGCTGTATTTTCCTGAGCTTGATCAACGCCATGTTTAATTTTTAAAGACGTTTTCTTTCTTCTGCTAAAATTCTTTAGACTGGTTTTTAAAAAGCCCTGCAAAATAAACCTCATTGTGTTTTTTTCTTTCATTTCTGTCATGACTGGTTTTATTCATCTAGGTCTTGCCACATACATATGTGTGCACATGTATGTGCCTGCTTGCACAGATGTATTCCAGGGGATTTCCTTCTTTATCTGAGTCATACTTTGGCTCTGACTAAACCCATAAAATCTAATGTGTAAGGATGCCTGCAGGAATCCTCAAAATGCTTTAGTCAATATTAAGAGATGACAGAGGAAGAGGTTTTCTCATTTTAGTGCTCTTGGAGTAGTCAGCTGTAAGAGACTAAACACTGGGATCTCTGTACAGCCTGTTCACAGCAAACAACCTGGAATCTATAAACGAGGACGCCTTCCTTGGACTTCCTCACCTGGAGTATCTGTAAGTTTATCATGGAATTGTATCATTAATATTCCTTCTACTTGACTATGAGTCTTTTCTAATGCATGTACATGTACATGTTTTCCAGATTTATTGAAAACAACCAAATCCAGTCAATATCACCATATGCTTTCCGGGGACTGAAGACCTTGGTGCACCTGTATGTACTTTTTTTTTTTTTGCACAAAATATAGGAGCAAGATGGCATCTTCATGATAAATGTTGTTAATAATGTTCGTGTGAAGTAACAGCCTGTTCCTATAAAACGCTGAGGAAGGTTATTGCACAGCTTGTATTGCCACAGAGACAATGTGCAGCATTTGAAAATGATAAGACAGCAAAAACAGAACATCCTCGTTACATAAGTGCCCAACACATGGACTTTTTCTTATTTACAGCAGGTTGCAAAATTACTGGTATCTGTTTCTGTTAAATTTACCTTGTTCCATTTTCACATCTAACAAATTGAGTTTGGGATTCAGCAAATGTGCAATACCAGGTGCTCTGGCAACACACACAATCAGTATCAACTTTAACAGCAAAGTTTTTGTTTACAACAAAAGAATTTTACTTGGGTTTTCCATTGCTTGTAGTTGTAATAAACACAGTCTCCCAACATCAGCCTCTCTTTGTAACTTATCAGTAGAATGACACCCCCCTGCTCCATAGACCGCCTAAGAAGCTAAGCCTCACTGGAAGTGACGTATTTTGGTGTGTTGTCCAATCAGAGCTCTACTTTATCGCTGCTTACCTCAATAGAATGAGCCTCAAACCTCAACAGGGCTTTCTCCTAGAGACTGACAGGCAGCGTCCTGCTGCTCCTGAGCGGAGAGGAGATGGAGTCCAAGAACGGGCTCAACAGTTGATTAATGAAAAATATAATTATTAGATTAGGAGCATTTGTGCACATATTTAATGCAATGTAATGACTACATTTATGAAGTTTCCATGAGAAATCGCCACACAGAGAGAAAAAGATTGAATATCTAGCAGCCCAAATTTAGACTACTGAGGAATAGTCCACTTCTTTCTTAGCCCAGCAACGTGAAAAAGCGATGTTCCCTCTGATGCAGCAGTGGCTTGACATAAAAAATGCAATACTGATTGCCGATTTGTAGGATTCATCAGATCCTAGCGGCTATTGATGTGCTCATTTCAGCCTCAATTTTCTAATTGTGAAGTTCCCTCAATTTCTTGAGCGGACCCGCATTACCTCTTTTAGTTGAGCAACCTTTTTTCCCTTCCACCTAACCTAAAATTCTCCTTTTGTAATTTTCTGAAACAATCAATTTGAGGTTTTAATTTTCTATGAGCCCTAAATCATTAAAACGACAACATTTTCAATGCTGTGTGTAATAAATCTGTACTTTGAAATGAGTGGCAAAATATTGGATTTTTTTCTGCTACTCGCACTTTTTTACTCTGTGTGTGTATACATATATATATATATATATATATATATATATATATATATATATATATATATATATATATATATGCAAAATAGTTTCAAACTGACCTTTGTTTTTAAGAGCAAGGTTTAAGCTTTAACAGTTTATCATAGAGTTGTTGATGGACTTTGAATTAGGGATGAAAATTATAGTCAAGCATGTCCTTTTCTTCTTCAGGAGTCTGGCCTACAATAATCTGGAGACTCTCCCTAAAGATTTGTTCAAAGGTCTTGAGGCCTTAACAAAAGTGTAAGTATAATTTGTATGTGAAGTACAGAAACTAATAACACAAAGGTTGTGTGATCTCTAATATTGTACAATGAAAGATTAGCCATCTATACAATGTTCTATTTCTAGAACAATGCATCATTTATTGCTCCTCTTTTGTCGAGCCTTGACAAATGCGTAGGCAGCTGAAGCTTTTAGCACCATTAAAATTACATGCACTAGAGGGAGAGAAGGAAGAGAGGAAGGCTGCGGGTTATCATCAAATGAAGATACTCATTTTTCCTTGAGGTTAATGAAACCTCAAGAAGATGATTTGAGAGTTAGGCACCATCTGGAGCTTTAGAGCGTTCAACTCACTGAGAAAGAGGAGTGAAGCGCTCATATTTTCACACAATGATTTTGTTCCCAAAGAGACTTGCGTGGGAATCACTTCATGTGTGACTGTAAGCTGAAGTGGTTGGTAGAGTTGATTTACAGCACCAACGCCACTGTGGACCAGATCTACTGCAAAGGCCCAGCATCACATCTGGACAAGAGGATCAATGACCTGTCGCCGCAGTCCTTCGACTGCATCACCACAGGTGGAGGACTGACCTCTCACGTGTCTTTGGAGATTTTACATTTACTATATACTGTAAAGTGTTTTGCTTTCTGTTTCTCTCCCAGAGTTTTCTCCCTACCAGTCCCTGAAATTTGAATCCATATCAGTGGAAGCATTTTCATTCAGGAATGACCAGTATGTTGTTTTCGCCCAGCCATTCATTGGGAAGTGTGGCTTCCTTGAATGGGATCATGTTGAGATGAACTTTAGAAACTTTGATGATATTGACAGTAAGTAAAGTGAACGGGTTAAGTGTTGAACTAACATAAGGAGACGATGGGAATGACTCGATTGCGTTTGGTTTCAGGTACATCCACTGTCATCTGCAAGCCTCTAGTCATTGACAACCAGCTGTTCATCGTTGTGGCTCAGCTGTTCGGAGGCTCCCACATCTACAAGCGGGACACCTCTGCCAACAAATTCATCAAGCTTCAAGGCATTGACGTCCTGACTATCCGCAAGCCAAATGACGTAGAGACGTTCCGCATTGATGGAGAGTCCTTCTTTGTTATAGCAGATAGCTCCAAGGCCGGCTCCACCACCATCTACAAGTGGAATGGAAACGGCTTCTACTCCCACCAGTCCCTCCATCAGTGGTACCGTGACACAGATGTGGAATACCTCGAGATCTCATCCAAACCTCACCTGATCCTGTCCAGCAGCTCTCAGAGGCCCGTCATCTACCAGTGGAACAAAGCCACCAAGATGTTCGACAGACGAACAGACATCCCAGAGATGGAGGACGTTTATGCTGTGAAGCACTTTCAGGTCAAATCTGATCTCTACATCTGCATGACGCGCTTTATCGGAGACTCCAAGGTGATGCGATGGGATGGGGCCCTCTTCAGAGAGTTACAGACCATGCCCTCTCGAGGCTCCATGGTGTTCCAGCCCTTCACTGTGGGCAGCTGGCAGTATGCCATTCTGGGCAGCGACTACTCCTTTACCCAGGTGTACCGCTGGGATGCCAAGAAGGGCGAGTTTGTTCGCTTCCAGGAGCTGAACATTCAGGCGCCAAGGGCTTTTTCTCCAGTTTCCATTGACAACCGTCAGTTTCTGCTGGCCTCCAGTTTCAAAGGAAAGACTCAGATCTACGAGCATTTAGTCATTGACCTGAGTAATTGAGAGATTGTGGTTTTTCCTATGGAACCTTTAGTGACTTTTGTGATATTTTGTTGTGTTCATGGAGAAGTCTGTAATAGCCAGTGGAGCGCTAAAAAACTACAATTTATGGTCCTCACTTTATAAATTTACATCCACTCATTTTTAAATTCATACCACAATCTGCATGATCATTCTAAAGATAAAAAGTACATTTCTTAACCCAAATATATGTCTGAGAGGCATGCATCCCAGTTTAGGATACATCCAATATTCTTTCGAGTTAATGCATGAAAGGCCAGACGCAAACCATCAGTAACACCTAAAAATCTAAAATCGGCCTTCAAAGGTTTATAACCATTCATGATCAAGCTTTTACTATACTTAATATAGTTTATACAGTTATTCTCTAAAGTGTAATGCTTTACAGAAGATAGTTATACTTTTTAAACTGTTAACATATTTTAACTGAACAAATCTGCCTAGACACAATGTTTACATTTTTCTGTCCTTCCATTTGTATACTATAAGATTTGTAAATCAAGCCTTTTTGTAAGTTAAGAGAGGGGCAATATGAGATTTGATCACATGGATTTATGAAAGGAATATAAACACAGAGGTTGCCACGCATATTTTAAGTTTTGTCACGTCTTTCTGCAAAGGTCCATCCCGATTCCTAAAAGTTCATGAAAGAAGTTTACTTTGATTTTTCTGGCAGACATTTCTGCAGGGGTCAGAATGGTACAGGTAAAACACTGCAGATGGACTGATGGATGGATGGACGGACAAAGGAATTAATGAATTGTTTAGATGACAGACCGATGGACAAACACGTGAACTTTATAGAAGTGGAACTCTAGAAAATCTGAAATGACAATGATTTCAGGCAAATTTTTATTTTGCCGTTTCAGGACCTGGAAAACATCTGGAATCTTCCAAACAAAGCAGGAACCCTGTATACAGACATATTGTGAATCTGCCCGTATGTCCTTGCAACTTTTTTATTGTTAATGCTTGGTAAAGTGTTTAAAGTACTGAGCAGTTTTTCATAACTGGAAACAATCTCTTAAAAAGACACTAAAAATGAAAAGAGACTGCTGTTCATATTCTATAACTATCATGTGCGCAAAATACATAATTTCTGTCTTGACTTAGATGAGCCTCGTCATTTAGAGTCAATAAAAGTGTCTTTTTCATCTAAGTTTCTTGCATTGTATAACTAAGCTTACATTCTGAATAGAGACTGCAGATAATGTCTGTCCACCTTTTGAGATTTGTGAAGTTTAAATAAAAAAAAAACTACAAGAAATTAAATACAAACAAATAAAATTCTTTTAATCTTCTCCGACAAAGTGCACGCCTCAAATCTACAAAGCAGCACATTACAACGTAATGGAATAAATACAACTGAATAAAAAAAAAAAAAATGTAAAGAGATACACAAGTACCTGCACAATCACACTTGCAGCAAGTATAAATCTGGCTCTTTAGAAAGGCTCCACAGTAAAGTTTCAGTCATCCGGCTTCTCGTGCATCACCAATCCTTTGGATAGAGACGTCCAACATATTGCGTCCTAAAGCAAACCAGTTTAAACTGCGTCTTCGTAACCGGAGACTATCAAACTAACATGAACGAAACAAGAGGTGTACACTCATGTTCATACAGATCACCCTGGAATACTTGTGCAACTGCAGCAGGGCTCGTACTGCAGGGAGAAAATAAAGTGATCACGTCTTCAGCCTTAACTGAACTTACAACTCAAGTTTGTGTGGTGCAACTTAGTGTTTTTTTGTTTGTTTGTTTTGTTTTTCTCCATAGGCAAAAAAAAAAAAAAAATGTAAAAAGGCAAGGGAATATTGCATCCCTCTGTGATCCACAAAATAATTTAGTCCTCTTTAAATAAAACTGAAAACAAGGAAAACAAAAAGAATAAAATAATTTCAGACATAAAGAGGAATGCTCAAAGAAACAAATTGTTTGAATTAAATGAAATAACTAAATCCCATGGAAAAAAGGAGAGTATTAACAATAAAATTCTGTACAGAACTAAAAATCAATATACAGTACAGTACCTGCAGATGTTATGCATACAGTACAATTCTCTTTTTACATATTTTAAGTATGAGCTCCAGCCTGATCTATATACTGCCTTAACATAGGTGGAAAAGCGGTTACTTTAGCTTACAGTAATTGAATGGTTATTCAGCGAGGAGAGCAGATTTTAGAAGTATTTAGAAAAACAGAGTGAAAACTTATTGCCGGATGGTCATCTTCGGTTGCATACTGCATTTGATACATGACTGCTTCCTTTGACATGGAGCAGCAGGCTGATGGGGAAGAGGTACGGAGAAGAGAGGAGAAAAGAGAAAAAAAAACAACAGCCAGGGAGTTAGTTAGTTTTTGCTATCGGATTTAGTCACCCTACCCTGTACAGTACATTCAAGGCCAGTGCTGCACTTTAACCAGCCGAATCCGCCTCGATTCTGCGCGGTGGGGTTGTGGGAATTCAGTGCTGATTTCTTCCTGTGAGTCAACACTAATCCAGTGATGGGAGTAGAGCGTTACCACAGCTCACCCGAAAGGCTCGCGCGGTGTTCCATCTGCCGTCACAGTTTGAGCTCATTTGCAATTTTGCAGGCGATGTTCTTAAAGGCGATGGACGTGCCTGATATCCTCTTGAAGCGCACGCCGTTGAGCGAAAGGCGGGGCAGCTTACACACCTCCATCTCCCACTGGACCAGATTGTCCTGGCGCGCATCGCCATGGACGCAGAACAGTAGGAAGCGCTCACGCTGCTCGTAGTCGCAGCTGTTGGCGTCCAGGACTTTACGGATCTCTCGCATCATGTCAGCGGGATCCATAGAGGAAGTGGTCTTCATGCTCCAGGTGAAACGGAGCGAGCGGGGCTTGGAGTCCCGACCGGCATCCTCCTTGGAGTCACCAGACGCACTCCTGGAAGAACCCATTATATAGGTAGAATTAAATTAATAATCCTAATTATTTCAGGATTGAGATACAGACTATCTGTGAAAGGAAGGCTTGATCGTTGGTTAAAATGCAAATAAAACTTGTTTTTCCCCATAGATGAAGATGCAAAAAGAAGGTAGTGAAAAAGAAAAAAGAAAAAGGTGGGATATTCACACAACCAGGCAAACATACAGTCTTAAATTAAGTTATTTTTTGATCCTTTGAAGTTTCCTTTAAGTTTTTTTTGCCCTTCCGACATGCAGAAGGAAATGACACGGAGAGTCCTCTACCTCATTTAGCAGCCACCAGCGTTGAATGCCAAGTAAGTTAGATGTTTAGTTTGCAAAGCAGCTTGTCGGATTTCATGAAATGTTACCAGCATTGCAGCAGAGAGGTTTTTAATGTATTGCAAGACAGCCAGAAATACTAACAAGCTCTCTGTGTAACCAGCTCCTTAGTAAGGAAAGCAGATATTCGCTTTTTTGAAAGTTACAGAACTATGTGATAGCCACCCTGCATGTTCTCCTAATCTATATCCTACTCAATTTATCTGGGGGTAATTTTCATAAGGGATTCACAGATGGATGTCAGCTGCAGAGTGTAGATGCCCTTCTTAAAAAAATATAAAATACAATCACTTTCTACAACTGCAGTTCATTTTCGACACTTTTCTTTGTGTTTTTGACCTATCAATGCAATGTTTTAAAGTTTCAATAACCTTTTAGACAGAACCTGATCAAGAGTCAATGTATTTTAGTCAATTTTAGTCTGCAGTAGTTGATTTCATTTCATCTGTGTTGGTTTTCAACCTTGTTCTGATTTAGAGTCATTAAATTATAATTGAAAAAATATGTATAATAAATGCAAATGCTCTTTCCTTTTTTTTAGTCTTAAGATTTCAGAACTCATAAGAGCAGCCCTGCAGTTTACTCTCCACTATAGAAACCAAGTGAATAGCTAGGGGAAAGGTATGCTTGAGCCAATTCCTTTATGACAATATTTTGCAGGCGTTAAATTGAATTTTTCAGATTTGCAAATCCAATAACAAAAAGCACCCCGACAAACTCTACACAAATGAATTAAAAAGATACACCCAAATAAAATACTCTAGAAGTGTCGGACTTTGAATATTTTTAGCAGCCAGGGGAAATAGTTTTTGTCAAAGCATGCGGGTCTATAACCCTTAGCAACTCCGTGAAATTAAAATCACTATGTTTAAAATAGTACCTTTAAAAACCTGCAAGTTATTTAAAAGTTTTGTACAATTTCTCTCAGTCTCATTCTAAGAAAACAATTTTTAAATGCTTAAAAAGATAGAATAATAAAGTGCATCTCTTAAAAAAACTGAGTAAACCAGATCGTCCGAATTTCAATGCAACAAAAACAGCTAGTACTTTTATCAACTATTCACAACATCCAATTAAAACTGTGATCATTCTGGAAGCAGCATTAAAATTTGCAAACAAAAATCATCACACAAAAGTTTGAGAGCATTAAATCCCTACCGTGGTGTGAGCACCTCAGTTTAATTCTCACCTTGGTGTTTCAGTCCTGGCACTGGCCTCGCCCTCACTAGGCACCCTGAAATAAACCCAAAATTGACTCGTTATAGCTGAGCTAATGCCAACATCAACCCCCAAACTCACCCACCCACCAACCAACCAACTGCCAAAAACCAGCTCAATCATAACTGAACACAGACGAGGGTGTCGGGCATCATGCCAGGAAAGAATCCAGGCTCCTGGGTGTCAGAGCTCAGCACACACTGTGGTGACCTTTCATCAGTAAAGCTGGCATAAACCATAAGTACATCCCATCTGTTGTAACACACCTTTCCTTAATCTCCACTGACATGTAAAGGGAGGAAAAGTGCTTGCATGTCTACACAGCTCCATTTCTGTTAATGCAACCATTTGTCTGAAGCTCTGAATAAAGACGGGGGAGAGTAAGGAGAGGACAGCTCGCAACGACAACCGTACACAGCTAGTGGCTTTACTAGAGACAAGACTGGAGACCGGTGAAGTTTGGGCCTTAAGAAGGAGGACACAAGGAGTGGAAATACACAGCATAACAGAGGTGTCAGTAGGCGAGGATGTGGTGCGCAAGTAGAAGTTAAAAACATGGGTCATCGTGGGCAAAAAGGGGTGTTTTTCTGAGTTATAGTTGTAGATGGGAGGGAGGAGGAGGGGGCAATATGCAGCAAGCGTTAGGTTCTCCTACCTCCGGGTTGACCTGAAAGACATTGCTCTATGCAGGGAGAAAAAGGAGAGAAAGCTGTAATCTACAAGCAAGGGGCAGCTTAAAAGTGACACTTTCAGTAAGAGGTTCAGTAGACTGAAGAGACAGCGGCAGAAGTACCCATCGAGGCTTTTCTTTAAAGATGCACCAATCAGAACCCTTTGGCTTTTTTCCCCATCATTGTTGTTGGTAACATTGTTTTTAAACCATTGTTATTTCTCTTTAACAACCATAATAAATGAAAGTATAATAACTGCAAACATCGTTTCTTAGCATTCCTTTCGACCAGACATCAAAGATTTTTCAAATTTAGCAAAGGCTTCTAAATATATATGGCATTATATAGTATTTCTTAAATAGTTGGAATATCATGTGGCAAACAGCTGCTTAGATTGGGGTAAAGATCACCGGATAATACATATGCAGGACCATGGTTCCCAGCTCTCCTTATACCTAATATGTTTTGTAATGTTTAAATGCAACAGGAAATGTTTTAGCAGGCCATTAGGAAATAACTGGGTCTAAAAATGTCTGATCAAACGCAACTTTTTCAATAGCAGTTTGTTATTGGCATGTAGCTGAAACCGTTTCAGTTTCTGACCCACAAGAGTCGAGTTATGACCCCAAACTATTCGCTGAGTACATGAACGCCTCTACAAATAATCAATCATTGGTTTAATAATATGAGAATCAACTAACAAGGTGGTTAGTTGTGTCCAAGTATTTTTAAACACATTTATTAGTTAGTTTAATTTTCTGAATTGGATCTAAAGACCCCCATACTCGTTGATAAAGGGCCCCAACTTTGGGAATCAATGATCAAGGGTCTAGGTTTGTAAATAATCAAAGCAAGAAGATATTTCTCAAATCACTTTTCTCAATCATTGTTTTCTAATAAGAATACCAAGACAAACAGAAACTGAGAGCTCAAAGAGAAAATCTGTTTGGCCTTCCTATTATCTATACGTAGTTTACCTCTCTCCTTCCTGTATG